ATTGGACGCGGGTGGCGCTGTGGGTAAAACCTCAGCGCCTAGGACTTGCTGATCGCATGGTCGGTGGTTCGAATCCCCGCAGCGGGGTGCGCTCCCATCGTTCAGTCCCAGCTCCCGCCCACCTAGCAGTTCGAAAGCACCCCTAAGTCCAAGTAGATAAATAGGGACCACTTACCAGCGGGAAGGTAAATGGCGTTCCGTGTGCTGCGCTCGCTCACCCGATGCAGCTTGTCATGCTGGCCACGTGACCCGGAAGTGTCTGTGGACAGCGCTGGCTCCTGGCCTATAGAGTGAGATGAGTGCACAACCCTAGAGTCTGGCAAGACTGGCCCGTACGGGCAGGGGTACTACTATTACTACTATCATACAGGCAGTGACCACTTTAGGCGTGTCCAATTGATGCAATCCCTGACGCATGCGGCCTTTTGGACCTGGAAGAAGGCAGAATGGGGGCGGACCAGGGGTGGGGGGAATTCGACATGTGGGTTCCAGGAACAGAACCGCCATGCAGAATGATTGCCGTCTGTAATTAAAAAACAATAAAATATTAATAGAAATAAAATTATATCTCTACCTCTATCTGTATTGATCTATCTAAGACCTATTAAAACATACAGATAATTCCAATGGAAAGGGCACAGCACCAGTCTTTTCCTTAAAGGCAGTCAGATTCCCAAAGCCTTTTGGAACAAGAAGGTCTTCACTTGCTGATGGAAGGACAACAAGGAGGCAGCCATTCTAGCTTCTCCAGGGAGAGAGTTCCAAAGTTTGGGAGCAGCCACCAAGACGGCCCCAAGAATCCTAGCTGCACCAGTTCTGGTTTACTCATAAGCAGCAAGGATGGTCAACTTCACAGAAAGTCCAGTTTGGAAGCCTGATGTCAAGAGGGAACCTGGATTCCTGGTGCTGCAAGAAGCGGATCAGCTTTTTTAAGTCTTCCGCTTAACGTGGGAGGAGTGACCCCCAGACTCTTTCTGACCATTAAGATTTTGAGTTGGTCACATATCTCATGTCTCAAGTATCCTCTTTGCATTTGAAAAGGACTTGCAGGGGATACCTGAAAGACTGGCTTGGAGAAAAGGTGGGCAGCTCAGGGCTTTGCTTCACATGGTGGAGTTCTCCAGTCTGTTAAGGTCATCTAGAGTCCTGATTCTATCTTCTGCAGTATTAGCCACCCCTCCCAGTTTGGTGTCATCTGCAAATTTGATGCTTCTTTGGGTTCGCTCAGTCAAATCTGCCCACCACTGGCATTGCACAGCCCACATTTTACCAGCTTCTCCACAAGAATATCATGGGGGACTTTTTTGAAAGCTTTATTGAAATCAAGCAATGTTATATTATACAGTGTGACGCGGCAGCTAAAAAAGCCAATGCAATTCTGGGCTGCATCAATAGGAGTATAGCATCTAGATCAAGGGAAGTAATAGTGCCACTGTATTCTGCTCTGGTCAGACCTCACCTGGAGTACTGTGTCCAGTTCTGGGCACCACAGTTCAAGAAGGACACTGACAAACTGGAACGTGTCCAGAGGAGGGCAACCAAAATGGTCAAAGGCCTGGAAACGATGCCTTATGAGGAACGGCTAAGAGAGCTGGGCATGTTTAGCCTGGAGAAGAGGAGGTTAAGGGGTGATATGATAGCCATGTTCCAATATATAAAAGGATGTCACATAGAGGAGGGAGAAAGGTTGTTTTCTGCTGCTCCAGAGAAGCGGACACGGAGCAATGGATCCAAACTACAAGAAAGAAGATTCCACCTAAACATTAGGAAGAACTTCCTGACAGTGGAATTTGCTGCCAAGGAGTGTGGTGGAGTCTCCTTCTTTGGAGGGCTTGACAACCATATGTCAGGAGTGCTCTGATGGTGTTTCCTGCTTGGCAGGGGGTTGGACTCGATGGCCCTTGTGGTCTCTTCCAACTCTATGATTCTATGATTCTATGATATCCACAGCATCCCCCCGATCCACTAAGCTTGTAACTCTCTCTATATTTTAAAAATAAATAAGATTACTCTGGCATGACTTGTTTTTGAGAAACCTAAGCTGTCTCTTAGTAACCACAAAATCCTTTTCTGACTGCTCACAGTCCAACTGTTTAATGGTCTGTTCCATGACTTTTTCTGGTATTGATACTAAGCTGTCCTCTCCCTGCCCCTAACATTTGTCCACCTCCAGTCTGCAGGAACCTCCCCTGCTCTCCAAGAACTCTCAAAGATTATAGATAGAGGTTCTGAGATTACAACTGCGAGGTTCTTAATACCCTTTGGGTGCAGCTCATCAGGGCCTGGAGATTTGAATTCGTTTAAAGTAGCTAGGTGTTCCCTGACCACCTATTTTCCTAGCTTGGGCTGCAGCTCCCTCCTTGCATTGTTTATTCTGTTACCACCAAGTTTGGCGTTGCTTTCCTTTTGGGTGAAGACAGAGGCAAAGTGGTGTTGAGCAGTTCTGCTTTCTCTCTGTTACCCAATAGCATTTCTCCATCTTTTCCATGCAAAGGACCTACCATTTGCTGTTCTTCCTCTTCCTTCAAACAGAAATGAATAAACTCTTATTATTATTGCAAGCCTGAACTCATTCTGAAAGTTAGCCTGCCTGACTTTCTCCCTGCAAGTGTTGGCTACTCATGTAGATTCCTCCTTAGTGATTTCCCCTTTCTTCCATTTCTTATACTGTACATGCCTTTATTAACTCTCATGCAGCCACACTGGTTTCCTTAGATGCCTCCCACTTTCCTTTCTTGTTGGAATTGTTTGCAATTGTTCCTTCAATATTTCACCTCTAAGAAACTCCCATCCACCCTGAACTCCCTTCTCTTTGCATATTTCTGACCATGGATTTTCACCCAGTTGTTCTTTAAGCTTTTTGAAATCAAGTCCAGAGTGTGCATCTGAATACACTCCATGTTCTCTTCTGTATCAGGAATCCCAAATGGAGAGAGCCACTTTCTCCCTAAGCAGCTATTTTTCTGTGCGAAAATGGCTCAGTTAAACAATATTATTCTTGCACCTACTTAATGAGTTGGTACAATCCCAGAGGGGCTGAGATTTTTTAAATGTATAAATCAGGTTTCAGCCATTTGGACTCCTGGAGTTCAAAATTATCTCTTCTGATGGCACTTTGAAATACAGCCTCTCACATAATTCTTCTTCTTTGTTCTTTAAGTAGTGTGGGGCCAGAGAATAAATACAGTGTCTCTATTGGAGTGGAACCAGCCCAGCTGCTGAAGGGAGATATTATGGTAAGCATTAACTGGACTTCGTTGATGTTTAAATGCTCTGGGTGTATTTTTTCTACAGAAAAACACTGTCTCCATCTTCCTTGGAGGAAGAAAACCTACAAATATTTAGTATTTTAGCTAAATTTAGGCAGCTCAAAAGGTTATCCAGAGATGAGCCAAAGTAAAGAGTCATCAAGAAAACCATAGATAAAAAGTCACTTAGTACATTAGAAAACCATAGATAAAAAGTCACTTAGTACATTATACTGGGTATTACTAATACATTATACTGGGTATTATTATGACTTTTTTTACAAACTAAATTGGATCCTTTCTGTTCAATATGTCTAACAGCAAGGCAGAGAAGTAAGACTAGAAGGCCTTATAGAACAGGGTTGGCTAAAATTCAACATCCTGTAGATTTTGCTTAGCTTTGAATCAGGTTCTTAGGTTGCAGGCTGCACTGGGCAGGAACGGGGGACCATTCAGTCATGTGCCATCTGAAATGGTCGAGATCTAGAGGCAAGACTAATTAAGGTGGATGGACAGCCTAGAGGGCCCAGCCCATGTTGCTTTCCAAGGACTAAGAGTGGCTATGGTCTCATTCTTACTATAGCCCTGTGAGGTTACTCTGAAGGATTATGGCCAGAGGAACAGTCTGGATTACGTGAGGCTATCCAGCAAGATTCATGGCTAAGCAGCTTTGCATCTTGGGTTTCTCATGGCTAAACTAATGCTTATTGTCTGCACCACATATCTGCCCCACAGTACAGTATATGGATTTTTTTGCTGATATATTCTGCTACATACCTAAGCATTTTGTGCCTGCATGAATACTGGAAGTTGCCTTACCTGTGTTTTCCTCTATTTCAGCTGAAATGCTGCCATAAAAAATACGGATGTACCACCTGTGGTATTTTCCGACTGCAATTATTCCACACAGGGGCTGTTCAAGGATATAGTCTGGTGTTTGACAAAGAGGACTTGGAGAATGCAAACACAGGCAAGTTTCCATCTACCTTTGAAGATGGCAGAGGAGGATTTAAGCACATCTATGTGCTTAAACAGTACTTCTGTCTTGTCAGGATTCAGTCTCAATCTGTTAGCTGCCAACCGCCTCCAGACACTCACGCAAGACATTCACTGCCTTCACTGGTTCTGATTTAAAAGAGAGGTAGAGCTGGGTATCATCTGCGTACTGATGGACACCCAGCCCAAACCCCCTGATGATCTCTCCCAGCAGCTTCATGTAGATGATGAAAAGCCTGGGGGAGAGAACGGAACCCTGAGGCACCCCACAAGTCCAGGGGTCTGAACACTCATCCAGACAGAAGTACTGTTTTGGGGGGACGGGGCGGGTAGGTGTGGAGGACTACCTGGTCCTGAATGGGGTAACTGCCCCTGAAGGACCAGGTGCACAGCCCACTCCCAACAGAGCAAAAACAAAAAAACCCAACATTTAAAATGCCACAGATTAAAAACTATTTAAAAACATTTAAAAGCATTTCCAGCAGCAGCAATGTCCCAGTGGCCTCCCAGGAGCCTTTTAGCTGTTCCGGGTGAGGGTGGGCCCCTGAAGCCAGGTAGAAATGGGCCTTGCAGAGCAGGGAGCAGGTCCTCCTTCCAACAGCCACATAAATAAATACGTTGTGCACATTTTTATTTTTTTTAAAGTTTGGTAACCAGGCATTGATTTTTTAACTCCTTTGTCCTTTGGGCCAAAGCATCAATAATTTTTAAGTGTCTTCAGATGAAATAATCCTTCTATAAAATCTTGATTTCCATATGTGCCCGACTGTTCCCTGGGAACTTAACTTTCTAAAACAAATTGTGGTACCTTTCACAGATGAACATTTCCCTGATTATGGAAAAGCTGAACTGTTGTTTTCAGGATCCTCAGGAAAAATCCAAGGTGAGTGCCCCTCAAAAATTTCCTGCCTTACAGCTGAATCCTGTAAGTTGTAACTCCAGACTAGGCTCACTTGAGTCCAAAGGGCTCACTGAGGAAGGACTCATGGGACTTTAGTCAATGGCTGGGAACCAACGGACGTTGTACATGTTTCAGCACTCCCTTCAGGAGGAATGGGGGCTGTTAACCTTCAGTACATAGAATCATATATTTTTTTAGAGGTGGAAGGGACCTTGAGGATCATCTGATCCAACCCTGTACAATGCAGGAATATGCAGCTGTCCCGTGAGTGCAAGTCTGTGATTTGTGCCTTTGCAGTTCAGCCTTCATGTGCAATATCCTAGTTTCATTTAGAAATATCTCTCCTGGGTTGGTCGGCAACCAGTAGCTGGCAGGAATCCTTGTGAAACTGATTTCAGTGCATCTCAGAATGCAGCTCTTACTTCATCCATTAGGAAACCATGTTAGAATTTTATTTGTTTTTAAACCTTCTATGTGAAGCCCACTTTACCTTGATGGTTTGGAAAAAGGTAAGCCCTCAGCATTTCCCCTGAAATGAAGCTGCATAAAAGGAACAATAAAAAACAATTGTTTATTTGTGCTTCTGTTTGTGCTTCAGGAGGATGAGTTTTGCTCTTTCTGGGGGTACTCAAGGGTACACATTTCCCTCCCCCCAAAGGTTATAAGTGTGGCACTTACTTGTAAGAACACTTCATGGTGAGAACAGGCACCTTTTGTTCTAAGAAAAAGCACTGCTTAGAAGGCTTAGGACAAAGACCCATGATACAAATTGGCATTCAGATTGGAAATGCTACCTTATATGTATAGATATGGGTTTAGGCCAACTTTCAGAAGCCAACTCTGGGTCTTGCTGTCAGGGTTTCCTCTGTGCTAGAGATGTCAACAGGATTTGCTGGACACAGTACTTTGCAGTAGGCCGTCCACAAAATGAAGTGGTGGGTGGCTGAGATCTCATCACCATTGTGCTTTGGCTGCTCTAGAAGCAAAGTAAGAAAAGAAGCAGGATCAGGGCCTCCCTCCAGCTAAACCCTTGCTTGCACGTTGCATCACCACTGCGGTGAGCTTTGGACCTTATTACACAACCATGTTATCTGCAGTGATAAATTCCTTGGGCTGTGGTGGGGGGTGGGGAGGAAGTCCAGAACTTCCAGTTAACTTTATTGGGAAATGAAAACATCAGAAATACTGATAGTTAAAACCCTAGGCATGATTTTATGGGCTTACATTCATTAGTTATTTAATGCAGAGGGGAAAATGCATCTTTCAGTTCTTCCCCACACCTGAACTGTCAGCTCAAAGAAAGCTAGAACTTTGGGAAGAAGCAATTGAACATTTTCACTTACTGGTATGTGCTAGCTTTTTCACATACAGAGAGTTTTGAGGTGGGGAAGAATTCAGCCATGAGACCTTCTTGCCTATACTACTAAGTGGTGCAGTCTGCCTCGCAGCATAGCTTCTCTTTCCCTGCACATTTGAGTCACTTCTTGTTCTAGTTCTTGATGAGGAAGTGAAACTCAAAAAAGTGATTCTGCCCCCCATAGTGACCTCAGTAAACTAGCCAGTGCTGATTGGGGTGGGCGTATTTGGAGATGCCTAACTTAAACTTCTGGTTCTCATCTTTCAGGATGTGAACAACTACAGAATGGCCATGGTGTGTTAGTGGAGTTCAGCTGTTCAGATCCACTGATTGGCTGGGATTCTTACGAAAACATGAGTGCTGATGAGGAAGGTGAGTTGCTACCAGGAAGTGAACAATACAAGCAATGAGGAAGCAAACAAGGTCCCTCTCAGCCTGTCCAGCTGTGTTTGCAGTCTTGCTGTCATTCATGGCTTTTTGTTTTTCCAAAAAACCTAGTTTATTAGGTTTTTCACATTATTACAATAGGACAGTACAGTGCCTTATTCACCTTGCCAGCTTCCCTGATGTTCTCTGACCTCATGCCCTCTTTTTAAAAAAAAGCCATCAGCTAACTCAATTGTTTGGCATGTTTTGCAGGGTTCAGATGTGCACACAGGGGCTTAGAATAAATGAATGACAATGCTCTACTGAAGTCCAGATTAGGATCCCTTAAGTTGGGAAGCATGGTCATATGGACAAGTTCCACATCAGCTGCAGTTTCATAGTAAGCAAGGCTGTGCTTTATAGTCAACAGGAGCAGACAGGGCCAAGTTCAATGGCTGTTTATCATCTGCAGAGACCTCCCTGATTTTAATTAGAACTCCCACAGCTTTGCAGTTTCCCAATATTGATTGCAAGCTACATGGTAGAAGCTATGGCAGCAACAGTGGGTGATATGTTTCTTGGAGGCCGGATCTGCTGCCCCTACGAATCCTGCCACCCAAGGCGGTTGTCTCACCTTGCTTCGTAGATGAGACGACCCTGCCTGTAGCATTGTATAACTACATTGTTTGTAATTACTTTGTCCCAGCTGTGGTTTGTTTTCTTGCACATATGTTCTTTAAAAGATTCTCCACTGGTGTAGAAGCCAACTTGTGTGCAGTAAAAAGAAGAAGGAAAAAGTGAAATTTGGGATTGTTTGGAAGCTGAAGTTGAATCCCACATTCCGGTTATTTATTTATTTAATAATACAGAATTATGGCATTCGATGGTCCTGGTAAATAGATGCCAACAGTGCCTGCAGCAATTTAGCAGCAATCCATGAAAGTGCCAGGTGTCAGCAAAAAGAGATTCACACTTGGAAAGAGAGGTCCGCTACAGTGTTAGTGGAAAGCAGCCATTGGTAAAAGGCTCTTGCTGACTTTTGGTGAAGCTTTCAAGGTTAAGTACTGGCAATAAGTACTGTGAAAACCAAAGCTTTAGAAACTGCCCTTGTCTCTCTGGAGTTAAGAACTGCATCCAGGTGAGCAGCAGCTAGCTTTCAGGAATTCACCTATGACAAGATGATTGTTTTTCCCCTGGGACAGTTGACTTTTCAGTTTATCTTTCTCCCGCCCTTACTCCCCTTTTAACTCAAGGTAAATAGTAGTTGAATGGGGAGGTGCCCTCTTGCATAGTTAAATACTTGGTTTCCCAGAGGGCTGCTCTGTATTACAAAACTCTAGATTTGAGGCAAGATTACTTTGGCTCTGGTGCTTTGGAAGGAATGCAAATGCCTACTAACAAAAACAGCCCAGTCAGTGCCGTTTCTGGTAAGTGAATAAATGTGTGGTTTGATTTCTGAGCTGTATATGCAGTTCTTTGAAAGAAGTGTGTGTGAGAGAGGGGAGGGGTGGTAGAAATTTGGGAGACAAAATAGGTGAGTTTATTTTAAAATCCAAAATATTATGTACTGTTACATTTCCCTCTCCATTTCCATGTGGCAACCAAAGCTTTATCTGACAAAACTTTAAATTCGCCTTTTAACTGATAGCTCTGATAGTGATTTCTTATCTTTTATTGCAGAATCTGTTGTCAAATCAATAAAACACTCATACTGCTGTGTTATTAGACAAGCTGGTTTTTCCTGACACAGAGAATGGATTTACAACACAAACGTTTTCTTTAATTTTTTCATGGAGTTCTTCCAGAAAACAACAGTTGAGACCAGGGCTGTTTTTCTAGAAAAGGAGGTGCTGGAACTCAGCATGAATGCCTCCCTTGTTCTCTTATAATGGCAATGGCGCCCACCTGAGAGGTTCCCTATCAAGCAAACTTAGCAGATGAATGTGAAACTTATTTAAGATATCTCCTCATATGTCAGAATCTAGTTCTTCTCTAAATTCTTTTCCCATTTGTGAAGAGATCCATGCTTTGAGCATGGAAGGCAGTTGCAGAGAGAGGGTCAGGAGGGTTTGCATGAGAGGTTAAAAATAATAATAAAGGTTTCTTTGGCTATGTCTGAAGCAAGAGGAAGAACAAGTAAGCAGTAAGTCCCTTGCGTGCAGAAAACAGACAAATGCTATTGGCTGACAGAGAGAAGGTGGAACTACTCAACACCTACTTTGCCTCTGTCTCCACCTAAATGGAAAGCAATGCCCAACCAGGTGATAACAGAATAAATGGTGTAAGGAAGGAGCTGCAGCCCAAGACAGGAAAAGAGATAGTAAGGGATCACCTAGCGACTTTGAATGAATTCAAATCTCCAGGGCCTGATGAGCTGCACCCGAGCCTACTAAAGAACCTTACAGATGTAATCTCAGAACCTCGGTCTGTAATCTTTGAGAATTCTTGGAGAACAAGTCATGCCAGATGAATCTCATTTCTTTTTTTGATAGAGTTGTAAGTTTAGTGGGAATGCTGTGGACATTGCGTATCTTGATTTCAGTCAGGTTCTCAACAAAGTCCCCCATGATAGGTGGATTTGTAGGTGGTTGACTGACCAAATCCAGAGTGCTCATTAATGGTTCCTCGTCATCCAGTGACCAGTGGGCTGCCTCCGGGTTTTGTCCTGAGTCTGTTGTTGTTCAATGTCTTTATAAACAACTTGGATGACAGAATTGAGAGGATGCTCATCCAATTTACAGGTAACACCAAACTGGGAGGGGTAGCTAATGTCGCAGAAGGCTGAGTATATTTAGCCTGGAAAAGAGGAGACTGAGAGGAAATATGATAGCCATCTTCAAATATCTCAAGGGCTGTCACATGGAAGAGGGAGCAATGCAACAGATTCAAGTTGCAAGAATGGAGATTCTGACTAAATACCAGGAAGAATTTTCTGTCCCCTTAGCAGAAAAACACCCCCAAAGCATAATATGTCCCCCTCCATGTTTGACGGTGGGGATGGTGTTCTTGGGGTCGTAGGCAGCATTTCTCCTCCTCCAAACATGGCGAGTGAGTTGATGCCAAAGAGCTCGACTTTGGTCTCATCTGACCACAACACTTTCACCCTGTTCACCTCTGGGTCATTCAGATGTGCATTGGCAAACTGCAGACGGGCCTGTACATGTGCTGTCTTGAGCAAGGGGACCTTGCGGGCTCTGCAAGATCTCTGTCTTTCACGGCGTTGTGTGTTACCAACTGTTTTCATGGTGACTATGGTCGCAGCTGCCCTGAGATCATTGACAAGTTCCCCCCGTGTAGTTCTGGGCTGCTTTATCACCGTTCTCCTGATCATTGCAACTCCACGAGATGAGATCTTGCATGGAGCCCCAGACCGAGGGAGGTTGACAGTTATTTTGTGTTTCTTCCATTTGTGAATTATTGCACCTTCTCACCAAGCTGCTTGGCAATAGTCTTGTAGCCCAGTCCAGCCTTGTGCAGGTCTACAATCTTGTCCCTGCCATCATTGGACAGCTCTTTGGTCTTGGTCATGATGGCTACTTTGGAATCTGCTGGATTGATTGCTTCTGTCGACAGGTGTCTTTTGTATAGGTACTGTAACGAGCTGGGATTACAGGTAAGACCTCTCCCTTACAGCAGGTGCTTCTAATCTCAGTTCGTTACATACAGTGAAGATACCAGGTAGCCTGACATCTGGCTGGTTGACAGGGGATCAAATACTTATTTCACTCATTATAATGCACATCACTCTCTGACTTTTGTCTTCTGAGTTTCTGGGGGTTTTCCTGTTGTTACTCTGTCTCTCACAGCTACAGTAAACCTACTATTAAAATTATGGACTGGTCATTTCTTTGTCAGAGGGCAAACAGGCAAATTTAGCAGGGAATCAAATACTTTTTCCCTTACTGTAACACCGGGAAGCCCAACTTAAGCTGATTTAGTTCAGTGGCCCAGTGCATCTTATGAAAACCCTTCTCCCCGAGAAGATAGCAGAAACAGCTGGCACTAGGAACTGGTTCCATCAAGATCAGCGTCTTTTGATTCCATATAAGTACACTTGGAACTTTTTAATACTAGAAGCCTTGGGTCTCACACACGCTGTCCAGTGAAGGAAGTGGAAGATTGCCATGCATGCCCCCACCCAGAGAGAGAGCAGGGGCAGCTCGGGTGGAGCAGTTGCCATGCGCTCGCTGCTGCCTCCCTTCTCCAACGGGCAATTTGACAAAATGGGTTGTTTTCAAAGATGCCTTGCTTTTGAGATTCACGTACTAGAACTTTGAGTTCTAGTCTTTTCATTTTAGGCATCAAAGTTTAGTTTGTTAGCTTGAATACTGTTTGATTGTCTTTGTAGCGATTATAGTCATTATTGTTATACAGCTTTTGAAATGTCTCTTGCCAGACAGGCAGCCCCTTTCCTGGCCACGGCTCATAATGCAGACTCTGAAACAATAAGCCTGTGGCATGGCTCATTTGGTTGGGATGTGTTAACATTAGAGAATGTTTTCAGGAAGTTTTCATAGGGTTCAAATAAAGTTTTGTGGGCTGTGGTGTGGTAATGATTTGCTGGAGTGAACTGGAGATTTTTGCAGACTTATTTATTTACGTATTAAATTTGTATACCGCCCTTCATCTGAAGATCACTGAGCAGTTCAAAACCTAAAACACATAATGAAAACACATAAAACAAAAATGAAAGCCAAAGAACCAACCACGCCTCCGAGAAACACATTTTAAAAACCATAATCAGACAAACGCTTAGTTGAAAATAAATGTTTTTGCTTGGCACCTAAAGGTATGTAATGCAGGTGCCAGGGAGGACTCCTTGGGGGGAGCATTCCACAAATGGGAGCCACCACCGAAAAGGCCCGTCCTCTTGATGCCACCCTCTGGACCTCTCGTGGGGGAGGCACCCAAAGAAGGCCCATAGATTATGATTGGAGGGTCTGAGTCTGTCTGGGAGAGGCTGTTTGGGAGCTCTTACAGTCCTGAGCGCTTTAAGGCTTTATAGGTCAAAACCAGCCCTTTGAATTGGGCCTGGAAACTAATTGGCAGTCAGTCCCGTCCAGCCAGGATCAGTGTAATATGCTCACACTGTCTTGCCCTGTTGCGCAATCTGGCCACTGAAGTCCACATCAGCTGGAAGTTTCCAAAGCATTTTGCGTTGTAGTAATCTAACCTAGGGGACGCGGGTGGCGCTGTGGGTTAAACCACAGAGCCTAGGACTTGCCGATCGAAAGGTTGGCGGTTCAAATCCCCACGATGGGGTGAGCTCCCGTTGCTCGGTCCCTGCTCCTGCCAACCTAGCAGTTTGAAAGCACGTCATAGTGCAAGTAGATAAATAGGTACCGCTCTGGCGGGAAGGTAAACAGCGTTTCCGTGCGCTGCTCTGGTTCTTGGTCTTGCTGGCCGGAGGCTGTGCACCGGCTCCCTTGGCCAGTGGAGCGGGATGAGCGCCGCAACCCCGGAGTCGGCCACGACTGGACCTAATGGTCAGGGGTCCCTTTACCTTTACCTTTAATCTAACCTAGAGATTAGCAAAGCATATATGACAGAAGTTAGGCTATCCCTGTCCAGATAGAGGCACAGCTGGGCCACCAACCGAAGCTGATGGAAGTTTGAGTTTATCCAGATGAGGAACCAGAGTTTGCTTTGTTCAGTGCGGAAAGCTGCTGCTACCAAATAAAAATCTGAGTGTGGTTAGGACTGAACAAATCTTTTGCAACTTGCTGCACAGAGATGCATAGGGAGTGAGCCAAATGAGGATGTGGGCATTCAGAACAAATATTTGCATAACAGTTCCGGGGAGAACCTCACAGAACACGATCTGTGTCATTTGGTGATGCAAGAATTAAGGTGGACTCGTGTTGGGGTCCGGCATCAGTTGACTAAGGCTTAATGGCAGTGAGATGGGCAGAGGGGAGAAGAAAATAACATTTGTGAGAAAGAGTTTGTAGCCTGAATTGCCTTCTGAAACACCACTGCTTCACTCTCGCTTTGCTGGAAGGGTTCAAATTTCACAGAACCTGACTGCGCTCTCTGGCTCCTCCCTTATGTTTACATTTTTACTCTTTTTCTTCTGAATCCAAAGTTTCCTGCTTCTCTAGTGAGAGCGATTTACCTTCAGCAACTGCTGCATGGAGAATGCAAAGTAGCTAAAAGTGATGGTGTTTTCCAACTGCTTTTCAACTGCTACTGTTTTGTGTGTGTTGCGTTTGCTGTTGTAGTGTGTGAAGCTGATTTTAAAATAGGGCAACCATTTTGCTGCTTCAAAAAGTTATGGGGCTTCTGTAATTCCTCTGCAAGGTAAGATACCATTTTCTTTAGACTGTTTGTTTGTATGTGAGTGAGAGAGAGAGAGAGACATGCTATGTTCATACAATGCTTTGTGAGTTTGTGTTTAGCAAAGGAGGCAAGACAAAACAGCAGAAATGACTTAACCTTGCAGAGAATGCAGTTCTGGGCTTGTACAGCTTTGCCTAAGGGTGGAGATTTATTTCTTAGGTGTGGGAGGGCACCTAGATTACTTCCTACTTAAAGAGGGATAGCTGGTGGTGCAGGATAAGCAAAAAAGTTTCATATATAGCGTTATCCAACCCAGTTTAGGAAAACTGGGTCAAAACTGTCATTACTGGGCCCTAAAGTTCATGAATTTACCTCGCTAGTTTGCTTCTTTGAATGTGCTTTCTCATGTCCTGAATGGCTGGAAAGGAGATAGCTGTGAGACAGATCAGAAAAAGCTGAGAAACAGAAGTGCGTGAATTTTGCATAGAGGAAGTTTAAGAACTCTCTCCTAATCAACTTTAGTTGGTAAGTGTTTGTGGCTTTGGCGTTGCTTTTGTTCACGGGATCTGCTTTCAGTGTGTTCATTTGTAGGCATAAAAATACACATGCAGCCATATTTCTGTGTGTGGCTGCTGATCCCATTCAGTTTATAGTTCAGATTCAGGGCTGGCATTTTACCAGGTCTCTCGGTCATTCAAGAAGAATTTCCTTTCCCCCCTTTCCTGGAGGGAGTTGAGCTTAAGAGAAATGGTGTAGGGAAAGAAAGGGGTTGTTTTCAGTTTGATGTAGACAAATTCCATCGCCACTAGCTCAGCTTTACAGTTTCAATCTGCTTTTGGTTTCTTTTCTTTTTGGGGAGGGGAGGGCGGAGTTTGGACAGCTGTGTTACTGTACCATTTTTGCAGAAGGCTGTTTCCTTGGAAAAATGAGAGCAAGGTTTGAAGTGAAATGAAGTATTTCAGCTGTTAATGAGAGCGTCAGCATATTTGGTAAGGTGATCATTTCAGTGAAGTCTTGCTCTCCTAGCCTATCTCCCTCCCCTTGTTTTTGGAAACTTCCTTTCCTTTCATGCTGTGCCTAAGCATATTAGTTTCGTAGCTTTTGATCAGTCTCTTTGGCTTTTAAAGATGTGAGCAGGTGATGCAAGTGGCAAAGAGACTTGCCAGAAGTGTCTTCACAGCAGAGACTTTCCATGTGTGGGACTTCAGAAACAGGCAAATGACCAAGCACTGGGCTGACAAAATGCCAAGCTTATGTGCTTTCCTAGAATCCAACCGTTCGTATTTTGGTTCTTCTTTTAAATAGAAATGAGAGGTTTATTTTGCCCTGTTTAATAACAACTTAGAATAATATTGTGTGCCTCATCTCTAAAATTCTTCAGTCAGGTCGAGTCAAGGTAAGTTGAGAAATGCAGCCCGTTAAATTGGAAGGGAAACTTTTTGCAGACTTCACTGGCACATGAAGAACAAGGCCCTTCTTTGTATGGTGGAGTTAAAAGGGGGCATGGATTACTTAGGAACCGTGTAAGCTCCTTATGATTTGGTATAAATAATTTGAGTGACTCATATGGAAAGGAATGTTCCTTGAAGGTCAGGTGAAGAAAATATTACCTGCTGCGTATTCTCTGTAAATATTTTATTTTATCACTGCACTCTTGTCATACGTTTCCCCTCATGAGCCTGGGCTGCATAGCAGGATTGAGGCAGCCGCAGTTTTTATCAGGAAAACAGCTTGAGGGGTTAACCCCACCTTCTCTTACTGCTGTGCTAAGTCAATGTGGGACCATGTTTGCTCAAAAGAAAATAATTACTCTGCAGTTGACGTTTTGTTTTTCCTTTAAATGGAAAAAGTTTGATTGTTCCATATAAACTGTACAATATTTACATGTAACTATAGTTACCGTAGTAAACAAATCCACAGAGCAGATTTCCCTCTTTGATCAAGCTGTATAATCACAGGTTTGAGACACATCCGTTGATATCAAACCTGCAAGCTCTTGCTTGGAATCCAGTGCGCTGCTGACAGAATGGCTGTGCAGTCATTCATTTGTTTTTCCAATAAGTTAGGGCTCTCTCAAAAGACCGTTAGAATTTTCTGCATGAGCTTCAAGTGCAGAGTGTGTAATGCAGAGCTTTGGAGAAAGCACCTTGTTTATTCCCTCAAATCATAATTCTTTTGAAAAGCCCATTAGGGTACTTCATAGAATTATGGAGTTGGAAAGGACCCCGAGGGTCATCTAGTCCAACCCCCTGCAATGCAGGTATCTTAATTAAAGCATCCAAGACAGATGGCCATCCAGCCTCTGCTTAAAAACCTCTAAGAAAGGAGAGTCCACCACCTCCTGAGGGAGTCCGTTCCACTGCCAAACAGCTCTTACTGTCAGAAAAGTTCTCTGGATGTTTAGTCAGAATCTCTTTTCCTGTAACTTGAAGTCGTTGGTTCAGGTCCCACCTTCCAGAGCAGAAGAAAAGAGAAGCCTGCTCCATTCTCTATGTGACAGCCCTTAAGATATTTAAAGATGGCTCTCATATCTCCTCTCAGTCTCCTCCTTTCCGGGCTAAGCATACCCAGCTCCTTCCACCGCTCCTCATAAGGCTTGGTTTCCAGAACCTTGATCATTCTGGTTGCCCTCATCTGCACACCTTCCAGCTTGTCAACATCCTTCTTAAATTGTGGTGCCCAGAACTGGACACAGTACTCCAGGTGTGGTCTGGAATAGAGTGGAACTATGACTTCCCTTGATCTGGACACAAGACTTCTGTGGATGCAGCCTAGAATAATAGCATTAGCTTTTTTGCTGCTGCCTCACACTGATGCCTCAAGAACCTTATATGTGTCCCTATTGAATTTCTTTTTGTTAGTTTTGGCCCAGTTCTTTAGTCTCTTAAGGGCATCTTCAATCCCAATTCTATCTGCTGCGGCATTAGTTACCCTTCCCAGTTTGGTGTCATCTGCAAATTGGATGGGCATTTGTGGAGCTTATGCCCATTAGAGACAAAGAGTGCCAGAAGACCTGCAGCAGCAGGTGGTATTTCTATCCCATCCATTTGCCTTTGGCTGCTGTCTGCCTCCTCTGGAGTAAGGATGTGCTTAACTTCAGCTGGGCTATGTACTATAGTTTTTAAAACAAGTGAAATAGAATTATAGAGTTGGAAGGGTCATGAGGGTCATCTAGTCCAACCCCTGCAAATGCAGGAATCTTTTGTCCAGCATGGGGCTCAAACCCACGACCCTCAGATTTAGAGCCTCCTGCTATGTGTGGAGTGAGATGGTGGATTATCAGGAGTAAACATTGAAGTAATTGTTTTGGGAGTGGGGGGTAGCCAGAATTTTATTCTTACTCTCTCCTCTTTAAAACCGTGGTTTGTAATTGGTTTTTAAATTACCATATTCTCTGTGGGCCACTAAAATGATGTTCTGAGTGAAATAAAGGTAAAGGGACCCCTGACCATTAGGTCCAGTCACAGACGACTCTGGAGTTGCAGCGCTCATCTCACTTTACTGGCCAAGGAAGCTGACGTTTGTCCGCAGTTTTTCCGGTTCAAGTGTCCAGCATGACTAAGCCGCTTCTGGCAAACCAGAGCAGCGCACGGAAACGCCGTTTACCTTCCCGCCGGAGCGGTACCTATTTATCTACTTGCACTTTGACGTGCTTTCGAACTGCTAGGTTGGCAGGAGCAGGGACTGAGCAACGGGAGCTCATCCCGTCACGGGGATTCGAACCACCAACCTTCTGATCGGCAAGTCCTAGGCTCTGTGGTTTAACCCACAGCGCCACCCGCGTCCCTTCTGAGTGAAATACCCTTAAATTAAAGACCCCTCTTTATATTGCATGATGAGGAAGTAAAGTATCACCTTCTTAAATATTGAATAACCTCTTCCCCTCCACAAGTATTTTTCATTCGCTTGTTTTCTAAAACAGAAGTTGGACAATGTAGAAAAATCATTCCCATACTTGGGCTGCTCATAGAACTGATGCAGAAGTCCAGTCACCTCAGGGCTGTACATTTGTAAATAAATAAATACATAAATAGCCAGCACTGTAGGTTGTGGAGCCAATATAAAAATGCAACTTTGCTATTGTACAAGAATAATTCATTTTCCAGAAACAAAGTAGGGAAATGTGCTTCCACACAATGCTCTGTTTTTGTGAGTTTTGTTACAGAATTATTTGTATAAGGCAAGTAAAATGATTGTGATTTCATCATCCATTCTGGCACAGTTAATGATAGCAATGTCTGCTGCTATTTTTATTATTATTATATATATATTGCTACAAAAGTTGTGTGCCACCTCCCGTCCCTGCAAGATCCCAGGAGGTTCCAGGCACTCACCCAGGGTCTGTGCTCCTTTAGAGAATTGAGACAGGAGATTGTCGTAGCTTTAAGAAAAATGGTTTATTCACCTGTTTACGCTTTCAGTCTGTGTGGCAGGAGTCCAGATCTTACAGAATAGTCATTTCAAGGGAGCCAGCTTTCAGCCCGCCTACCCAAGATGGATCCCAGTCTTCCTTCCTTCCTTTTCTTCCCAGCAACCCTTCCTCAAGACTCCCCTCCCCGTCACCTCCCACCCGGTTACCCTGCCATCCTTCCAACCCCCCAGTCTCTGTTCACACCTCAGGGCAAGGGGGGAGGACAGCTCTCTTGCATTGCCAAGGGCTCTCAATGGCCCTCTCTTGTTTCTTAATGGCCCTAGCTTGGCCAGGTCATTTTGCCTAGGATAACCCAGGAATTCCTTGCAGCTTGCATTTCTCCCTTCACATGACCAAATAATCAAAATCTCACCATTTACTAATATCTAGGGTTTAGGAGGGGTTTCCCCAAAAAAATATTCTATAGTGTGTGTGTGTGTGTGTGTGTGTGTGTGTGTTTTGCCTCGATATTAGACGGGATGAAAGCCAATAAAGTGAAGCTCAGGCCAGATAAGACAGAGGTCTGTTGGCGGCGGGGGCGGTTTCCTAGACCAGATGGCTGTGAAGATGCCTCCTCTGAAAGAGTGGGTACGCAGCCAGCGGGTCCTTCTGGATCCTTTGCTGCAGCTTGAGGCTCCGGTGGCCTCGTGTCACAAGTCAGTAATCGCACTCTTCAGAGTGCAAGTCAACTCATTATTAGCAAAAATACGGTCTTCTCGGACTTGGTTGAGTGTCAGACCTAATGAGCACAGCATCTCATCCCAGGTAGGTCTGGCCCCATGGATCACTTGCCAAGACTGAAAGCCCCGCCACCTCACAGCCTCCTTTTCCTTAACATGGGGCTGTGAGGGTTGTCTTTCTGTCTGTTTGGTTGTGGGTTGCTTTGGGCTGCCCTGGGCAAGATAAAGCAACCAAAAATTAAATAAATAATAATAAACAATATTAAATAGTTTCTTCTTGCCCCCGTTCCCCCGCTCTACTCTGTTTTGTCTTATATAATGCCTGCTGTATTTCTTTGCAGTGCTGACCACCCAGGGCCCCACGGGGGGCAACTTGTATGCTCAAGCGAGGAAGAAAAGCTGCTGTGAGAGCCCCCTTCCCCGCAGGGCCCCGGCTGCTGCCGTCACCAGCCCTGACCCCAGGGACTATGCCTGGTCCGTGGGCAGCGACTCGGGACACTCTACAGCCTCTCTGAGGACGGACAAGACTGAAGAGCGTCCCCTGCCAGAAACCCAGAGTGTCCTGAGCCCCCTGGAGAAAGAGGGGCTGGAGCAATTGCTGAGCGGCCTTGGTCTGCAGAACTCAGCCAGGCCTCCTAAGGATATGACCGATGCCCAAAGCACGTTCAGTGGGACTCGCCACATAGTACCCGCCCAGGTTCATGTGAATGGAGGTGCTGAGCACAAGGACAGGGAAACAGACATTCTGGATGACGAGGTGTCCAGCCACGACCTCCACAGTGTGGGCAGCCTTGGGACTTTGTCCTCCTCCGAAGGGCAGCATTCCAACCACCTTGGAAACTTCCGCTGCCACAAAAGCAGCCAGAATTCTCTTCTGTCAGATGGCTTTGGAAGTAATACTTTGGAGGAGGAGTACAGCAACACTCTGGTCCCAGATTTGGACATTGATGGAGACGGCAGATATGAGAGGCACTTTGGAGGCACCGACCCAAAGCAGTCTCAGCAGCTGCCGAGGAATACTGCCGTTTCCACCGAGCCAGAGGCCTACAGCCTCAGTGGCTACCCAACCCAGACATGGGTGCGGGAACAACAAATGGTCGTCACTCACCAGTACGCTTACGGCCCAGAGAATGAAGTACGGCTTGGTATTCGTGGTGTGGCTGAGAACTCCGGCAACCTGCGCAGCCAAGCCAGAGGTCCAGATACCCCTGCGCGGGGATCCAGCAGCAGAGATGCTGTGCAGAGGAGCCTTGGGAGTATGCTACCATCCAGCAAGATAGCACAAATCCCTGGCCCTGAGGTTTTAAAATTACAACACAACCTTGAACTGGGATTGAACGTGGGAAACGATTCAGCAGGCTTGCCATCCTCCCCCACCCTGGATATTGATCAGTCCATTGAACAGCTTAATAAATTAATATTAGAACTGGACCCAACATTTGAGCCTATTCCCACATGTATCAAGACAATCAGCAGAGACACAAGCCAGCTGAACGGCCTTGCCAGCCCTAAAATGGACATGGGGGGGTTTGGGATGAGCCCCAGATTCCATGGGAAGGGAGAAGTCCTGGACAGAAACCTGCCTCAGCAGGGTGAGTGCATCAATGAAATGTGTTTTTCTTCTGTGGTTAAAAGCTTCCATTTGCCATTGCATAGTGTGAATATGTTAAAAGTTTGTCACTGAGAAATGGAGTATCTCAGTATCTCCCTATTACAGATCTCTGGAACATTGGGATGGAACTGAAGTCATTTATCTTTTTTCATTAATATGTTTCTTTCTACACCTTATATCAAAATAATTTCTGTCTTTATATTTCAATCATTATATTAAACCCAAAGAGGCACGCATAGACCATGAAATCCCAAGATTCAAAGTGGCCAATCAGATCTTCCCTGTTACGATTTGGGTTTCTCGTGTCACTTCCTCTCCCGCTGGATCCTCCCTGGGAGAAGATTCGGGGGTGAGAATGGCAGTTCTCGTTCTTTTCAGTTGCTTTAGTTCTGTGAGGTTCAGGCTGGGGAGACAGATGAGTAAGGAGAGAGTATATTCAAATATTTATTTATTGTTATTTTATTTGTTAAATTTGTGTACCACCCTTCATCTTTAGCTCTCACAAAATGTATAAGAAAAACAAGAAGGAAAAAGCACAAACCAGTAAACGCCCTCCCTCACTCCTCCCACAAACACATTAAAAAAGGGTATAAGATGTTAATCAAGCCAAAGGCCTGGTTGAAGAGAGACATTTTGCCTGGCACCTAAAGGTGTACAGTATAAAGACAGTCTAGAGTTGTGAACATTTTTGGAATTGTTTATTTTGGAGACAGTTACAGTGACACCTCCAAGTTAATAAGAAAGAGCTGTTCACAGAGTTAGTTGCTTAGTCCTCCTCCCAAGCTGAAATGAGCATATCCTATCTGTGTGATTGTACAGATAACCCCACACTGTATATAGTCGAGGGGACTGCATTTGTTTGTGCCTCCACAATGGGAAGATGGTCAGAAGCAAGGTTTAGGGCTGCTTAGAATAAATATTAATTATTTGGTAATATTCTATCTAGCCCAGCATTCTGTCTCCTTAGCAGCATACATAGACCCAGGAGAAGTAGACTTACTTTTTTGTTTTGTCTATAATGCAGGTACTTTACTTGCGATTTGCCATTTATGGGAAAAAAAGGTCATTATTCATTTACTTTTTCCCCCTTAGGAGAAACTCATGAGACAAGAATTATGAAAGACTCCCTGTATAACTCTTTTCTTTTTATTATGAACAGAGTTCTCAAAATACAAGCAATATGTAAAAAAGAAAAAAGTTGTAAAAATTCATCACCATCATCATTTATTATTTATTCCCCGCCCATCAGGCTGGGTTTCTCCAGCCACTCTGGGCGGCTTCCAGCAAAATATTAGTAAAGGTAAAGGGACCCCTGACCATTAGGTCCAGTCATGGAGAACTCTGGGGTTGCGGCGTTCATCTTGCTTTATTGGCTGAGGGAGCCGGCGTACAGCTTCCGCGTCATGTGGCCAGCATGACTAAGCCGCTTCTGGCGAACCAGAGCAGCGCACAGAAACGCCGTTTACCTTCCCACCTATTTATCCACTTGCACTTTGACGTGCTTTCAAACTGCTAGGTTGGCAGGAGCTGGGACCAAGCAATGGGAGCTCACCCCGTCGTGGGGATTCGATCCACCGACCTTCTGATCGGCAAGTCCTAGGCTCTATGGTTTAACCCACAGCGCCACCTGCGTCCCAGCAAAATATTAAAATACCATAAATAATGAGACATGTGGAAAGCACCAAACATTGGGAGTGCTTTGAATCTGAATGTAGTGTTTCGTGTATATGTGTGTGTGTGTGTGTTCCCCATCCCTTTTAAGCTAGATCTCACTGCAGTCTTAAAGAGGGAGGCTCTGAATGGCTTTTGGAAGCATTTGTGAATGTCCCCCACCTTTAACCGTGGCTGTGACATCAAAATCGGGCTCAACAAGGAAGACCTTTAAGGTTGACCCTGTGTTCTGAGCAGGACTTGCCCGGTAAGCAAGGTGGAGAGCTTGAAAGCTCTCCTCCAGCTCCGCAAAGGTAAGGATGCTCACACAGGGGCAGTTCCAAGGGGACGCATACTCATGTATACTCATTTCTGCATATACGCACCATCCCCCAAATATCACCCCCACATAAGATGCAAATGTGCTGTATTTTCAGAGACCACTGAAACATCTCTAGGAGAATCTTGCTGATGAAAAGCAGATCTCAGAAAATAGCAGCTGTGTTCTCTGCCCGGTTTGTAGAGGCGGAATCTGCTCTTCCCAGTTTAAGGCCAACAGAAATGGCTTCGTCCACAGCTGATCCAAGGGTTGAGAGGCCTTTGGCTAATGCCTCTGGCCAGGCCACTCTCAGCTGAATACCTGGCGGGAACGGAAGTAAATACAACCTCAGGGTTCAGGCTAATGTCTCTCAGGTGTTTCCCTTCCCTTTCACCCCAGTTCTCCCTTCCAGCCAGGAAAGCGGCAAATGTTTACTGTGACAATACTTAACAGGTTTCATCTAAATTCAGCCAGTTATTGTAGAATTACCACAAGACCTGCTATTTCTAAAATTGGATCATCCAAGTTTTCTGTGGTGATAAGATATTTCACAAATTGAATTATGAATATCCAGCTCTTCTGGGCATCAGTCATACAAGAAATATGCAAAATAACTAAGCAGGTATTAGAAGTCACCCCAGAACTGGCCTTACTAAACATCTTCCAAGATAATAATGCCCATTTACACCACAAAGAGCTCATAACCCACCTACTCTCAGCAGCCAGAAGCATCATAGCCAGACACTGGAGAGACCTGTCAGGAGTAAGCCTGGACCAATGGTACCAAATAGTAGGGGAAACAGCCCTAATTAACCAACAAACTGAAACTGACACAGGGACAAATAGAAGAAGACGCCTTCATCACATACACAGCCCACAAGACAACAACAGGAACCCGCCAACAGCATTCGAATCAATCTGTCTAACCTGATCCAAAAACACACACACACCTCACTCACACACGAAAACAAAGTTCACCACAGCCAATCACAAACAAGCAACCACACCCATGGCCAACCCCAACCCCTCTCACCACCAAAGGAATACAAGCGAATAGTAAAGAGAACCCGCACAAGCGATGCTGACACAAACCCCCCCACATACATTAAATAGAATAGAAGCATTGCCACCCTCCCCCTCCCCCTCCCCCTCCCCCTCCCCCTCTTTCTCCCTTTTCTTCCTAATGTAACACTAATGTCTCAACAAATGAAACTGACCTGTAGAAAATGTAACTTGAAAAAAGAGACATTGCACATAACTTTTGTAAACCAAGAAATCTTTAATAAAAATATATTATTAATAATAATAAATTGAATCATAAACAGTGTACTAGAAGCAGACCACTTTTTGCCTGTTCCCTGGAAAGAAAATATTTTAGGATGGAAAAGGGGCTTTTAGCCTAACTTTCCCTTAGGCTGTGCTTAAAAAGGGAAGCTTCCATTTGCCACCCTGCTATGTCTTCCCCATTTCTTTCTCCCCTACGCTTACATAAAAATGCACACATGTGCTGGCAGCTGTAGCATTTCTGATAAACAAGGAAGAATGTCTTATAAATATTCAGCAACCGGCGTTAATTCCTTTTTATGAGCAAATAGCAGTACAGAGATGACATATGGCAAGTATTGACCGGGGCTCACTTGGAATGCAAAATGTTAGAATTTACTTTGGCTAGGTTTGCTGACAACACTGCAGTCAGTGATGCCATTTTAAGTAAATCTACTTGATTTTATCCTTGGCAATGAATTACATCTCTTTGCTGCAAACTCACTTTACCTGGTGGTCACTTTTTATATTGCCCAATAGATTTTGCTGCAAAGTATCTGTCTGAATGTTTAACGTGTAACCAGATCGAGCTTCTCTGTGTGTTTGTATCTCCAGGCTCTCAAGCAGATGACGTATTGAGTGGACTAAACAAGAAGTTAAGCCGGGCACAGTTTGAGAACAATGTCTCAGCACAGCCATTATATCCAAAGTGTGAATGGGCGGAGCCTTCTGCGGAAAGACTAGGTTCATACAGGCCTGGAGGGGAGTCAAATGAGGTAAGAAAGTTGGTTGGCATCCATCTGTCTTGAGAAAGAATGGAAGAGTGCGCCTTTGGGGGTGAGGCCAAGCTGTTGGAAGGTTGCAGCACCTGCTGTGTCTGTAGAGGCTGATAGGGGAGAGACATGTTTTGTTGCAGCTGGGGCAGAGGAAGGCATCTGGTTGTGCTGCTGCAGGTGTACCATGGTGTTTCTTCCTTCTGCACTCCTCTCAGCAGTCATTCCTCCTCTGGTCACTGCTGTCGATATGTGACCTGACTGGTTGTCTCCAGGTGCTGCTGTTGTCTACAAGGGAGTCCCACATGGCGGGGTTGAGGTTGCCAGCTTTCATGTCATGTTTGCAGGTACCTTTGTGTAACACAGTTGGTCTGCCAATGGGTCTGATGCATGAGGCCAGTTCCCCGTAGAGCACATCCTTGGCGAATGTTGCTGGTGTCAGCAGCAAGTTGGATGCTCTGGCACAGCTCTAGGAGTCATTGGCACATCGTCTGGCAATCCGCTGGGCATCACTCCTTGCCTTTCTCAGTGTAGCAAGTGTATTTTCACAGGGAACACACTTGTAGTTGAGGAGGGCCTCACAGCAATAACAGATTCCATGTCCTTTAATGCCAGCCTCTAACCAGCCGGAAGTCGGTTTGTTTCTTTTGCCCAAGGAGGACATAGCTGTGTTATAGGTTGCCTCTTGGATGCGGTCTCACCTTGCTTCAACACTATGTCTGGTGCAGGTCAGTAGAGCTTGTTCAGCAAAATCAGGGAAGCACTCAAAAAGTTCAGGCATGACTGTTCTGGCAGTGTTGATTCAAGGCCGCACTTTCTACTTTGGGCTGTCTTTGGCTGGAGATGGATCTTTCTTGCCACCAGGGAGTGACTATCTGTGTCACAGTCAGCATTGTGGTAGCTCCATGTGGCACAAACACAGTTCAATGCTGATTGCCTGGTGACAATCAAGTCCAGCTGGTTCCTGTGGCCCGATATTGGCTGTTTCCAGGACACTCAATGTTTTGCCTTGGTAGAGAAGAACGTGCTCGTGGCGCAAAGGCTGTGCACAGTTCAAGCAGGCCTTCCTTTGCCCGTTTTCCTTCATGCTGCCAATAATACCAAAGTGTCCAATGTGTGATGATCGTTCCCAACTCTAGCACTGAATTCTCTCAGCAGGAATAGGTGTTCTTAGGCTGGGACCCTCCTGACAACCTGGTCTTGATCCTCTTAGAACTGGTCCTTGGTCTGTATGGTCAGAGGACAAAGTGGGAGCCTAGACACTCAAGATGCTAACCAGACCGGAGGTTGTTGAGAGGCGGAGGGAAAGCAAGCATTCTGAGCCCTCCGGCTGGTGATTCTATCACAGGCAGAAGAGAAGTCCTCACTGTGAAAGCTATGCCGTGAATGTGCCCTCCTTGCCAGAAAAAGGTGTAGTTTTACTCTCAGAGGCTGCCATTCGAAGTGAGTCTGGTGTCCTGCAGAGCAGCAAGGTCAGTGTTGAGCCTTTTCAGCTCACGGTCAATGACGGCCATCTTCCATGAGTCATTGACCTGTAACAGGCTGGTGGACAAGCCAGGACACATGGTCCTGATGTACCAGCTTGCTAGGCACAAAGGAGTTTGTTTCCATTGCCTTAGGGACTCCATTCCGGATTTGTGTAGAGTTTACTCCTTCACCTTTTCTTCTCCCAAAGATGTTCTGCAAGGCAGTGGGTTTGGATTGTTCCTCAGGGTTTACTCCTGAAACTTTTCTCAAGAATGAGTATGGCTGCAAGGCATGAAGGTTTAGGATCAGCATTGTCCTAGACAGGCTCCCTTTCCAAGATGACAAGCCCCACCTGCCCCTCATTTCCCTCAGCAGCAGGTGCAGGAAGCGCTTTACTGACCCTTGGACCCAGTGTTGGTCTTGTCCACTCAATCCGCCAGAGCCTGTCTTTGCATGCAGGGATGTCCCTCACTCACCAAGGGTTTCAGACCCATCAGTCAACCTCACCTGTTTAGCCAGGCATTTGAAGCCATTTCCCCCCAGGGCGTGTCCGCTGTCGCCTGCTGACAGCTTCTAGGAGCCACAGGTGAGAGCTGAGTGCAGGGGTGGGGGGCAAAGATGAGCAAACTGCCCAAGAAGGAGCGCTGCGTGTCCCCCACCAGAGGTACTTCCTCTCCCCTGACACCCCATACACCCCAGGTAAGAACGTATTACTTGAGTAAGAATGCCTAATCTACCACTGTTTTCGAGATTGTCTGCATGCCTGCAAAGATTTGGAACCAGCCCTGTGCTGTTGTTGTAGTTACCACTTTGGACCCAGGAGATGTAAATCTGGCAATGGGGTCAGTGGTCATTTCCCCAGATTAACTGCGACTGGGCTGCATGTGTCCACTTGTCTGCGGCTTTAGGAGCGCTGAGATCTTTCTGTTTTAAAAGAGGGGCAAAAGGTTTATGTAGGCTGACTTGATCATGCCTGGAAAAATGGGCTTCCTCCATGTTTCTATTTTATATTCTAGAGGAGTGTTGAACACTATCAGGAAGACCTGGATGAAGCAGACAGCAGCATCTTCTCACCAACAAAAAATGGGAATGAAACGCTCCAAACTACTCCAGCATTTCCAGTATCACCAGAGACTCCCTATGGTGAGACAGCGAGTTTTGTATTTTGCTTCTATATCTTATAACCAGGGCTTTTTTCAGCCGGAACTCACTGGAACTCAGTTCTGGCGCCTCTCAAGTGGGTGCCATTGCCATTGTCCTCACAGCTCTGGCCTCTCAGAACTGTGCTCTTAGAACTGTTAGAATTGTTCCACAGTACAGACGAGACTTTCCTTGTGCAAAATAGCTGCAGCTTCTTCAACTGTTTGCTTAACATTAATAACAGGAAGCAAAACAGGGAGTATAAATAGATAAAAAGTAGGTATCTTGTGCACTTAATGGTCATATAAAAGACGGAATTTCAGCAGACATGTCTCTTTAGACTCTCACATGGCAAGGTGCACCTGCCAAAATTCCCTTTTCTGTATAGCTGTTGAAAATACAGGGACTTCATTCTTCTTTGCATTTGATCACCCTAGAGACCCAGACCTATTGCAGTATTAACAACAATAAAATTGCTGAAGTGTGCAAGAGGCCTGAGTTGGATCAGATGCTATATTTAGCTTTGCATGTTTTGTCAGCTAAAACAGTTAATCATTTACAGAGAATCCAGGTACACATATTCCTGAATGTGGACTCTGCACATAGGTGACATTTTAAGTATATTTTATCCTGCATGGTTGATGAAGTTTGGCGCTTCATGAGAACAAAGAATTTCTAGAATATTTTTCCTACTGCTAACATTTCTGTGGACAGTCTGCAAATTCAGTCGTTTGGCTGCTTGAGCAGTGTTACTATGCTAATTACTGAAACATTTCATTGCATAAATGATATCTTAATAAAGCACTGCCTTCAGAGTTACATAATCTATTCAGTGCAGAAGGCTTTTGGAGTGTGGGGTGTCCGGGTGTGAACTTGCACACGCATCCATACTCACCTCGATTATTATTGCAGGCACCCCACCCCACCCCGTTTACACAGGGGTTACGTTCCAGGAGCTTGTGCATGTAGGTGAAGCTGTGTAAAGTGGGAGCACCCCACTTTAATAGGGAGAGAAGAAAGAGAGACAAGTGTCTCTGGAGTAGAGAGGCTTGGAAGTTGGCAACTCTCCCCCCCCCCCCCCAGCGTGTGGTGAGGGCGGGGGTGGAGTAAGGTGCACCAGGTGAGCAATAGGGGGTTGAGGCTAAGCTGGGCAGGTTGACCTTCCCTCCCCCTCGCCCTCCACGCACTGGCACCTCATTCCCAAGTGGGGGTTGGGGTGCTTGGGTTGCCTGCAGGCTCCACCCCAGGCTGCCAAGCCATCTCCTGCTGCAAGCTGGGCAAGAGGGCAACCGAGAGCAGCCACTGCCCTCCCACCCACCCCCTTGATGCTGCCGCCCACCACATCCTGGGGCTTCTGCACTGCAGCCTTTCCCTGGTTTGGGCAGCAGCCCCAGCGAGGGGAGGGAGGACAGTCTATGTATTTATTTATTTTGTGGCCGTCCACATAAATGCAGTCACACAGGAGTGGGAAGCGAGGGGGGGTATATAAAAACAGGATGAAATAGATTAAAACCACAGAGCCATCCATATTCCCACCTAGGCAAAGAGAAGGGGGCAGATCTAACCTTAATAATATACATACAGAAACATCACAATAGAGGTGGTGATACCTACTAGGGGCAGGTAACAGAAGCCTGGATATCCTCTTAGCAAAATGGGACCAACTGAGCATAAGTTGCCATACTTTGTGCTATTTCTAGTGTGTCCCTTGATGGTGAATTGTCCCAGAACTGGACAAAGCTTCTCAGAGGGAGCTTCTATTATTGGGCATGTTCATAAATGAACTGTTTCTGGTGGTATTTTTCCCTTTTCTCCTTGACAAAAACATGTTTGTCAGAGAGGACTATGATCTGTGCATGTTCAGTCAAGCCGGGTGCTTTCTGTTTCTGCATACCAAAATATGTTGTCACTGTCAGTGAAAATGACTTGGAAAAAACAAATGATCTGCAACCAGACTATTTCTATGAAGATCTGTCAAATAGATGCCCCAGAATTCTTTGGCTTTTTAGGTTCATCCAAGTTTTTGATTAAACTGGTTTGAGATTCCTCTTTGGAAACTATAAAACAGAAGCTGCTGATAGGACCTTAAAGAAAGTTAGTTTTTAATGTTTACTCCATCAGTATGTTCCTGTTTTCTCATCTGTTTGTTAAAAATATACCCTGCCTTTCACCTCAGTTAGACCAAGGCAGCTGGACAGTAAGCATAAATACTGCAGCGCTCTGAGCACATTATAATACATGGGTGTAGATCTGGGGCAGATCCTGCACCCAAGATCCTGCCCACCCCATTCCCATATCCATACATTATATCTAAATGAATGTCTGAGAAGGGCTCTAGTCTGCACTGAGCTAGCGTCTTCTTTGAGCCAGGAAGCTCTTAGTTCACATTTCATCCTTGAACTCCCTTGGTGGTCTCAGGGAAGGCACTTTTCTGTCTATCTTGTGCTATTTCCCCCCACTATGTCGCTGTGAGAATAGCTGCTTTTTCTGCACCCTGCATTTTGTGCTATCGTAAGGTACATTTTGTGTGCTTTGCTGCTAATTTATTCATCATGTTTGTCTGCAAGTTTAAATTCTGCATTTGCTGGATGCTTCTGTTTTTATGTTGTGTTCTTACCTGTTTGTGAGTCAGATAATGAAGGATTGGTGAGATTGAGGGTCAGGACACCACTGATCAGGCTTGCCTCCCATGATTGAGGGGTCTGGGGCCATGCAATGTCACCACACACATGCATGCACTCCCCACAACATGCACGCATGACGTCAGCACGCCCCACAGCCCCACATAGATGGCGCCCCTGCCACTGATCCTTGGGTCTCCAGCAGAAGGGGTTATGGCAGTGGAGATGCGAATGGCCATGAAAGGGAACTGAGGAGCCTCATGCTGCCTTCACTTGTCCAGGAGCAGCCTGGTTGCTGAATCAGCAGCTCCCTTGAGTCTTCAGCTCCTGCTGCTCAATGCCAGTGGAACATACAGTGGTACCTCGGGTTACAGACGCTTCAGGTTACAGACGCTTCAGGTTACAGACTCCGCTAACCCAGAAATAGTACCTCGGGTTAAGAACTTTGCTTCAGGATCAGAACAGAAATTGCATGGTGGCGGCACGGCAGCAGTGGGAGGCCCCATTAGCTAAAGTGGTCTTCAGTTTAAGAACGGCCCTCCAGAACGAATTAAGTTCTTAACCCGAGGTACCACTGTAGTTCATTTAGGATTTAATCCTGGATAAGCATGTTGTTCTGGTTTGTATTACTAATACCTAGCTGGAGAAATGGGGTATGTTTGTAAACTCCTCCCAGTTATGTCCATGAGGTTTCTTGGAATGGTCTTCATAGGCAGGAACCTGCAATCTTCTAATTTCAAGTTCTGACGCTGGGAATGGGCAAGGCAGAGATAGGTTAAGAAATAGGGGTTCAGCCTGTCTTAGGTGAGGTGGAAGATTCAGGTTCACAATTTGGGAATTCCTGGGATTATTTTATGTTATTGATTGATTTATTTTATAAGACTACTTATAAACCACCAGCTCATGAAAAATACCACATTGGTATCATTAAAACATCATAATACAGTGGAACCTCGGTTTTCAAGCTTCTCGGAAGCCGGACGTTTTGGAAGCCGAATGCCAAAAACCCGGAAGTAATTGCTTCCGTTTTTGAACACGCCTCAGAAGTCAAACGGCTTCCGCTGCATGCTTTTCTTTTTTCTCAGTGGATTTTGCCGACTGCCCCTTGCTCCTGATTTCCAACATTTTGGAAGTCAAACGGTCTTTGAGAACAGACTACAGTGGTGCCTCGCAAGACGAAATTAATCTGTTCCGCGAGTCTCTTCGTCTTGCGGTTTTTTCGTCTTGCGAAGCACGGCTATTAGCGGCTTAGCGGCTATTAACGGCTTAGCGGCTATTAATGGCTTAGCGGCTTTAAGAAAAAGGAAACAAACTTGCAAGAACTCGCAAGACGTTTCGTCTTGCGAAGCAAGCCCATAGGGAAATTCGTCTTGCGGAACGACTCAAAAAACGCAAAACCCTTTCGTCTAGCGAGTTTTTCGTCTTGCGAGGCATTCGTCTTGCGGGGCACCACTGTATGTTCAAAAACCGAGGTTCCACTGTACTATAAAATTATAAAATACAGAGCAAAATACTGCTGCAATCCCAGGAGTTGCTGTGGAAGATATCCACAACTGGCCAGTTTACATATTGCATTTTTCCATTTGAGGCTACATCTTTGTTTGCACAAAAGAGCACTGTGAAAATGTGTCTTCCTCTACTTTTAAGTTGTGTGTCAGGTAAGCAATCTGGCCCACGAACAGCTAATCCCATTTGGAAAAGCAGGTAGCCTTCTTCAAGCAGTATGTAGTTCCCCCTGGCTTTTCAAATTAAATGTAAACATCAAAAACATCCAGCAGTGGAAACTCGGTAGCTGGCATTGTGAGGGCAGCTAGTTTTGCAATGGAGGGTTCCTGTGTGCTTCTGAAGAAACAAGAATGCTCTGTGTATCCCACTCTGGGACTTATAAAGACCCTCTTGTCTTATGCCTCAAGCAGTGAATTGAGGTCCCTTTGTGTAGCTGCATTACACAAGCTAAAACATTCTGCACCAAGCCAATTGCCAGAGATTTGAGCTGCGTCTCACAAATGTTCTGTGCTTGAACATTTGCTGCCATAGAATCACAGGACTTGGAAAGGATTTTCAAAGGTCAGCAGAAGCTGACACAGAGACTGGATTCATTAAGCCAAAACTGTCCACAGAGAGAGGTTTCTTCAGTCTAGCTTTCAAAATCTCCAGCCCATATATTAACCCACTCCTGCAAAACCGTCCCAGCGTGCCGGGGGGGGGGCAGTCAGGACATGGTGGAGGGCCACTTCTCAAATGGCTAGGCTATGAAGAGGCCTGGCCTGGCTAGTAAGCAACAGTGGCGTAGCGTGGGGGGTGCAGGGGGGGCCGGCCGCACCGGGCGCAACATCTGGGGGTTAGGGTTAGGGGGCGCAAATCCACGGGTTAGGGGGCACAAATTACTTGCCTTGCCCCGGGTGCTGACAACCCACGCTACGCCACTGGTAAGCAACAGGTTTTTTTGGAAGCTTGTAACTGAGCCCACAAAACACCCCACCAAATAGCATTTGTTGTCTTTCTTTCTTTTAAAACTTCTCTTAGTTCAAGGAGCCTTAAGGAAGAAAGGCCCACAAGAAGGAAGAGAAGTGGACTGTTCTGCTTAGCACCATTGCTCTTGCCTTGTATGCAGTGTCAGGGCCTTCCTGAGAAGCAAACTAAGCACCCAGGCAGGGAACAAGCACGCCTGCAAAAAGTGTGTCCCTTATGTGCAGACAGGAAGGGCCAGGCAAGCGTCTTTCTTGCTTTCCTTGTTCCCCGTGACCGCAAGCAAAATATGCCTTTGCTACTCTCTTGCTATCTTTCTCTTACTGGCACTGGGAAGCAGTTCTTGTGGGGAAGGTTCTATAGGTTGGGCAGTGAGGCTCATCTCTTCAGTCCCTGGCCATGATCCAAACAGAGATAAGCCCCCATAGCAAGGGAAACTTCTTTCTTAAGGCTTCTGGGTTCAAGCAGGGGTGGGTGGGGGAGTGATTTCTGTGTTGTTATTGTGGATGGGGAGAGGAGTGGTCTCTTTCTGACTCCTTTTCAAGCAACCCACCAGCAAAATTTTCCCCATTCCGTCCATCACTGATAATGGCCCGTCTGGCTTCCATTGAAAACTTCTTACCAGTGGGGTTCTTGTAAGAAATATCTTCAAATATATAATGTATATATTGCATTGCATAAATTCTGCTGCTTTTTATTCATTTTGGGTCTAATCCAACCCAAGTTGGTCATGGTGCCTTGTCTAACTTCATTGCTATAGTCATGACTGGATTGCATTGGAGATATTTTATGGCTGCCAGATCTACCCTATATGTCTGTCTGTCTGCATTCACTCCTTTACTAATATCAAGGCGATGGTAATTGTTAGAAGTAGAAATCAAACAAGGTGTGGGATCAGCCCATATTTATCTGACTTCATCTCCCTTTTTTCCCTTGCTAGTATCAGTTCTTCAGAATTTCTAGCATCTTTTGGAAAGGTGGTGACACTTTACTGCCTCTCAAACCAAGTTTGAATAATTATAAATCTGCTGTCAGGGATAACATTTATTGTTGTTACATGGACAGCTACCCATGTTTCCTTGAGTGGGGGGGGCGCTGTGGCCCCTGAGATGTTGTTGGGCACCAGCCCAAGGATAAGCATAAGGATCAGGGACAGTTGCACCCCAACAACATGTGGGAGCCTCAAGTTCCCCATTCCTGTCCTCAAGGATGTCGGTTCCCCCAGCTTCCTGGATTATTCTTGCTATCAGATGTTTGCATTGTTCTGTTTCTTGTGTTTACACTGAACTTCCAAGAGTTTGTGGATCTCAGAACTCAGGTGGAAGATGAGATGGATACAATTTTAGCTTCCAACAATACCCTAAAATTTGTAATTGCAGATAAAGATAAATATTTGGTACAAAGCAAAGCATGTGTGTCTCTTGTTCAGTATGCAGCAGGCTGGATTTTCCTGAATAGATTTTAAAAGGTTGTTTGTTTTAATAATTGGTAGGCCGCCCTTCTGCATAAATATTTCTAGGATGGCTTACAAGTTAAAATATAGAACACATGCAGACAATGAAAATCAAGATAAAAGATAACGCTGTGACGGGGTGGGAAAATGCTCTGCCCCACCCCCTTCTTTGTCCAACTGCAACCCAACAGTCCTACAGTGTTATCAACAGGTCTTTCTCTCTGGTAGTTGCTGCCACCAGCTTCCCACTTACCGTACTCTTGCAGCCCTGACGGGAGGGGACCTGGGTGCACCAAACAGATTACTTTTGGAAAGGCTGCAAGCCAGTGCACTTGGCACTCCCCAGTTTAACCGCGACACAGATTGCTAGGGAAAGCAGGGCTAGCTTCCAGCTGCCCTTTCCTTGTCCAAGATCAAAGAAGCTTGCTCATTTCCCTGGGGACTCTGAGACCAACGCGCCTTGCGTTTCCCAGGCAGTTCCCTTATTAGTTACTCAGAGTGTACAAGCAGCCTACACTCCCCGGGTCTCTCCCACGTCTCGGAAAAGCGCGCTGGTCTACTACAATCCTGATCCTAAACTTCCTAGCCTATTCTTTACATGACAGATGTTATGGTTTACTCACAAATAAGCAGCAAAGATAGCCAACTTCATAGAAAGTCCATTCTGGACTGCAGGGAACTTGACTCTCAGAACCCCTTCCAGCTCAACAGTATGTGTGTGAATGTGCTTATTAAGATTTTTCTTAAGTAATAAAAGTACATGCAGCATCTGTTTTCAAATCATAGAGTCCTTCAAACAGGTCACTTACATTCAGGGTGAGACATTATTGTCTCTTCCCTCTCCTGGGAGGAGTGAATCCTGACTGTTTCTGACCAGTAAGATCCCAAATGTTCATATTATTACCAAGCAAGGTATTGAAAACTGGTGGTTTATTCTGTATGTTAAATGTTGGAAGTAAAGAATGTTTGCTCATTCATTCATTCATTCATTCATACAAGGAAACAAACACTGAACTTTATTTGCTGCCAGTTAAAGTCTCCGCTTACAATACAACCATTACTCATTTCATGCTAACCGTAGGTATATAATTTGTTGTCCAGGTAAGACTCTCCAAGAGTGCATGGCAAACTGATTAAGAGCGCACTCTGAGAGGGAAACTCCAGAGGCTGCAATCCTAAACTATGAAATAAATTCAGTGAATTTAGTGGAACTTACATCTGAGCAAACATGCAAAGGATGGCACTGGGAAAGGATGTTTTGCTCTATGAAACTTGGAAGTAGGTGATGAGCAGGTCTGCATTCTCCATCACCCAACAGCCTTTCTCCATCTTCTCCATGCAAAGGACCTTCTCCTTCCTTTCTCTTTCTCTTTCTTCAGCCATAAGTGAAAAAACCACTTTCTATTATTAACTTCTCTTGCAATCCTGAGCTCATTCTGAGCTTTAGCCTGCATGACCTTCCCTCTGCAAGTGTTGGCTACTCATTTATATTCTTGTAGCATTTCTAGCCACAGTGCCTATGTTTGACTGCTAGGCCCATTTATGAAAGTAATTTTATACACTAATGTCCTATTTCACTGCAAATTTGTTTTGCTTCTCCTGAACAGGGACATACCATCTGAAAGCTGAGAGGGAGGGAGAGATAACAGATCATGCTTGGGGAGTCTCCCACTTCCTTCTTGGGTCTCCCACTTCCTTCTTGGGTCTCATTTTTTAATGTGGAAAACATCCTCTCCACACACCCCAGAAAAATAGGACTGCTTTCGTGAGAGCCAGTGTGGTGTAGTGGTTAAGAGCGGTGGACTCGTAATCTGGTGAATTGGGTTCGCATCTCCGCTCCTCCACATGCAGCTGCTGGGTGACCTTGGGCCAGTCACACTTCTCTGAAGTCTCTCAGCCCCACTCACCTCACAGAGTGTTTGTTGTGGGGGAGGAAGGGAAAGGAGAATGTCAGCCACTTTGAGACTCCTTCAGGTAGTGATCAAGCGGGATATCAAATCCAAACTCTTCTTCTTCTTCTTCTTCTTCTTCTTCTTCTTCTTCTTCTTCTTCTTCTTCCTCTTCTTCCTTTGGAGAGGCCCCAGCAGCAGACATGTAATCTAAGGAAATTAACCAAGATTACTTTCTTGTGGGAAATGGGGCTTCTGTGCTTTCTCTTTTAAAATGTTGGCAAAAACGCTGAGATATTACAGTCCACGATGGAATGGCACAAGCGGGCGGTTAGAATCATAGAATCATAGAGTTGGAAGAGACCACAAGGGCCATCGAGTCCAACCCCCTGCCAAGCAGGAAACACCATCAGAGCACTCCTGACATATGGTTGTCAAGCCTCTGCTTAAAGACCTCCAAAGAAGGAGACTCCACCACACTCCTTGGCAGCAAATTCCACTGTCAAACAGCTCTTACTGTCAGGAAGTTCTTCCTAATGTTTAGGTAGAATCTTCTTTCTTGTAGTTTGGATCCATTGCTCCGTGTCCGGTTCTCTGGAGCAGCAGAAAACAACCTTTCTCCCTCCTCTATGTGACATCCTTTTATATATTTGAACATGGCTATCATATCACCCCTTAACCTCCTCTTCTCCAGGCTAAACATGCCCAGCTCCCTTAGCCGTTCCTCATAAGGCATCGTTTCCAGGCCTTTGACCATTTTGGTTGCCCTCCTCTGGACACGTTCCAGTTTGTCAGTGTCCTTCTTGAACTGTGGTGCCCAGAACTGGACACAGTACTCCAGGTGAGGTCTGACCAGAGCAGAATACAGTGGCACTATTACTTCCCTTGATCTAGATGCTATACTCCTATTGATGCAGCCCAGAATTGCATTGGCTTTTTAGCTGCCGCATCACACTGTTGGCTCATGTCAAGTTTGTGGTCAACCAAGACTCCTAGATCCTTTTCACACGTACTGCTCTCAAGCCAGGTGTCACCCATCTTGTATTTGTGCCTCTCATTTTTTTTGCCCAAGTGCAATACTTTACATTTCTCCCTGTTAAAATTCATCTTGTTTGTTTTGGCCCAGTTCTCTAATCTGTCAAGGTCGTTTTGAAGTGTGATCCTGTCCTCTGGGGTGTTAGCCACCCTCCCAGTTTGGTGTCATCTGCAAATTTGATCAGGATGCCCTTGAGTCCATCATCCAAGTCGTTGATAAAGATGTTGAATAAGACCGGGCCCAAGACAGAACCCTGTGGCACCCCATTAGTCACTCTTCTCCAGGATGAAGAGGAACCATTGATGAGCACCCTTTGGGTTTGGTCAGTCAGCCAGTTACAAATCCACTGAGTGGTAGCATAGTCAAGACCGCATTTTACCAGCTTCTTTACAAGAATATCATGGGGCACCTTGTCAAATGCCTTGCTGAAATCAAGGTAGGCTACATCCACTGCGTTCCCTTCATCTACCAGGCTTGTAATTCTGTCAAAAACGAGATCAGGTTAGTCTGACATGACTTATTTTTCAGAAATCCATGCTGACTATTGGTGATCACAGCATTCCTTTCTAGGTGCTCACAGACTGTTTGCTTAATGATCTGCTCCAGAATCTTCCCTGGTATTGATGTCAGACTGACTGGGCGGTAATTATTTGGGTCCTCTCTTTTCCCTTTTTGAAAATAGGGACAACATTTGCCCTCCTCCAGTCTGCCGGGACTTCGCCTGTTCTCCAGGAATTCTCAAAGATGACTGCCAGTGGTTCTGAGATCACATCTGCCAGTTCTTTTAATACTCTTGGATGCAGTTCATCTGGCCCTCATCTGGTTGTGCTGCTTAATTTGAAATGGCTGTGAAAACAGAAGTGCTTGGCTCTTTTAGCAGGTTATAATTTTCCAGAGTGGATTGGGGGACATTCAGTGAGTAGGATGACTTTTACTCACCTGGACCAGACAGGCCTTGCAGGCCTTTTGCCCCCTCCTTTTCCCTTAGGTATTTACCGTATTTTTTGCACCATAACACTCACTTTTTTCCTCCTAAAAAGTAAGGGGAAATGTCTGTGCGTGTTATGGAGGGAATGCCTACGGGTGGCATGCCTACGGATTTTCCTCCTCTAAAAACTATGTGCGTGTTATGGTCGGGTGCATGTTATAGAGCAAAAAATACAGTAAATGTACAGTGTTTTTCTTGTGAGTTTTTTCTTTCCTTTTCCTGGCCCAAGGCTCTCTCTCCTGGGGCTCACAGGGGTTGGAGCTAGCACTCAGTTAGCCACTCAGCCTTCCTTCCAGGGCTCTTCTCTTGGCTTCTCGCCTTCTGTGTTATTAGCGATGGGGAGGGTGAAGCAAATCACAGTCTTAAGCCTGTCTCTGAGAGAGAGTGGAGGAGGGAGACATTCTAGATGAAGTCTGTAATGCTCCTGCCTTCTCTTGCTTGGACTACTTTGCTATTCTTGCAGAGTTCATTGCTCCAACAGCAGCATGCCTGGTATTGGTGCAATTCTCCTTGTGGAGCAGCAGGATCTCCTTTAAGAAGCTGGCAGGTGTGGTCACTGTTTTTTGGCAGGAACCAGTGTTCTTAATTCACTTTGAGCGGGAGATTCGTTGGCTTTCAGCTGCTAGCCTAGGACAGTGAGGTCCTACACAATACAGTCATACCTCATGTTACGTTAGCTTCATGTTACGTTTTTCAGGTTGCGTCCCGTGGCGACCCAGAAGTTACCGGAAAGGGTTACTTCCGGGTTTCACCGCTCGCGCATGCGCAGAAGCGCTAAATTGTGCTTTGCGCATGCACAGAAGTGCCAAATCACGCCGCGCACCTGCGCAGATACAGCGCTTCAGGTTGCGGGCTTTTCATGATGCGAACGGGCCGCCGGAATGGATCCCGTTCGCAACCAGAGGTGCCACTGTATCTTGAGATTGAAGAGTCACTGTTCTATCTGCCTGCAACGCATTTTACAATTCTTTTTGGGTGGTTTTTAAAGTTGTATTTCACTGCATCTGTAGTGCACTATAATTGCTCCTGACCATATTCTGTGGGAAAGGAGGGATCTATTCTCTACCTGTGTTTACTATAATTCTGGTCGTGAACATCCCTGGGCAGGGGGAATATCTTGGTATTGTACTTTCTGTAATGTCCCAAGAGGTGGGCTCAGTCATGTTGGGGGGCTCAGGACTCAGGGTGGAGTCTCCTTTCTCCCTCCCTCATAGTAAACACAGAAGGGGAAGGTCCTCTTCCTAGGAAGCCCATAAGGGAATGAGTTGGTACCACCCACGAGGTTTATAAAAGAGGACCTTACAGAGCTCTCTCCGGTTGCCATTCTGTGAGGTCTCCTTTCTTCCTCTGTTTCAGGGATGGTTCTTCTCCTGTTGTCATGGAGCCAGCTAAGAAACATGCTCAGGGGCCAGAGGGTGCTGGTCATGCTCTCGCCTCTCCACAGTGATCCTCTGTAAAAAGGAGCACGGTCTGGATCTGACCAGTCAGCCTCTAAACCTCTTGGGGTGGAGGGTGAACTTTCTGAGGAAGAAATGACGGTGGTTGGCTTCTCTCTTGTGCAACATTCTTGGTTTTCTTTTTCTTCAGGATGGGATAAATAAGCAGCTTACCGCCAACACCTTCAAAGACAAGTGACCTCTCTGAGCAGTGTTTTTTCTTGCCTGCATTCTCTTTCCATCCTACGTTCAAATGTTTCTTCGAGAGGGTTGTGTTATCTGGTCATATAGATTCCTTTTCTACAACCTAAATTGTTTTGTCACAGCTCTCCTGACTCCCCGTTTTGAGTCCTTAGCTACCTATGATCATAAGTTTATAACCGAAAGCTTATACCCAGAACAAACTGAGTTGGTCTTTAAGGTGCTACTGGACAATTTTTTACATTTTTTTTTTGACTGCGTCAGACCAACAGGGCTACCTACCTGACTCTAGAACCTTACAACTGTTTTCCTAGCAGCCATCTTCCTGCACTCATGAAATGCTGTCAGAGTGATGGGTGACCGGGGAGAGCTGCTATTTCTCCCTAACAAAGTCGGGGCAGAGGCTTCGCTGGGAAGGCACCGTGTGCCCAGAAACCGGGCTGTGCCATCCTGATCCTGGTTTCCGTTCTGGTTCTGCCAGAGTGCAGAAGGCCATGCGGGAAGCTGCCTTCCAAGTTTTTTCCTGGCGCCCCCGGGGTCTAAGAGCCGGGATGCCCAGGAGGCTTCCGCTCCTGCCGCGCTGCTGCTGCCGCCTCCCCGGCCCTTCGAGCGGCGAGCCCGGCCGGCTCCTCCTTCCCCGGGCGGGCGGGCGGGCGGGCGGGCGGCTGGAGGTGGAGCCTGGGCGGGTCTCTGGGCGCCGGCGGCGCTGCCGGCCGGGAGGAGCCGCGTCTGGCCGGGAGGCTTCCCCGGGAAGAGGCGGCGGCAGCGCGGGGCTCGGCCATGGCGGCGGCGCTAGGTAGGCGGCGGGGCTCCGAGGGGCCTGGACGGGGCGCGGGGAGGCGGGCAGCTGGCGAGCGCCAGGCCCGGGACGAGGCCCCGTGGTTGGGCACGGGCTTCCCCCGAGCAGCCAGGGACCCCGGGGCCCCGATCCCCCCGGAGGAGAAGGCTCTGCCCTCGGGATGGGCGCTGGCCTTTCTCGGCCGCGGAGGGGGACTGCGCTCCTGCCCGGGCTCTTTCCCCGCAGCTGAGCGGGGAGGATCGCCGCCGCCTCGGCGCGCAAGAGCTGAGCCCCTTGTCGTGTCTCCTGCAACTTCCGAAGGGGCCGCGTCGGCGCGGGGGAAACGGCCAGGCCCTCTCTGGGCAGGAGGAGTTCTCAAGGAAGAGATGGGTGCAAAATACTGGGCAAAGCGTAGAGTGGAAGTAAGAAGTCTTCCCGGGATCAGCATGCGAATGCGCCGGGTGCGAGCCCTTCAGAGAAGGGGCAAGAAACAGGCTGCTAGAAAACATGGTAAACAAGGTCCTCTAGGGACCCCTCGGCCTCCAAACAGGGCATCTTCCAGCCTCATGTAAGAAAAGGAAGTTAACATATTGATGAATTTTAAACCTGCTTTCTGTCTAAGAGGGTGCCTGTTTGGCTCCAGAATCTTCCTCTCTTCTTGACAGACATAATATAAGACCTTTTGTTTTGCATTGAGGCACCTGCTCATCTGGATGCGGGTGGCGCTGTGGGTTAAACAACAGAGCCTAGGGCTCACCGATCATAAGGTCGGCGGTTCAAATCCCCGTGACGGGGTGAGCTCCCGTTATTCGGTCCCTGCTCCTGCCAACCTAGCAGGTCGAAAGCACGTCAAAGTGCAAGTAGATAAATAGGTACCGCTCTGGCGGGAAGGTAAACAGCATTTCCGTGTGTTGCTCTGGTTCGCCAGAAGCGGCTTAGTCATCCTGGCCACGTGACCCGGAAGCTGCACGCCGGCTCCCTTGGCCAGTAAAACGAGATGAGCGCCGCAACCCCAGAGTCAGCCATGACTGGACCTAATGGTCAGGGGTCTCTTTACCTTTACCTGCTCATCTCAGGGGGCACCATCACCCGGTGGGAGAGCTGCTAAATTCTCACAGATTAAAAGTGCATAACTGCTGAGATGGTGCTCAATGTCACTTCTGAAGAATACCATTTGTGCTAACAAGCAAATATCTACTTTGCCCAGTGCCCAGATGACTCTTGCTTCTCTCCTCAGAGGCTTACCTAGAGGGCACAAAATTTGCACCTCTTTTGGAGGAATGAGTGGGCCCTCACAGCAGCCCTGCGGAGCCCCTTCCCCAGCCAGCCTCTGTGCTGGCACTGCTGGCTTCTTTCCAGCCAGCGTACTTACTTCTGAGTAAAGTGTGCGCTGGGGAGCAACCTCCAAGTTAGTGCCTTTCCGCTGGTGCCTCCTCAGAAGTAAGGAAAAGCCAAGCAAGGTATTGTCAGAAGTTCTTGCCTCTGGCTTGCCAAACTTAGGCTGCAGTCCTGTGTACCGTTGAACTCAATGGGATTTACTTTTGAATAGACATTTATAGGACGGTGTTGTTAAACACCCAGTTTAAGAGTTGCTTGTGAAGACTGAATTATGTCTCTTTTTTGTGTCTGGACGTGGTGGGAGGCACAGATACATCTCCTTGCCAAGGGCGCAGAGGAACCTAGGTGCACCTCTGTCTCCTCTACGAGTTCTTTTTATGTTTCTGATGGGAGTTTTAGTCCTACCTGTGGGGTACCACATTCACTACCCCTTCTTACAGTGGTTCAACCCAGACAGGTTTATTACCAGTGAGAACTGGGTCAAAGTTGCACAGGAGTGATGATAAGAGGTTGATGATAAGAGGGTTCCTGTTTGCAAACGTTCTTTGGAACCCGAACTTCTGACGGGGCTTCCGCGGCTACCGGAATTGGCTGCAGGAGGTTCCTGCAGCCAATCGGAAGCTGCGTCTTGGTTTCCGAACTTTTTGGAAGTCAAATGGACTTCCAGAACGGATTCTTTTTGGCTTCCAATGTATGACTGTACTTGTAATTGCTTCCAAATATTTCAGAATAAGCCAGGATGAGTGCACAAAGAGACTTGTATCTGTCTGGTGGCGTATGATTAAAAATACATCCTCACTTTGTTTTTGTCCCTAGTCAAACGAAAGGCATCTTTGTCTCATTTGAAATATGTGCAAATTTTGTGCCCTCTAGGTAAGCCTCTGAGGAGAGAAGCAAGAGTCATCTGGGCACTGGGCAAAGTAGATATCATTTGAAAAACTAGCACTCCTAGTTTTGCTCATAAGCTGGCACTAGTGTGAATGTCACCACTGACATCCCAGTGTGGCCAGGAGGGGGAATTCTGTGGGTGTCTCTCCCCACCTCCGGTTTAGTTTGATCCCTAATTAACATAGCTGTTTTGGCAGAATTATCCCTCACCCCATTTATCTCCTTTGTGTCCTAACCAGCAGTATGCAAGTTGCTATCATCTAAGAATTTCTGCCATTCCACCACATAACCCAAATCAGCTAAACTTTTGGGAGCCTCCCAAAATTGCTGATGGAGCTATTGCAGCTTCGTTGGGAACATCTGAAGGGCTTTCAAGGCTCATTTGAAGAACGTATCCACAAATTGAATTGCGGCATATTAGTAATTACAAATCACAAAATCATTCTTTTTTAAATAAATAATATAACAGCTGGTATTTAAAGCCCCAGAAAGAAGTAAGTTCCTGAGATCTAACATTTCTAATGCTCCCCCCCAATGCAGGGAATTGGGGGGGGGTGTTGTTTTTCATCTGCTGGGTCCTAAGTGTAGGGTTAAAAAACATGGGAATGCGGGTGAATTTATTTTTAAAAAATAAATAAATACGTGGTTATCGTGTGCAGTGTTCATATACCATTTTGGAGACAGTCTGGGGGGAAAGAGTGGAGTAGAATGACCAGTTTGGTTCCTGAGTCTTGTTGCGCAGACTGTAATTCAGTCATCCCTAAGCTGGGACCTCCTGATGTTTCAGACCACAGCTTTCATCTGCCCCAAGGAGTGTGGCCCATGATCAGGGAGCGGCGGTTCAAAACATCTGCAAGTAGATGGTCAGGGGCTCCGTTATTCCCTACACAGACACACCAAGAGGCTGTTTCTTTGTAGGAGTCATGGCACACGTAGAGAGGTTTCTTTCTGCCATGAAAGGAAATTTGATCTGTAGGCCATGCTGGAGATATAACTTCCAGACTACACCCAGTGGATGTTCTGAATGCTGATGACTCTCCAGAAGTGGATCTGGCCCCGTGATGCCTGGACAGGAAACTACTAGAGAGCCATATATACAAACCACTCTGAGCAACTCAGAACAACCTGTGTGACTACAAAAACAAGGGCCAGTGCTTACTTAGAATGATTTCAGAATGCGTTTAGGTGCCAAATTTTGGGACACAAAATCTCTGCAGGACAAGAAAATGTTTCTGCTCTAGAGACAGTAGTACCAGCAGCGGTAATGCTGTACCAACACAACCCACCAAGCACTTTCTATCTTTGCTTTATTTGAAGATAAAAACAAATGTACAGTGGTACCTTGGTTTTTGAACATGTCTGCTGATGAACATTTTGGTTTTCGAACACCGTAAACCCAGAAGAAAATGCTTCGGTTTTCGATCACACCTCGAAAGTTGGAACATGCCACACAGCTTCCGTATTGAGTTTTCGGTTTTTGAATGTTGCAGAACTTGAACTTTCTTCCGGAACAGATTACTTTCAAAAACCGAGGTACCACTGTATTGTTGTATTCAGTCTTTGTTTACACATGCCTCTTTGGAGTAGTAAGGTTTGTTCTGGTGCCTCTTAATGTGTGAACTCTAGGGAGGGCTGTGGTTGGTTACCACCTGTATGTGACACTGGGCTATGTTTTGTGAGCCACAGGCTATACATGATGCGTGACAGTGATGCACATTTGTATACTCTGCGGTATTTAAAGTATGTGATCAGAGACCTATCTGTGCAAATTAGAAACCAGGAAAGGGCTTGTAGTAAACCTACCAGGGGCCCCGGGATGGTGTGGTCTTGGCACCTCTTCTGTCTGCTACCAGCCAAGTAAAATTGTGGCAAAAATCAGTATGTAGTCCCTCAACTATGTCTGAAGAATTTGTAGATAAGGATGGGAAGAGGAGGGACCATTTTAATCAGTCCCTATTCTCCAGCTTTGTTTTGATGGTGGCCAACAGATTGAGGTTGAACCCGACAAGACATAACCCCAACAAGACTCTTTGTGGGGGACTCTCTGGGGTAACTGCCCCTGAAAAACCAGGCGCACAGCCTTGGGGAAGTTTGGTACTCACAGCTGCTCATGGAGGCACAGGTCAATTCTGTGTCCAGGGCAGCTGCCCGGAGTGGCTGGGGCAACCCAGTAACAAATTATTATTATTATTATTATTATTATTATTATTATTATTATTATTATTACTGCTACTACTAGAGTGGCTGAGAGTTCTGTGTTTAATGTGATCTCAGCCAAGTTAAAAATTTAAAGAGTGCTGAGAGAGAGCCTGGTGCACAGATGATGTTTCTTTGGGCATCTTGCCTTGCTTTCAAGTGGAAAAGTGGCATGGATTTAGCTTTTAACTGTTTTTTTTTTTTTTAAATGATGATGTATAGCTGGAAAATCCAGGAAACAGGTCTCTTTCAGGAATTAAAAAAGGAAGTGTCAGGCTAAAATTGGGGAGCGTGATGTCACTAGCAACAGGTGATCAGTGATCTGGCCAGGCTCCTTGGAAGTCTTGAATGTGTGGGCAATGAAATAATGGAGGCAAGACCAAGCTGATCAGGCTTTCTCCCCATCTTCCTCCATTTCAAAGATAACTGAACATTTAAGCATTAAGTACAGATACTCTGTTTAGTTCTGGTTATTTCCCTATCCTCCTCCTTTGCACTTAAGCGTTAGACCACACGTCATTTTCCTCTTGGTGTGTTTTGTTGTTGATTTAGTAGATTGCATACCTACATCCTATATTTCTTTATTAGCAATTGTGACAACTTAATCCTTTAGAAAAACAAACAAGTTTCCTCTTGTTTCATTTTTCTGTAGCCTCTTCCGTTAAAATTCAGTAAAAATAAGGAGGAAGTAAAAGTTGTTCTATGATGGCTGTTCGGTTGAGTGATGAAATTTGTGTGTGAGAATCTACCTTGGGAAGAATTCAGTAAAGAACTCGACACCTTTAGTTTCTAGGCCCAAGTGGGATACAATACATTCATTTCTCTTCACTCACATCTTCATTTGTTCTTTTGCTTAGGCAAAAGGTAACAAATGCACTGCAACTATTGTTTATTTTATTTCCAGCTGAAGTGGCCATATAATGTTTGCTTCATATCCCGGATAGCAGGATTGTGCAGCAGAATGATACTGACCTTGTGAAGAAGTGGGATGATGGCACCTTCTGCCTCTGAGCAACTTGTGTCCAAGATGATACCTGCTCAGGAGCTGCCATGCATTCCCTTCTCTTCATGAACCTTCCTAGGTTTCATGTAGGGGACCTAAACACATACGTTTGAGTGCATGCACAACAGCTCCTGCACAAATAACACCTGGTGGAGGTGGAGGTGGAGGTGGGGGTGAGCCTGCAGGTGTGACCCCGATTTCCTCCTCTTCCCCCCTTTTGGCTGCAGCACATTCCATTTCTACTAATATGCATAACTAGACTGGTGACCATTGCAGGTTTATGGACCATAACATACGTTTCCTTCTTTTCACTTCTTCAGAACCCCAGAGTTACGCGGAAGGCCTCAGTCATTCCACTGTGAAGCCTGAAAGCCCTGCAGGCCCAAATCCTGCTTTGTTGCGGACGGATCCTTCCTGCCGGCAGCCTTTTGCAGCTGTGTGCTCAGTCCCATGTCATCGCCCTGCCCAGCAAGGAGACAGGTAAGACAACTTCTGCGTCTCTTCATTTTCATCCACCTCATTTGGATGTAGAGGAATCTGATTCCAGGAAGAATTCCTTAAACAGTTTATAGGCCCAACCCTGAAGTGTGTCCCCTTCAGGGGTAACACTCAGGCAACCTTTCTGAGGGCTTAATGGTCATTTTTGATACTTGGTTTGAAAGTCAGGAAGAACAGATTATTCTGTTTCTGGTCCATGTCAATTTCACATTTATTAATAAATTTGTCGCATTCTACTGCCACATTAATCTGACTTTTAAAAAAAATCTGCATGGCAGTTTGTATTTAAATACATATTTGTATACATTTTATTATAAAGTATTTAAATACTTATTTCATTGAGTTGAGAACTGTATCACAGAAGTCAAAGAAGCGTTCAATCTGAAGGGTTACATGTACATTCAAATCTTCACATTAGTCTGGAAAGTGTAGATCAGATCCCTTCCCACCAGATTTTGCCATGCATTCCCTGGGTCAGTGTTTGGATGCAGTGTTGAGATGGATGAGGAAAAACAAGCTGAGCTTGAAGCCTGGCAATATGGAAACACTCTAGTAAAGACTTGTTGTCTGTTTCCTTTAATTTGCTCCCATAATCTTTTCTGCCACAATTAACTTGCTGGTAAATGTTTAAGCTGATAGCTTCAGTGCCTCTAAATGTTAAACGGGCAGCTGCCATCATTATTTATATAGCTGCATAATATACACAACACTTTTTGCAGTAACTTGAGCACAGAGCAAGTCCTTACTCTGCAGCACTTGCAGCCTAAACATCTCGGTTCAGGGGGACCAGCAAGCGGACAGGAAGGAAGACATGGGAGAGGCAGATAGGAGGAGGAATAGATGAGCCAGTTTAGATAACTTCCTGTCTTCCTGAAGTAGTTCCATCCTGTCTGGATCCTGTTTGTTGCAGCCCTACAGACCCAAAAAGTTTTCCTGCGGCTGCACCTTTCAACTGAATAGGGAGCTGTCCTGAGAACTGTGCTGTGAGTTGTTCCCAAAGTTAGTTTACACTGAGAAAGCTCAGTCTCCAGGAGGTGCAGTGCTGCGGTCAGGGAGCATCTTCTGCAGCTGGTCCAATGGGAGGAAAAGCACTGTGTTGGAGGCGCACAAACAAGGACCCTGAGAGGGCCTCTGGGGCCATTGAATCCTGACGCAGCCCTTTCTAGGCTCTTTGGACTTGTGGTGCAGGCCCAGAGTACCCATGGTTGGAGGACAGGAGTATTCACAGCTGAGTAAAATTTCTTTTGCCTGTCCATAAATTGGCTTTGCCATGCCAGAAGTTGTTATGGACTGCATAGATTAAAATAACCCTTAAAAAGGTCAATTGGTCACATTTGACAGGAAAGTGCAGGAGTTAAAGGAGAAGAATGTGGCACCTTCAAAGGCACCTTCAAAGGTGTTGAGTGTTTCCAGAGGCCAGCTGCTAGGAGCTGTGGCGCCCTTAGCCAGATGTGGAGCATCTTTGAGGCTAACCTCACCTGCCTGAAATTGTGGGGCCTAGGTTTGGGTGGGGTCAGGAGGGCTCACATTAAGGGCAGGGTGTGTCTTTCCTATGGCACTGATTTAGGCTGGTTGCCTTCACTGTTCATTCCCCCTTTCAGTCAAATGTGGCCCTAATTCAATCCATGTTATGCGTCCCGCCTCTTATTTTCTGCCCCTCAGTTCTCAAAGTATAAAACCATCAGTCTTCAGCAACCTTCTTTGAAGGTGCAGCCAGTGGTTGGTTGGAGGGAGCCCCTTTGAAGTCTCTGCAGAGGGGGAAAGGCACCTAAAATGGGAGCATTTTCCTCTGTGCAAGGAAAGCACTGGGGGAAGCCTTCTGAATGCAGACTACTTCATGGGGGGGGGGTTCCTTTTAAGAATGAAGCATTCTTTTCTTTCCAAAGGTGTTTGGAAAACCCCTTCCATTTGGGAGGTGTTGCACTTTGCACAGTGCTTTTGAAGCGCCCAACAACCAGCCTATTCTGTCAAGCGCTGCCCTGACCTGTCCCAAAACATGATGAATGTGACTGAACCAAAAAGGTCTCTCAAGCCAACTAGGGGGTCCCCCAACCCTGCCAAAAAACTTGGTTTGTGTAGGTGGCAGAGTTGGTAGGGAAAGCTGAGTCAAGTTGCCTCTTTAAGTGACCACAAAATGGATGATTCTGTGGCCACTGCAGACTGTGCTGGTGCTCTTGAAATGAAAATTCCCTAGAATGTGCCCAAGGTTGCAGTCTTTTCAAGCAACTTAACACCTCTCACATTATGTTTTTAAGTCTTTGAATGTATTAGTGAACACGGCAAATAGAAGTTACGTTTGTCAGGGATCTGGAACTGAATACAGAACACTTTTGAGTGTACATTCAATAGCAAACTTGAGTGTGCTGCCACATAATGTGAGAAATAGCCATTGTACCATAAACTAAAACACAGCGCTGCATATTCAAATGTTTAAAAGTACATTTTTGAAATGGTTTGATTGTTGTTTTCACTTTTTCAAACAGTCCAACTGAACAAGTTTGGCAGCAAAACAGTTCTCAATCCTCCTCAACATCCCAGTTTTCTGGAATAAACGACGACAAGTTTATAGGAAATTATCTCACATCTCCAGAGTTTTCTGTTCCTGTTCAAGATTGCTCGCCCTTGTCTCACTTCCAGATCAAGGGACTTCAAGCTGGGTCATTTAACAGCCAGGAAAATTTGTCCTTGGGGCAGCAGCAGGAACCTGGGGCAAATACTAACACCCAAACATTCCTCACTTATAGAGGGATCAGTGCCAACAGCTGCCAGCCACTGGTGGAGATACAGCCTGCTTTTGCATCAAATGCCAATAATGTGTCTCCCCAAACTCAGAAATCTCCAGGGGACAGTGACATTTTGCCGCACCGTTTTCTTGCAACAACTTTTGGACACAACAGCCAAAGCGGTGCAAATCAACAAAATCATGGAATAAGCATGCACCCTCAGCCCCCTCTTCCAGAGAAGAAGAGGACATCGGAGGGAGAACGTTCTTTCAGCTCTGTCTCACCATCATCGAGTGGCTTCTCCAGCCCACACAGTGGAAGCACCATCAGCATTCCATTTCCAAATGTTCTCCCAGATTTCTCTAAAGTTTTAAACACTTCACCATTGCCAGGTATGCTCTGTGCTCATCAGAATGAATTCCAGAAGAATAACTGTGTTAATCTGAAAATGAGCCTTGGGCTGGGTTAGGGTTTTCCAAACATGGGTCTCCAGCTCATGGTAGTGTTGGCACCCATAGGATTCGCAGATGAGGTGGTGTTGTGAATTGCGCTGCTCCAGACTAGGTTTGGAACGCTCCCCTCATGTGAAAAAGAAATTTGTCTGCAGATAGAAAGCCAGAGGGTCAGAGGGAGAGGTTCTGGCTCAGCACTTTGCCTCCCGTGCTCTGAAGTGGCGCAGCACATTCTGCCACTTGGGATTTTCATTCTGCTGCATGTTTAGACCACAGCAGACTACAGCCAGCTCCCCAGATGCTGCTTTATGCTGGGACAGCCATAGTGTGCTGCTGCTTCTTTTCACTTCTCTTGGGCTTACTTCTCTTTTTACCCCCTAGAAAATCCAGCTGACAAGCAGGTGACTGTGAAGTTTGTCCAAGACACCTCCAAGTTCTGGTACAAACCGGAGATTTCAAGAGAGCAAGGTTTGTCAAGTCATGCCAAGTTAAACACCTTCCACAAGGAGGTAGCTTAATAGCTCTTTGTATTTACTTACAAATACTTTTGATTCATTCTAACTTGGAGTTGCAGGGTGAGTGGCATAGGGTTCCTTTTCAGTTTTCACTCCCAAAGAGAAAAACCACCCAGCTTCTAGTGGGGACTATCAGTAGGCTGGAAGAGGTATATTTTAAGAATGCAGGGAGCATGCGATTGTTCTTCAGGAGCAATCTCTCTCTTCCTCCACCCCCTTCGTCTTAGATTGCATATGATTATTCACAGTACCACCTATATCTTTGGTCATATAGAAAAGTCAAAAAGCAAGTGTTAGGGGAAAGTTTTCTGTTTAAAACATGCATGGGGGGGCATAGTTGGTGTCCTCTTACACTTCTACAGATCCTCGATGAACTTCGTCCAATTTACACTGCCTGCTGGCAAACAATAAATCTGTTTTAATGTAGGTTTTCTGAAACTGCCAGGTTGCTGCAGGTGTAGCAAGATCACAGAGTAGAAAAGATTATCAGAGAATACACCTGCTTGTTTTGGATTCAGAAACCCAAAAGCTGAACATTAAGTACTGTACAATTAACAGACAAAAGGTGGTTTCTCCTTTGGGGGCGGGATGCAGATGGTTCTGGGAAAATTGACTCTGGGCAGCGAAGTATTGCTAGTTCCTAGAGATCAAAAATTGTTACAGGGAAGTTTGTAAAGGTTGAATAACTGGCTTTTGGACCAAACAGTTTTCTATTGCTTCTCTCATTATTCTGCTGCTTTAGCTAGGTACAGACAGAAGGTTTTACTATCCCAACCATGGTTAAGATATCGTAAAAGCACCCCGTAGGCTTTTTTCTTCTTCTTCCTCACCCTTTGAGGGCTAACCATGCTTGGCTTCAAATCAGAGTTTGCAATGGTGCTTGCAAGTAGCTTTGCAAATTGTGGTTCCAGCTAACCCCTGTTTATCATCAATATCCCTACAGACCTAATACTTTTGCCTGACAAGTGAGTAGGTTCTTCTGGAACTCAGAAGTGACTGAGAAGTGTGTGCGCTCATTTCTGGTACTTTTGACCTCTTCACCTGGCAGTCTGTGGGTGGTCAATTAAATTTCCCATAATATCTTTGATGCAGCATCACTCTGGGGTATTGTGGGAAAATTAAATACCTACGCGCCATTTCCAGGTTAGCCAATGGCTGGTCATCCACCAGTGTGAGGGGCCCTCCTTTTCACAAGGAGCTCTGCTTATGTGGCTCCCGGGAGACTAGACTGACTTCAGAGAATAAGGAACTGAGACCATCCATGGTGTGACACGCTAAGGGGTGTGAGTAAGGCTTCCATAGATAGACCCAGTTAAACAAAAATGAGGTCCTCCTTTTAAACTTGGTTTGCCTTGCTTTAGGAGAGGAGTTTTATAGCACTTTCCTGTCGGATTGTTTGTTTGTTACTTGCCTAAAAGCAACTCGCTCCCTCACTGTTTTCTCTTTCTTTTTTCTTCCCTCATGCAGCCATTGCTGTCCTGAAGGACAAGGAGCCTGGATCCTTCATTGTCCGCGACAGCCACTCTTTCAGGGGAGCCTATGGCCTTGCCATGAAAGTGGCTATACCTCCTCCTTCAGTGTTGCAGCTGAACAAGAAAGGTGTGATATGTTTTCTCTCTCCAGTTTGGGGAAAGGGATCTATACCTCCAAAGTTGAAAAAAATCCTTTGTCCTTTACATTCTAACGTAAGAGGTACATTTTTGAGATTGCCCCATCGCTGTTCTCCAGTTAGTGTTTGGCATTTGTTTTTAGCAGTTGCTGGGAATTGGCACGTTCTCCATTATTTAGTGCAACTTCAAAAATAAGTCCGCACAACTAAAAAGAAAAATGAAACAAGCCTCCCAACTGCACCACCGCCACAGATACACACACACTAGATCAGTTATTGGTGCCAACTTGCATTGGGCTTCTTTACCTGATTGCCTGGAGCTCAGAAGCTGTTTACAAGCCTGGCTAAGGTATTGCCTCACTCTCTGAGCCTCCCTAATTGTTAGGGACCCTGGAAAGAGTCAGATTCCATTGTATAGGAATTCTGTCTTTATCTGGAGGCAGTAATGCAATTCCTTGGAGGAAATAGGGAGGAGAGGACCCAAAGCAGGGTTTGAAGCAGTAGCTCAGAAAGCCCTTGACAAAGGTAGCAGAGCAATAAGGAGCCTCTCAAGTCCTTGTGCTTTGCCACTTAGCATGCCAGTCTTGCTGAGGGAAAAGGAAAATGGCATGCAGCGTTGGGCTGCAATCCTATACAATTTACCTGGGAGTAAACCATATGGAACTCAGTGAGGCTTACTTCGGAGTAGACATGTATCGGCTTGTGCTGCAAATCAGTATGCCTTGCTAGAAGAGAGATGGTTGGTTTTAAAAATATTTTATACTCATCAAACTATTCTTCATTGAGCTAAAATCCATCGCAGTAATATTTTGTGAATGAGCAGTGGAAATGAAACTGCAAGTGTTCCGTTTTATGGCAAGTGATACAGTTTTTTCTGTCCCTTACACCATGTAATATTTCAGCAGTAGAATGCAAACTGCCATGCATAATTTGAGGATTGTGTTTTCTTGCTATGTACCAATTAAATTGTGTTTTCTGTGTCTTTCCTTCACAAGTTTCATCAGTGGAGATTCTGGGGTGTTCCAGTGCTGCTTGCTTAATCTTAGGAAGTCTAGTAGTTCGATCAAATTAGATCAGTTTCCTCTTGTTTGTTTTAGCTGCTTAGATATTTGAGAACTTCCTTCCCCCACCCCTCCATATCCAAGCAGAGATGGCCAAAGGTATTTTAGTGCCCCAGTTGGATACATTTGAGAGGCGTTTCCAGCTTTTCTTGAAGTTTCGCAAATAATACAGTTGTGTGCCTTTTGGATCACATGGAAGTTTTTCATTACACCCCGAAGTAAATAAAGTAATAAATAAATAAAATAAAACGGTGTATTCCAAGCAGCCACCCAAGATGGAATTAGGGGAGCGTGACCCATTCAGTCACACTGGGTACCAAGCCACAGGGGGCACCATAACTATTATGTAGCGGGGGGGGGGCAAATTTTGGTGTCGCACGGGGCACTGCTGAAATTTGAGACCTCAAGGACCGCCATTGCAGCCACCAGTGATTTGTGTGGTCATCAATGGCTTCTCTGGATGTTGTCTGCTTCTCCATCAAGCGTTGCTCTCCATTGCTGATATGATATATAAGTTTCCCCTTCACTGCAAATGCAGATGAACCAACAGCACGATCCGTGTGCTATGGTCCTCATGTGTACAGTCCTTTTATTGTGTACTGTGACTAGGCAGTCGGCCCCAAGGCATGTACAGTGGTACCTTGGTTCGCGAACTGCTTAGTTGTTGAACAAATCGGCGCCCGAATGTCGCAAACCCGGAAGTAAGTGTTCCGGTTTGCGAATGTTTTTCAGAAGCCGAACAATTGCAGCTAGTTGGAAGCCGCACCTTGGTTTTCGAACAGTTTCGGGAGTCGAAGAGACTCCCAGAACGGATTACATTCGAGAACCAAGGTACCATTGTACTTGTAGGTGATGCCATTCCTTCACATTCCTTCATTTGGTCTAATGACATTGTTTTCTGTTGTTTTATGCTGCAGTTGGAGATCTGTCTAATGAACTTGTCAGGCATTTCCTGATTGAGTGCACCCATAAGGGAGTGAGGTTGAAAGGATGCCTCAATGAGCCATATTTTGGTAAGGATATTTTATCTATCTATAGTTCATAAGTGGTGGGCTTTAGGAAGGTGATGAATGAAACTTGGGCAATTTTTAAATTCCTGCTTTTGAATACCATTTAAGGCCTCCCCTCCCCTTTTCCAGTGTTGTTGTTTTTTTAAAAGTTTTATTACACTTCTCCTTTTCTCCTCCATCCCACACTGATGCCTTGGCAGAAGGAAGCACCACTGGAAAGTAGGCAGCTCCTCCCAGGAATGGAGCGCTCAGTCTCTCTGCACCTCACTCTTCCCTCTGCATAAGTGTTGCAGCTGCTCCACTTTGCCCTCCTTCACTTTCCCTAGTAATGTAGAGATTCCCAGAGAAGAAATGCAAACCAGAATTCAACTTAGGGGGCCAGATATGTGATGCCACTTTAAACCAAAGACTCGTACAAAGTCTTTTCAGATCAGGCTAAATCAAGGGCTGCTGAGTCCTGGCATATAAACAGAAACTACAAGTTGAGACACTAGCATTTCATGGTCTCCTTCCACCGCTGCTTCTACATGTGATAGTCACTATTTTTCATACTTGGTATTCCATGTTGGAAATTCAAGTAGATGAGAACTCTGTATGCATGGAAGTGTTTAAAGAGTGATCTAGCAAGTGAATCCTGGGTTAGTTTGCTGAATTGAGAGGCCTGCGAGAAGATCAGATAGAGGTAAGTTTCAAGAGATAAGTTATCCAGTGCAATCCAGTTCTGTGCTGCCACAGAGAGAAACCTGTTGAGAAAGGATAGCTGCTGGCTTAAGATGCAGGACGTAAGAACAAAAGCTAAATAAGAAACTTGTTACACAAGCCGGAAGTTAACTTGATGCCTTCCTTGTTTTAACCACAGGGAGTTTGACAGCCTTGGTGTATCAGCATTCAATTACTCCTCTGGCCCTGCCCTGCAAGCTGCTCATCCCAGACCAAGGTATTCCCATTAAAAAAGGAACAGGCTGTGCCTAATCCAGGTCTTGTGTAAACGTCTGAACCAATATGCATGTCCAGCACACTCATGTATCCAGCACACAGCTCCGAGAGGACTAGGAACTATGATGGACACACCGGAGGAGTAGAGAAAGGCTGGTTTATTTATGGAGGCTCCTTCAGAGAGCAAGTGGGCAGCAAATCATACAGCAAACACACACTTAATTATGAGAACAGAAGAGCGAGTGTAGCCTTTTACTACAGTAAGAGAAAGAAAAAAGGAGAGGAGCAGTGGGAGAGCCTGATCTAGTTGTGAACAGAGAACTTTGGCCTCCATAGGTGTTAAACTCTCCCCTTAGAGTGCTTTGCCACTGGCAAGGCTGCAAGTGTCTTCCACAGATTCCTTGGTCTGTGGTCCAGCGAAGCATGAATACAAGGTGCCGTTGGGAGCTGTGAGCTGCCCAACCATTGAAGATCTGGGGTTTAAATGCCGCTTTTAGACCAGCTAAACTGGGGGGGGGGGGGGGCTTCCTGAGTAAGTACTGTCATGCTTTAAGTCCTTGGCTTATTTCGCTCAAGTTCCTGTCAGTTTACTAATCTGTTCTCTAAGATAAGTTTGAAGTTGAAGTGACGTGGCCATAGTCTGAAATGTATATTAATTGAATAATAAATTTATTCTTGGATATTCAGTTTACTTCTCAGCAGAATCTCAAATTGTGGGAATCTAATTGGGACATAGAAATAGAAGAGGAAATTTGGAATAGGAATACTTTGTAAGTCAATTTCTTCCAAGAGAATGGGACTTGTTAAAAATCTCTTTGGGCTGCTATCATACCCCTAGGAAGCTATCTTGCCTAAAACCTAATAGCTCTCTTCTCTGTTGGACAGAGTGTGCCACCAGTCTTGGGACACACAGACATAAGAGGTGCTTGGACTGTTCAAAAATAGAAACATTTTGGAAACATATTTTTCAGGAAATGTTTTTAATCACATGCCCAAATGTCCCTATAATTCTTTCTTTGGCTCTTTTTAATTTATATAAAGGAGAAACAGAGCAATTAAGAAGTAAGGAACTCAGAATGTGCTTGCTAACTGCAGCACATACAATGATAGCCAGACATCAGAAATCTTTAAGCCTTTTCGTTATCAGTGGTATAATATAGTTAAGCAAACTGTGCTACTAGGAAAACTGTCTCACAAGTTAAAGGTGACAATCGGGCAAAAGAAACGTTGCAATTCTAATGTCACTTGGTATGATTTTATTGTTTATAAAATAATGAAGCACATGGAAGCGATGTGCTTCTCATATACAATACGGTCTGCCTTGTATAGACTTGAAACGCTGCTGCATTTTGATCCATCACCAGCTGATTTGTAATTCAAAAACCTGAGTTTCTTTCATCATGTGATCTTACAAAGCATACAGTCTTTAAAAATGAATATAGTTTCAGTTCCTTTATCATATATTGACAGTTAAATAAACACTATTTTAACTGTCCAAAGCAAATATATAAAAAGCAAGCTTGAATTTTCAACCTTGTAGTACAAGAGGCTGCAAAGTGGCTGTTTGCTTTATTTACAGTCAAGCACTTTTAAATACCATGCACTCACTGAAATGATTGGGACTTAAAAGTGCTTGACTGAGTTTGAATTGTTCCCAGAGTTTTCTCCTCCCTTCTCATACGTAGCTGAAGGGGTGAGTGGACTTTGGACCTGGATGCTTTTCCTTATAATAGCTCCAATAAGGTGTCATGTAACACCGAGAATCTGACTAACTTCTCAGTCCAATTTATACGGAAGATGCAAGTTTCCATTTCTGTCTGCAGACCCCCTGGAGGAGATACCTGAAAGCTCTCCGCAGACGGCTGCAAACTCTGCTGCAGAGCTTCTGAAGCAAGGGGCAGGTCAGTGAATAGTTCTTGGCGCATCAGTATTAGAAGGCTTTGCATGCCACCCAAGTGAGTTGTGATTAAAGGCTGCAGACTGTTCTAAGCTCTTTTAAAGAGAAACCAAGAAATAAAAACAGTTATTGTTTCATCTTTCTGGTGTAGCCTGTGAACGTTATAGTAAACTTCTCTGTGTTCCTAAGGGGGGGGGGGGTAAAAATAAATAAAAAGTTTAATTAGTGCACACTGGGTCTGAATTTTCAGGCTAATAGCTGCTGCATGGCGTTCTGTGAGCTTGTATACATGCGAGCCTGAATGTCTACCCAAACACTGTGTGAAGGAAGTTCCTGTGTCTGCTTTGCAATATGTCTGCCATCAGAACCAAAGTAAGATTTTCCTGTACAGATCCTGCTCACTTTCATAGTTCTTTCCTTGTATTTCTTCCTTTATTGCATGAACAGCATGCAATGTTTGGTACCTGAATTCTGTTGAAATGGAGTCCCTCACTGGTTATCAGGCAGTGCAGAAGGCCCTGAGTTTAACCCTGGCTGAAGAACCGCCTCCTGTCTCTACTGTGGTCCATTTCAAAGTGTCTGCACAGGGCATCACACTGACAGACAACCAGAGAAAGTGAGTCCTGGCACTGCAATGTGTTTGGTTTGGGGGATGTTGGAGGTTTCAAAAGAATTTCTTTTTTTTTAATGCGTATGAGCCTATTAGAATGCTTCGTGATAATTTTAGTTAGTTTCAATGTTTACCTGCTGTTTTTCTGCTAGGCTTCCAAAGTACACATTGTGTTTAAGGCCTAGTTAGGTTATTTTTTTTTAACATGGAACAACAGCCATGATAAAGGGCCTAACCAAGACCTATTCAGTAGTGAGGGTTTTTATTAAGCTTTTATGCTGTGATTTCAGTTGAAATCGCATCCCCAGCAGCTGCTGCTGCATTGCAATAGCATTACCACTGATGCAAACAGCAGCCTTCCTCACACGCGAAATAGCAGCCTTAACGGCATGAGAAGAAAGGGTTAACATCCTCATGCACCACAATCCTTTTTCTGATTGGCACCTTCACAACTGTCAGTTAAAGTTTTATAAAAGAATCATGCAATGCCAGTTGTGTTTAATGCAGAATGTATTTTGTTCCTACAACAAACATTGTCTTGCAATTGCCTATCCCCTCAGGAAACCACCCCCTGGTGGAATGTGCCTGAGATGTAAGCACATAAATCTATCACAACATTTCTTAAACCTATTTTGTCATATTTTCTCTTTCCCTCAGGCTCTTTTTCAGGAGGCATTATCCGGTCAACACTGTTATTTTCTGTGCTTTGGATCCACAGGACAGAAAGTAAGGATGGCAAGTGCTTTTCCTAATTCAACATTCATAATACTGTGTGAGACTACAAAAAACACTAATAGAAATATTAATCTTTTCTCTCCCCCACCCGCCTCCCCCTGCCTCTTCTGTATGCAACAAGATGGATGAAAGAGAGCCTTTCAGCAAAGTAAGTAACAGCATGCATCTTACTATCCGACCACCTTTGCAAACAGCTTATACTATGTCCAGGACTCTGCATTTCCTTCAGATATCCTCTAAATCAGGACTATTGAGCAAGGCTTGGGGACTCTTATCAGGTGGCAATTTGGAGTCTCAAATGTGACCCATGGCATCTTCCACACTTCCTACAATTTTTGGAACAATCTTTATGTCCTGGAAATGATGCCCTTAGTGGGACAAGAGCAGAGACATACAAATCGGGTCTGCTGCTCTTCTCAGCATCCCCCTTTCCTCCGCATTCCGATTCAGCGAGCATTGCAGGAATCATGGCATTTGCAACTTGCTAGTATTTGTAGTCTTGTTGGATTGGGTGAAGCAGAGTCTGGCAAGCATGTGGGGGCTTTTGGAAGGCCAACAATAACATGTTCAAAATGGGGCATAGATGGTAAAGTATGAAGAGATGCTGGTCAAGGGATTGTGACTATTTTGAAGAAGATGGCACTTGCAGTTAAACAATGAGTGACATTTTCAGAGGTGTACTAATAATATTGGCTCCTTCCTCCTCCAGCAAAACTAGCTTGGGATGCATGTGGGAAATTTTGGTTTGGCCCCGTAGCATTTGCTAGGTGGGGAGTTTGGTTGGGCATTTTGAGTGACTCCCCAGCTCTAAATATGCAACTTCAGTTAAATTTCTAAGTATTTCTAAAACGGAAGTCCTGAGGTGTTAAAATGCTCTAGGGCAGAATGGTGTTTCCGTGGTAAGTGTTAACTATTGGAGATCCCTGGATCAGATCCACCCCTGTAAGAGGTGCCCTTGGGGCACAGGAGAGGTTGGAGGAAGTGAACAGCATGTGAGCGCTGACCTAACATCTCCTGTAGTCGTAGAAGACAGCTGGGAGTGGGGGCAAGTTTGGAAACTACTTTCTCTTAGTCTGTTCTGGCCTCCAAAGTAAGTCCATTATTCGCTCTGTGGCGTGATGCTTCTTTCTTTTCATGTGCATTTCCTTTGCTTTTGCTTTCTACAGGGTGTTTGGGTTTGTTGCAAGGAAACAAGGTGACGCTGCAGACAACGTATGCCACTTGTTTGCAGAGAATGATCCAGAGCAACCTGCCAGTGCCATTGTAAACTTCGTATCAAAGGTCATGATAGGTTCCCAGAAGAAGAACTAAGAGCTTCCAACTGAGTGCTGCAGACAAACTCACAGGAAGGATGTTGAGGCAAACTGTTGTGAGATTATGGCCACTCAGCCTGCATCTAGCGGTTTCCCAGGACGACATTCCACATACAAGGACTGCCATCAGTAACATCACCTGACCATTTGACAGGTTTTGACATACAAGTGCAATGTTAAGCAAAGAAGGGAGCTAGAAGTCAGCAAGATCCCTAAAGCCCATATCTGAACAAATTTTGGAAGAAAGACTTAAAGCAAGGGAGCCAATAGTATTTTCCATGATTTTTCGCCACATTGGGCTAGAATCATAGCATTGTAGAGTTGGAAGGGTCTCAAGAGTCATCTAGTCCAACGCCCTGCCATGCAGGTAGAATGGAAGGTGGGAGCCACATTGCTTTTAGCTGGAATTCTTGCTAGGAAACACACAATCAAGGGCAGAACTACACTTAAAGAAATCACAAAGGGAACAGCCTCTGGGTGCATTTGTAGGGAAGAAGTGGTAGCTACTGTCTGGGTTATAATTGCAGGTTCTCCTTTGCAAGTGCCCACCTCTGCATTAGTGTTATCTCAGCAAATTCAGCTTTGGAAATGCATTTGCTGATACAGCATATATTTCCACCTGTAAATAATTGTTGTAGTTTCATTTGATGATAGCCATGGCCATTCTCTTCCCTTGTTTTCACATAACAATCAAACTTTAAATGGAAAAATGTTGTGTTCAGAGGAAATTGGTGCAGATTTATTTGGGATGGTGCAGAGGGAGAGAGAGAGGTTTTTGGACTGCAAAAGGAAGCTTGGGTGCCTTTAATTTATTTGAAGGTAAATGGGAGGGATTGGTTAAAAAAGAAAAATGCAATGCATGTTATGTTATTTTCACGTTGCTTCTTATACGAAGAATTTAAGTAGGGAATATAACTCTTTTCATGGTTGCAGGATAAAAAGGAGGGGAAAAGCACGCAAGAGAACATTTCTGTTTAATTTATAATATATTGCTGTAGTCAGACTATTTATAGCCGGCGTGGAGAACCTGTGCGCCTCCCCATGTTGCAGGAGGGCAACTATCATCAGTCCAAGCCAGGAAGGCCGATGGTCAGGGCGATGGGAGTTGTAGTCCAATGATATCTGGAGGTGCCACAGGTTTCTCAACCCTTGTGGTGCAAAGCAGGCATCTCTCTGTTGTACAGTATTCTAATTCTGAGCATACTGTTGAAGGCACCGTTCATTATGATAGGACTTGGGCAGGAGATCCATTCAAGCCCTGAACTGAACGGGGGTTCTACTGCAGCACCACTTTGGAGCAATGCTTTTTTTAATGTATCCTGTATTCCTTCAGTAGCGGAGACTTCGCTTGAGCCTTGCTGTAGGAAGTAGTTTTGTATTCTGACTTTAAAAGCAGCCTATACGTTTACAGTAAATATTTTCATATTATTTTCTATTACTTAAAATGATGGTTATGAAATCCAATTTGTATGGATGGTTTTTAAGCTGATTTTTATTTTTAAAATCTGGAATAAATAAAACATAAAGAGGAAAAAATATTTTTGTTGCACTTACCCATATTTTGAAGATGGTCTGATTCTGTTTTGACAGTATGGCACATCCTGTGCATGTATTGCTTATGAAGACTTTCTGATGTTGGTTTATAATCGGCTCTTACAACACATGTGACAACTGCCTCTTTAAGATCCATCTTGCGACTTCCTTCACACAGACCCAGCAAGATGGAGAGAAACTTTCCATTGATTTGAGCCCATGCCACAGGAATCCATGTGTGAATATGCAACCACATATGCCTTTGAATCAGGGTAGTTGAGTGAATCAAGCCTCATAAGCAGCATTCTCACGGTCACTAAAGGAGCTAGGTTTAGCCCCCTAACCAGATATGTCAATCTCCCTTCTTTTTTGTTCTAGGAGTTTTTTGGCTCCTGTTTGTTTGCAGCGTTTTGAGAGGGTTGTGAGATCCTGTTCTTGTTGGTTAATTTCTGAGGTGGTTTGCTTTTAAGGGATGCTTTTCCTTTTATACAGGTTTCTCTGACAACCACTTTCATTGCATCCCGGGGGGGGGGGGTCAGGCATGGCCAAACTTGGCCCTCCAGATGTTTTGGGACTACAACTCCCATCATCCCTAGTTAACAGGACCAGTGGTCAGGGGTGGTGGGAACTGTAGTCCCAAAACATCCGGAGGGCCAAGTTTGGCCATGCCTGAGGGGGGTTGTTAGGTTCTCTACACCATTGTCCTTCAAGTAGTTTTGGAGGGTCTTCGAGAGACTCTCTTGCCATTTGGTTTGTGTTCAGTATGGGACTAAAGGACCATGATGAGGTGGTTTGTATTTTCTCTCCTAGTTTGAGAGAAGGCATGGTCCGTGATCTTAAAGTTACCAACATTTGTCGTTCCAACCAAGGGGATCAGGCCTGGTGAGAGCAGAATGCTAGCCAATCTGGACATTATGGTGTGGTGCCCAGACTTGAGAAAGTGTTGCTGGTGTTGCCTGGGTTCTTTTAACCCCATATATCGTACAGGCCTCCGTTTTTTTAGCCTTTCTAGTAGCCTATGAGAGTCTGGTTTTGGGTTTCCCTTGAAGGAAAGTTGCCCATGTGGTTGTGGGGCAGATGTCTCTCAAGGAGGTGCCTCTCACATTTAGGTTGAGGTTGCCTCCCAAGATTGCTTGCCCTTTGGAGATGAATTTATTTAGTGTTTTCTGGACAAAGTCTGTTTTGAAATTGGGAGCATATATAGAGCCAATCGTCAATTTAGTTTTGCCCCCTAGTGTTCTCTTGGAAAAGATGAATCTGCCTTTTAGTATTGTTGTGGCTTTAACATTTAGGTCTCTGCTGAGCACTATGGCTCCTTCACATGCTTTTCCTGAGCCAGGGGACACTCATTGTTGGCTAAAGCAGGATTCATTTAGAAGTTTTCTACCTTTAGGTGGGCTGTGTATCTCTTGTAGGAAGAAAGTGTGGGTTTCATGGTGCTCATGTGATGCGGGGGTTTTTTTGACAGGGTTCTCTGGCCTCCTCACATTGTGTGATTGCTTTTAAGGTAGCTATTTTTGTTTGTCTGCTTTGGATGGTGTTTCCTTGTCAACCCACCTGCGATGTTCTGTGTCTCTTGCTTCTAGAGAGTTGGGCCTAGTAGGTAGCGCTGACAGGGTATGATGGTGGGGGGACAGAGGGGGTTAGAGTTAGGTTGTGGGTTACATAGAGTAGCATATAGTTACATAAAGACTTACTGAAGGTAACTTGGACTGTGTGGCTTCCAGCCGGGTGGTCTCAGGTAATGTGGAGGGCCTTGCTTAAGAACAAGTCACCTCCATTGTCACTTGTGATAGGGGAGGATCAGTGAGACAGTGCCAAGCTCCTTTGCAGCACTTGGATTGCGGTGTAACAGTTGAAGGTTTTTAAGCAACGTTGTCAGCAGTAGTAAGAACATTGCTGGATTGTTAGAGCAAAGGGGTAGAGCTGTAAATATGTTCACCATTCTTGCTAAAAGTGCCAAAATCCCACTCTACCACAAAGTCCAAACTTGTGACTTCCATTTACCAGGAAGCGGGTAGGGAGAAATTTGGATGTTGCATTAGCTTCCTAAATCATCTTTGTCAACCTGATGCTCTCTAAATGCTCTAAATTCCAGAGACTGCAGCAGTTGGAAGCTGTAGTAAAATAGCAGCCGGCTGGTTCATTTCCATTGACAAATTTGGAGCATGTGTTTCTGGATTCCTCCATCATGCTCTTACAGGCCGCTTAAGGGAGAGTTCCATTAAATCTGTAGAGTCAACAGGGCACTGTCCAGTGCTGGACATCTATCAGCCCTAGTCAATGGAGGGCACAACACTGGCTGCCCCTGCATTGCTTGAAAGGGCTCTCGCCCGTCTTCTGCAGCCTAAGAGACAAAGGCAGTGTCTTCACAGCCACACAAGCAAGAGGCCCCAGGCAGCTTTCAAGAACTTGCTTTAATGGAGCCTGGAGTAGGAACACAGTCTTACACTTCACATGGTGTACAAAACCAAACGAAAGTCTGAAGCCAAAAAACAAAGAAACAAGATATAGACAAGTACAGATCTTTGGCAAACAAAACGCCAAATGGTCCACAGAGGCAACACATCCGAGTTTACAAGTGATCCTTCTAGTATCGTGTCAAAGCTGAAAAATAATGGTCTGGCACATCTTTACAAATACTCAAATATTTAGATAGATACATCTATTTTTAAAAAAAGCAGACCAACTTGAGCAAATGGTCAATAGAAATTCTTATCCCTGCACCCCAGTACTAAAATAGGCCATTACGGTGAAGTTACTAGCATCTGCTATTTATAACTTTTCATAGGAGGAGGAGATGATGAGTAATGCCACAGATCTGAGGGTGTCTGGGTGTTTGTAAAGTGTACTTGCAGGTGAGACAGAAGCTGCCCCAACAAACTGGATCTGAGCCTGCCGTAGGACTTGTATAAACTTAGAGCCATAAGCTTTCACATTATAAACTTCTCATTTGTCAAAAAGTTTCCCTTAAAAAAAGAAAGAAGCTCCATGAAGCATCATGAGCCACCTCTAAAGTGAATTTACATCCCTCATCACATCCCTCAATATGAGGGAGCATTTAAAGCCATTTCAACCAGGATTTCCCCTCTTGCCCACAAAGTACATCATCTTTGCCACCTGATTCTCACAGAAAAATCAGACCATTCTCATATCAGCAGCTTCCTGCTCTGTATAGCTTGGTAGGTGTGGAAGTCCAGAGAAGTGAGGGGTGGTCACCAGCTGCCTGTTTTTCTCACTGGCGCACACAACAACCCCCCCCCCACTTGCTCACTTGTTCAGAAGCAGCCGGGCAAAGTCTGCGTTAGACATCTTCTTAGGCTCCTCTGCCATGGGGAGGGATGGCGCTGCCGGGTTCTGGGCCATTCCATTCTCTGCCTTGGCCATGGGGGTGCTCTGGCGCTGCAGAGCACGAGGGACCATCGAGAGCTGGGTTCTCCCTTTGCCGCGGCTTTTGAAAGAACAGATTAAACGAGATATAAATGTTGGGGGCTTTGCTTACTGCATGCTAAAATTCTGTGCCTTGCATTCATTGTGCAGATTCAACTGTTTTTCCTACTACTGTATGTCTAGCCATGAGACGACATAAGCCACAGCTAAGACCCAAGTGCCTGGGTAAGGTTTTACATGGTCCTGAAAATAAAATAAAGATGCCATCATTTATTTGTTTTTGATGCCAAGTAAGAGCCTCTCTGCAAAGGGCTTTCAGGAGACACAAGGCTTCTTTTCTGGTCAGATCTGCACAACACAGAAGTCTTGACTACTATGAGAATTACCCATTGGCACCATTGGAGTCAGTGTTCTTCAGCCCAGAGGTCTCAAAAGTGACAAGGCTTGAGAGAGAGAGAGAGAGGTGTCCTAGAAGATGTTGTGCTGCTGTGCAGGGAGCAAGCCATACTGCACTCCCTGAAGGAGGAGACCACACCCAAAATATACTCACGCGCCATAGATCTGCCGGGGTGCCATGGCTCTCCCTGCTGCCTCAGACTTCTCAGGGAATCTTCGGGCAGGCGGGTTGCTAATTGCCACCTTAATGATTTGATCTTTGATTGTCAGGCCATCCATTTTCAGCACTGCTTGGGAGGCCTGCATCTCATTCTCGAATTCCACATAGGCTAGGCCCTAACAGTAAAGAGAAGATGTGCTATGAAGGCAGCACACTGCATTTCCCGTTCCTCTTAATGGGCAACTTGGACAATGATCCAAATACAGTTCTCCAACCAAGCTTTTTAAAAGCCGCTCCCCAATATGGTCTTCCTCTTGGGGAATCTGCTCAAACCACTAGTGGTGGTCAAGGCCTACCTTGGGTTTGCCAGCACGAGTTGTGACCAGCCGGATCTCCTTCACACTCCCATGGGCTTTGCACACTTCCTCCAGTTCCTCCTTAGTACAGGAAAAAGGCAATCCAGAGATAAACAGCTTGTGTTTCTCCAGGACAGTGCTATACTTGAACACCTTGAGGGAAGAGAAACAAGAATTTCTAAGACTCCAAAAACAAGCAACGTTTGAGAAAGATCCAATCTATTCAAAGTTGTGTGGGTTTAATAAAAAACATATACAGTGGTACCTCGGGTTACATACGCTTCAGGTTACAGACTCCGCTAACCCAGAAATAGTACCTTGGGTTAAGAACTTTGCTTCAGGATGAGAACAGAAATCAGGCTCCGGCGGCGCGGCAGCAGCGGGAGGCCCCATTAGCTAAAGTGGTACTTCAGGTTAAGAACAGTTTCAGGTTAAGAACAGACCTCCGGAACGAATTAAATACTTAACCCAAGGTACCACTGTATGCAGGATTTCAGTTTCACATCTTAAAATTCAAAAAATGGAAGTTGTGTTGATCTTTAGGGGTGGGGCCCACATCCACAGCTGGGCAATACCTTGATTGGGACCACGAAGTGTGGAAAGCTTTTGAGGTCTCCAGAACTTTTAAGTTTACATTTTGGCTGAAGAACTCAAAAGCTTACCGCACTTCATGGCATTTTGATTTCTCCCAATTACATATTGCCCAACTATGATCTTAAAATTCAAATGCCTAGAACTGTACACTGACGGTCTTGGGAGAAACTATATACAGTCATACCTCATGTTACGTTTTTTCAGGGTGCGTCCCGCAGCGACCTGGAAGTACCGGAAAGGGTTACTTCCAGGTTTGGCTGCTCACACATGCACAGTAGCGCTAAATCACACTTCGCGCATGTGCAAAATCGCGCCGCGAACATACGCAGAACGGATCCCGTTCGCAACCAGAGGTACCACTGTATTTTGTGTGTGTGTGTGTCTGTCTGGCAACCAGCTTGCCTTTCTTCACAGGCTCCCTGCAGGAGCCATCTTAGTGCAGACTAACTGCAGTTAGGGAGGAGGGAGATGGTGAGAACAAAGAGGAAAGGAAGCTGCAAATGTTTTTTTTTTTCTTTAAAAAAAACAAGTAGAAGAAAAGCAGACAACAACATGCACATAAGAGAAAGGGGTTTAGAGCAGGGGGAGCCAATGCCATCCTCTCGGCCAACATGGCCAAAGGGGAGGGATGAGGGGAGCTGCCGTCCAGCAACATCCAGTGGGACACATTGGTTGCCCTCATTTCAAAGAGTTAAGTAAAGCAGGACTGAGAGAGATGCCCATTACCATGCTTCTTACCGTAAAGCCAGCCTGTTTTCATGTTTGGGGCACTCCCTGTCGCTTTCCTGTCTCTTTGCAACACCTAGGAGGTCACCCCCCGCCCCCATACAATGAATTACAACCGAAATTCAATACTCTACGGAAGGTTTGGAATTGGATAGGTTAGCTTTGTTATTTTATTCTGGTTTTATTCCCAACTACTTTGTCAATTAGACTTCTAAGTGAACATTTATGGGCCTTTTGGGCCCATTTGATGCTACGACCTTTTATTTCGTGACAGCAGTCACGAAATTAAAAGATGCCTGCTCCTTGGGAGAAAAGCAATGATAAACCTAGACAAACCTCTTAAAAAGCAGAGACATCACCTTGCCAACAAAGGTTCGTATAGTTAGGGCTATGGTTTTCCCAGTAGTGATGTACAGTGGTACCTCTGGTCAAGAACTTAATTTGTTCCGGAGGTCCGTTCTTAACCTGAAACTGTTCTTAGTCTGAGGTACCACTTTAGCTAATGGGGCCTCCCACTGCCGCAGCGCGATTTCTGTTCTCATACTGAAGTAAAGTTCTTAACCCAAGGTACTACTTCCGGGTTAGCGGAGTCTGTAACCCGAAGCATTCGTAACCCGAGATACCACTCTATGGAAGTGAGAGCTGGACCATAAAGAAGGCTGATCACCGAAGAATGGATGCTTGTGAATTATGGTGCTGGAGGAGACTCTTGAGAGTCCCATGGACTGCAAGAAGATCAAACCTCTCCATTCTGAAGGAAATCAGCCCTGAGTGCTCACTGGAAGGACAGATCCTGAAGCTGAGGCTCCAAGACTTTGGCCACCTCATGAGAAGAGAAGACTCCCTGGAAAAGACCCTGATGTTGGGAAAGATGGGGGGCACAAGGAGAAGGGGACGACAGAGGACGAGATGGTGGGACAGTGTTCGCAAAGCGGCCAACATGCATTTGACCAAACTGCGGGAGGCAGTGGAAGACAGGAGTGTCTGGTGTGCTCTGGTCCTTGGGGTCACGAAGAGTCGAACACGACCAAACGACTAAACAACCACCTTTTATTTTATTTTACTATTTCTTAATAAATCTACCAAATTTAAAATTGGTGTTGATCTACTTGGGTGAAGCCTTGGGGTACTAAAGTCCAGTTCCTAACTTCTTGCTTGCTTGTAAGCTGATGACCCTGAGGGGTTCATGGAGCAGAGAGCCTCCTCCTCAGCTCTGGCTTCTCTAGACACCTTAGTGGTGTCCAGTAAGGTCTGGGGGTCTCCCTGACCCTGGCTGGCTGAAGGGGTGGCGGCAGCATACCTTACAGGGTGAGTGGTAGACTCTGAAAACCAGATCCAGCTAAGTCACCAAGGCCTGGCACCCAGGGTTTGGGGAGCAGTCCTTGACAAACCTGAGCCAGCATGACCAGTGAGTGGCAACATGCTCCCCAGTCCTGCCACAGCTGCACCACAATGGTCTTTGCCCCACCTGACTTCCTCACCCCGATACCCAGAGACCAGCAATGGTGTTAGCAGCTTAAGGAAGGAGGCAAGTATACCTTAAACTCTGGATTCTTGTTCTTATCGACGCACGGGGACACAAACATTGGCCTCCCCTCCACATTTTTCCGATCTAGGCTGAGGGCTTTCAGTGCTGACTTCTCTTCCTTGAATTCCACGTAACAGTAGCCCCGGAAAACCCCTTTGTTGGTGAAGATGGGACGGACCTCCACCACCTCCCCACAGTCTGCAAAGAGATCTTTCAGCTTCACCTCAGGCTCTGCCATGCTGTAGGAGAGGTTGCTGACGAAGACAGTGACGTTGTCCTTTTTGCTGTCATGAAAGGTTTTGGGGGTGTCTTTCCACTTGGAAGCGGCCGCCGCTGCCTCCTCCTTGGGTCTCAAACCTGCAGTTGTGGGCATGTTCTTTCCGAAGAGCCCTGTTTCCATCTCCATGTCTTCAACCTCCTCTTCAGCCAAAGTATCACCAGCCCCCGTCTTGTGCCTCTTGCTGGGCTGTTCAGCTGGTCAAAGAGACATTAAACGACTGAGACATTCCCAACTGACGTGGCTCCACTGCCACATACAGGCTTTTGCAGTATTAAGCAGAGGCTTAATACTGCAAAATATTAAGCAGAGGCTATGAAGGAGAAGGGGGAAGTTCCACCTGAGGCTATCGCTTCACATCCCACTGCACGTACTGGAACTAATTTATGAAAGCCACACAAAAAAAGGGGTTAAGGAGCAGGAGGGGGCAGCCACTGGCCTTGTCGCTCCAGTGTCCACAGAAGGAAGGCAAGGGAAAACTGGGCAGCAAACATTGAAGCCACAGTCACACCACACATTTACAGCACTATGGTACTACTTGAAAACACTAATGAAGCAGGCAGAAAGACCAGGAAGAGAGGGATAGTTCTGTCTCTCCCACTGGCTAGAAAGCCTCTGCCAAGTAGAAGACTGAGTCGTTGTTTAGGGCGTTCCATGCAGAAGAGCAAAGCTGCACAATTTATTGGGGAGAGGGAAAAGATGCAGGTCGCTTTTTTACTTTAATCTGTTATGTTTACTCAGATGTTCTACCAAATTCAAAGCACTAGCTCCCTAGCAGCTGTGCACAGGTACTATTTAATTAGTTTCTCAAATGTTTTAAATGGTTAACTTTGATTTTACAGATAATTTTGTTTTATCCTTTTGTAAACTACTTTGATTTATTAAAAAATCATTCAAGTGGTGCAATTATTTTACTCATAAAATTTATACACCACTTGACTGTCCAAAATCCTCCAAGCAGTTTTCAAAAATGATAAAGCAATAAAATTGTAACTTAGAAAAATTAACAATAATTTAATTTAAAAAAAAATAATCAGATTTTTAAAATTTAAATTGGATTTTTAAAATAAAATGCTTTTGGAGGAAAAATCTTTCTAAAGATAGTTTTCTATTTAAGTTACATCATAGTCCAAAAGCTATCCATCAGGAAATAAGGATTTGTTTTAAGTTTTTCATGTGTCTAAGTTTTTTTTTTAAAAAAAAAGTTTAATGCCACATCAGTTAGCAAACATGGATACGTATGCTATGTTATTGTTTTAAAGTACAGCAGAAAAGTTATACACATACAAAGTTAAGTTATTAAACCTCACAATCATTTCATAATTATCTGTCTATGCATTTCTAATAGTATAACCAAATCAGTAATTTTTGATACAACTGTAAAAATCACTCTGAAAACTTATTATTCCAAAAATGAAGCCTACATCTGATTGTAAATATTAAGATTATACCAGCAAGAATGAGTCTTTCTGTAAAAAAAATGACTTAAATCAAGTCTTACTGACTAGTGATTTAAATTGTGATTTTATGGATTTGATTTAAATCAAATCCACCCTGACACCTGCGTAGGCTAAAATGGTTTTATCAGGTGCTGAAAAGAGTAGCATGCTGCCACACTAGAAGTTTCTTACAAATGCTGAATGGGTAATTCTGTGGCACCGCTAACAGTGCCAGTTCCGCCAACCAAAGAGATTGAGTCGGCACATATAGGGGAAGGCACTAACTGCAGCTTCTGGATCAAGCGCGAGGGAAGCCCCACATAAAATGCATTGCAGTACATACATTTTGTGAAATAAATAAAAACAGGTGGAGCCAGTACCTTCCTCCTCCTCCTCCTCCTCCTCCCGCCCCCATTCGCCAGCATCACTGTCAGCCTTGCGCTTCTCTCCAGTTTTCAGCTTCCTGGACTTTTTGGCAGCCCTCTTCTTCTCTGCCCGCGATGGCTTCTGCTGCTCAGATCGCTGTGCCTCCTGTTTCGCCAGGACAGCCTCCTTCTCAGCAACCTACAAACAGATGCAACGGTGTGAGCAAAAAGTTCAACTGAGGCCGTGGCCTCCTAACAGACTCCTGTGCCCTAAGAAGCAGAGGAACCCCCGGCCTTGCGCCTTCAGATCCAGATTCCTTCCCACCCAACTGAACTAATCCAAGGAGCTGCTGAACAATAATGATGGATAAAGACCAGTATATACTGTAAATTAATAAAATAAAATGAATAAATAACAGAAAACCCTGTCGCTACCTGAACCACAGGAGACCTCATCCCACCCAAGGTTTAGTGAAAGTTTTGCTTAATTTGCAGGGTCTGCAATTAAAAATATGTCTTTAAAAAGCAAGGAAGGAGCACTATGTTTGAATAAGGAAGACTTCCCAACCAGGTGCAGGATGGGGCCGATTGTATTCATAGTCCAAAACACCTGGAAGGAACCAGGTCGGGAAAAGCTACAATAGGAGATTTAAAAAGATGCATGTATCCTGACCTTAACTCTCTGCTCATTGACTCGAGCAAGCCGGTTTTCTGTCTTCTGAACAGCTGCATCCCAGTCTTCCAAAGTGCCTGAGAGAAAGAGAAGGATTTTATTTTTTTAAACATCTGCCAATTCTACATACGCCTCCTTCAGAACTGGGTATACACTGCCAATATGCAATATCCAAGGGACGCAGATAGTGCATGGTCTAAACCACTGAGCCTCTTGGGCTTGCTGATCAGAAGGTCGGTGGTTCAAATCCCGACGGGGTGAGCTCCCTTTGTTCGGTCCCAGCTCCTGCCCACCTAGCAGTTCAAAAGCACACCAGTGCAAGTAGATAATTAGGTACCGCTGTGGCAGGAAGGTAAACAGCTAAAAAAGTGAAGTTTATTGTTGTAATTATTTTATGTGAACCACTTTGTGAGGCATGCCTGAATAACCTGAATAAATAAATAACCTGAATAATTAAATAAAATTAGTCTTCTCAAGCTTATGTAGCCAAAACTGCAACACTCACACATAAGAAAAGGGCATCAACAGACTTGGGGAGATTTGCAGAGAAGCAAAAAATCATTTAAAGAAAGTTTGTAAAAACCCCAGAAGAGTCAGGTAATAACTAGATGGCACAGAATGCTGTAGGAGGGGGGAACAGAATGCAGGGGCTAGAAAAGGAAGAAGCACAGTAGAGAAAAAACCATCTCACTGTCTTGGGAGATGACTTCCTAGTTCACACTAGAAGCCATTTTTAAAGAATCACCAGAGACAGAAGTTAAAGGCAACCCACAGAAATTATTGGAGAAATCTAAGTTTTTAATATGGTTGGCAGCTGGGGCACAGTGTGTCTCAGCACAAGCGAGCAAGAAATTTAACTATGGGGCTGGGAGAGAAAACAGGCCAATAAATATTGAGCATGCCCAGCAGGCACAAAATATTGACCACTGGGAGGGAGAACATGGAAAACTAGTGGAGAAAATCATTTTTTGCTGCAGGGTCTAGTTTATTTTCTAATGAAGGGCTCCCGACAAGAAAACAACATACAAATCACACCAAGAGAAAGAGGAAGCCAGGACCGAAGCCCCCTTGCTTCCCTAGAGAACAGCTTTCAGAACATTCTGTGACACCACAGCCGTTCAGCCAATCAGGGCTTTAGCCACTACAAACGCAATACACACAACAGCTTCACAAAAGCAGCTGACCTTCAATTCTCTCCAGCATAAGCAGCACCTCACAGACATGCTCTGGGTAGTCGTTTGTGCATTGCACAGCCCGGTGTAAGGCCTTCCTGCAGTGCTGGGTGTCGCCATGTGCCCTGGAATCGGAGGGAAAGAAGGGTTTGGCAGCTGCAAATGTACATCAAGCACAGCCTGTTTGTTCTTGTAGCACATTTATGCTTCATGAGTGGCGTCCAAATAATTTCACTAACTGCAGCCTGTGGACTCATGTTGGACCCAAGCTTTCAACCTGGGAGAGGCCCAAAGGCCAGAAGGCACACTGGGAACAAAGTGAACCCGTGCAAGAACACTTGGGAGAGCTCCGGACATGGCTTAAAATCCAAAAGTACTTTTACCCCACACAAAGGGAATATGATATTCAGGTCCTCCCCAACCTGGTTCCCTCCAGATCCTTCTGGACTCCAACTCGTATCAGATCCAGCCAATGCCAGCAATTATTGGCCTCATAGTCTAACATTATAGTGTGGCAGCAACTACGTTTTGGAACTCCTTGATATTGATATCAAGCAGGTGACTTCATTGTACTCTTTTTGGTGCCTGCTAAGACCATTGTTTAAACAAATGTACCCAGATGCTTGGAAAGTAGAAATAATTTTAATCTGTTTTAGTATTTTAACCCCTGAATGTTATAAAGTATGGCTGTACTTTTTTCTTGATTTTATTGCTTTATCTTTTTGTAAACTGCTTTGAGGGTGTTTGTTTTTCCAATCAAGCAGTATACAAATTTTATGAAATAAAGATATAAACAAACAAATCTTGAGGATTAGGGAAGGCTGCCAAAGAGAAAACCCTGGCATGAGATCTGAATGATTGTTTTCTTAACTGTAGGGTTTCTGAACAGGAACCTGGGAAGCCGTAAAATAGGTCCAGGGCCAGAGCTGAAGCATCCCAGGAAGGCAGCTGCCAAATCTCTTACCGTTCCAGGTTGTAGTACTCCAGCCACATGTTGGCATACTTGGCATTTCCCTTGGTCATGATGCTGTCCCAGAGTTCTCGTGCCTTCTGTATGTTGTTACACAGGCGAGCCTAACAAGGAGAAACAAGAGGATGCCCAACATCCAAAGAAAGGGCAGCGTTTTAAAGCTCTGATAAGGATAGCACATCCTTTTAGACTCACAACCCCCAACCCCAAAAGCAGAGCCATACATACACCATGGTGGAATGAGCCAAGGTTACCTCAATCCTCGCCCAGGTCTGCATTACGGTGCATGAAGGATCCCCACTCTCACTAAACCCTGTGGGGAAAGTAGGATTCCTATAAGATTGGAACAGCATAGGAAGTGGCAAATAAAGCTCTGATAAGGAAAGGTCTTGTGTATTATTATTATAAAATTGATTGCCACCCATCACCGGCAGGTAATTTGGAATTGTTAACACATATTACATTCACAAGAATAGGGTGGGTCCTGAAAGCATACATCTCAAGTGTCAAAAGCCAGGGTAAAGAGGTGTGTCTTCACCATTTTCTGGAAGCTGTATAGTGAAACTACCAGATGCACCTCAGTGAGGATGGAATGCCACAGCTTAGGGGCTGCCACAGAAAAGGCCCTTTCCTGGGCCACCACCACTTGAACTTCTGAGGGAGGTGGAACCATCAGGAGGGCCCCATCTGATGAGTACGGCCCCCAGGAGGGTCTATAAGGACTTGGGCAAGTAAGCAGGGGTCACAAATTGCATCAGAAGCTTTCAGTGCCGTATGCATTCATAAGCCCAAAATATACCTATCCTTTTTAAAAATAGAAGCCCCAACATACGTTCTTCCACTTCTTGCTTTAAGTATTCTATTGCATGGGCAAATGCAGACCGAAGTTCTTCCAGCTCTTTACTGGAGTCTGAAAAAGACCAAGTGAAAGAAGAGCACCATTCAGAGACCAAAATGCTCATAAGAGTTTTCTGCTGTGCTGTTTCTGTACTAAAGTGGCAGAGACCAGAGACAGGATGGCTACCTCATTGACTGGCTGTAGGAACTAAGTCTAGAAATACAGCAATTGCCCAAATGACTATTAGAAGATTCTCCAACACGTATTAAATTTTACCTTGAGTAAAATCCACCCTTCTCCTCAGGTAATCCAAGTACGCCTGCCAGATTTCCACATAGTCAGTAGCTTGAATGAAGCCAGCGTTCAAAGCCTTTTCAAAGTTCTCTAAACACAAGAAAGAAAAGCAAGCGGCATGAATGGGGCTTTTGTGATCTGCCCACCCCACCCTACCTGGTCAATTCTTTAGCTTTAATTTCTGCATTGCAGGGGGCTGAACTGATTGACCCTTTGGGTCCCTTCTAACTCTATGACTGTATCCTCCCATTGGTAGCAGGATGAAATTTGGAGTTCAGCTCCTGGATTTGGGAGTGACCAAGCTTAAGACTTCCCTCAGAGCCCTCCGTTCTCCCAATGGCAGGGAGGGTGTGGGCTGACTAGTCACAGGAAACTGCCAGACGGAGTCAGTCCACTGGCCCATCTAGAGCCTAGTGTTGCCCACTCTATCTGGCAGTGGCTCTCCAGCGCTTCAGGCAGCCCTGCCTGGAGAGGCAGCCAGGGACCTTCTCCCTGAAGAGCAGATGCTCTGCCAACTGAGCCCTTCTGCCAGGGCCATTCAGCACCAAAGGAAGCGCCACAGCCAGGACAAAACGGACGGAGGCCTTGTGCGAACCATCGTCACTGCTTGCATAGCACCCAGTGTAAGGCAGCAACGCAAGTCTGTGTTCCATTAAATTGAGTGCTTCTTTACCTGAAATCAGCTCATGCTCAACATGATGCCTCTCCATGGCCAGGAGGTACTGGTTCCACAGCTTGACAGTCCACGGGCAATTCCTGACGGCTCGCTCATGGGCGGAAAGCACCAGCTCCTTCACTTTCAGCTGCCTGTCCTGCAAGACAAAGCCGATGCCAAAGTTAGTGTGTGTGTGTGTGTGTGTGTGCTCAGTTCCACAGGCGCACAGAACATGGCCTCTGGGTGTCACTTTCTGCTTTATGAATAACTTTTTATTGGGTTTTATAAACAAAGATCATAGAAATAATAAAGCATATAAAATAAACAGCCTTCTTGTGTCGTTTGTGTATCACAAAAATAGTGGCATAAATTTGCAATAATATCTACAGCATATGGTTCATTATTAGCGGTTAATGTGTAAGTGTTTAATTTGCAAACTGGTTTAAACCAAAACAAAGGGGAAACAGGATAGAACTGAGTTAACACATAACATTCAACATCACATAACTAAAAGCCTAATCAGGAGCCCTTGTGGTTGTGCTCAGATTAAGAGAGAGAGTAATAGTGATTTTTCCTCTTATGTTACCAATGAAACAATATAAAGTGTTGGTGATAAATGTGGAAGGGGATAATAATTTATGTTTAAATTTAAATTTAGATAAACCAAATTGAACAAAATACTGATGGGAGGGATTGTTTGTTTCCAAATTACTAGCATATGTTACTGAATTAAACCACACCAGAGTAAAGCCATCTCTGTTCACACTTAGTTTATTAGTTAATCTCTCAAGGACATATGTTTCCCAATCTGTTTTGAACTTCTGCTTTGTGAAGGTCTCTGCTCAAGATTCTAGGCCACATGGAGAAGATACACTTGAAAGCAGGTGACATCTGCTAAAACCACATTAAGCCAAAGAAGCAGCTAAAATAAGATGTCTGTGATTCAGAAGCCCCCTCCCCACGAGCAAAATCAGAATAAACTGTACAGAGTCAAGAGCAATCATGCAAACCTGCACTGCACATTCATGGGGTCTGGATCTCTTTGGAGAAGCATTTTAAATTTCTTATAGCAAGCAACACAGCTCTGGTTAAAACTAGTGGCCTTAGACTACTAGAAAGGTGCCTCTCAGGAGGCTCAGAGAAACTCTCTCAGGGCTCCTTACCAGATACTGTGTGTAATGAGCCCAGAGGTCTGGCACAAGGCAGTTCTCCGCCAGGGCACGCTCATAGGTCAGCTGAATGCGAGCCGGGTCTCCGGCCTTCGTCTCAAACTCTATATAGGCTTGGTATTCTGCCAGCTTTGGCGTCTCAGCTACTAGCTGAAATTAAAGGGGGTGGGGGGAGGAAGGGAACCATTTCAGGATGTTATGAAATTATCATTAGTAGTAGTAGCAGCAGCATATATTTATTTATACCTCACCTTTTTCCCTGACAGGGACTCAAGGCGGCTTAGAAATAAAATAGGAGCAGCCGGTGGAGAAAGGACATGATTTATTTACATGTGTTCAGTGTTTTCTACCAATAAGTCTCATAGCAAAATGCATTACAAATGTAGTTCACACAAATAAAATCATCAGCACTCTAAGAAATGAATTAATTAATATACAACAAGTGAATAACTATGGATTTTTCCTAATGTTGGATGGGTTTTGTTTTGTTTTCTTTTGTTAAGCTGATATACTGGACTGGAGGAAGACTATGTTTGACATTTAGTTTGACTGGAGAGCCCCATTTAACTTTGGATGTCTGGGGTTGAAGATCAGGAAAACATTGCCTAGCAGAATGAGGAGCAGCTGGATATTCTATTGGAAAATAGCTGGATACCATCCTGGAGTGAACACTTTTTATTATTTTGAATAATAAAATTGTAAAATAAAATAATAATAATAATAATAATAATAATAATAATAATAATAATTTATACCCCAGCCAGGGCCAGGCTCAGGGCAGCTAACACTGAATATAAATTACAATAAAATGTAATGGGGGGGGACAGTTAATTAAAATACGGCTTAAAATACAGCTTAGTAGTAGCCCATAAATCAGGACCATAAAGGGAGGAAACATCAGATATTCATCCGAGCCAGCTATCCATGCTGGTCCTACATGGGCCAGCAAAAAAGCCAAGGGAAAATTTATATACCAAATCCCATATAAGGGGTCAGAGTGAGTCCAAGCTAAAGGCCAGGCAGAACAGCTTGATCTTGCAGGCCCTGCAGAAAGATGTAAAATGCCGCAGGGCCCTGGTCTATTGTGACAGAGTGTTCAACCAAGTCAGGGCCAGTGCCAAAAAAGCCCTGGCCCTAGTTGAGACCAATCTTACCTCCTTGAGGCTTGGGACCTCCAAAGTGTTGTTATTTATGGACCTTAAGGTCCTCCGTGGGGCATATCAGGAGTGGCGGTCCCGTAGGTATGAGGGTCCTAGGCCACGTAGGGCTTTAAAGGTCAAAATCAGCACCTTAAACCTGACCCTGTACTCCACCGGGAGCCAGTGCAGATGGTAAAGCACTGGATGAATGAGATCCCGCGGCAAGGACCCTGTAAGGACCCTGCGGCATTCTGCACCCGCTGGAGTTTCTGGGTCAGCTTCAAGGGCAGCCCCGCATAGAGTGAGTTACAATAATCAAGCCTGGAGGTGACCGTCGCATGGATCACTGTGGCCAGATCAGGGCGAGAAAGGTAAGGGACCAACTACCTAATACGGCAGAGATGGAAAAATGCCACCTTTACTGTGGCTGCAACCTCCGCCTCCATAGAAAGAGAGGCGTCGAAGGTTACACCCAAACTCTTGACAGAAGGCACTGGCACTAATTGAGCCCCCGCAAGAGATGGGAGTTTGCCCCCCCCAACCCCATGTTGTCCCAACCCAGCCAGAGGACCTCTGTCTTCGAAGGATTTAACTTCAACCGGCTCCCACGCAGCCATCCAGCCACAGCTTCCAAGCATCTGGTCAGTGTGTCCGGGGCTGAGTCAGGGCGGCTGTCCATCAACAGATAAAGCTGGGTGTCATCAGCATATTGATGACAACCCAGTCCAAAACTCCAGACAATCTGGGCAAGGGGGCGCATAAAGATATTGAAAAGCATCGGGGAAAGGATAGTGCTGCGACAACTCCTCTAGCACCACCCTCTGTCCCCGACCTGAGAGCGCAGCCATTGTCGGACCGTGCCCTGAATCCCCACATTGGCAAGGCGGTGGTCCAAAAGTTCGTGTTGAAGACCATGTTGAAGGCTGCTGACAAATATAAAAGAATCAGCACTCACAACTCTCCTCTATCTAGCTGTCTATGGAGATCATCTGTTAGGGCGACCAAAGCCATCTCGGTTCCATGACCAGGGCGAAAGCCGGACTGAAATGAATCCAGAGCCGATGTTTCACCCCATCTCAAAACCCTTTGCCTGTAGTATCTACCCCCACCGCCAGACCTCCCTCTGACACAACAGATTCGTTTTATTTGTTTGTCTGTTTTATTATATGGTATGTTGAAAAGTTTCAGTAAAAACACTTTGTTAAAAAAACCACACACACCCCAGCCCACCTGGGAGGCTGGAAGCAGCTCTCCAGGGTCTCAGAGAAGAGAAGGGCTTTCACTAGTCTAGCTGGCTTTTGTAACTGGAGATGTCAGGGATGGAGCCTGGGACCTTCTGCCAGCAAAAGAGATGCTCCAGCTCTCAGGCACAGTCCTTCCCCTACCCGCAGTAAAGTAAAAACAACAAATGCAGTCATGGGCAAAAGAAAGTGAACCCTCTGTGAATTCTGTGGTTTTACAAATCTGGACATAATAGCAATCATTTGTTCCTTAGTAGGTCTTAAAATTAGGTAAATACAACCTCAGATGAACAACAACACATAACATATTACACCGTGTCATGATTTATTTAACAAAAATAAAGCCAAGATGGAGAAATCATGCCTGAAAAACTAAGTAGACCCTTACCGCTTCCCTAGGAATTAAAAGGCTAAGTAGCAGACAGGGGCTGCTAATCAAATGTCCTTGCTTAACTGATCATTGGCAAGTGGGCCCACCTCTGTAAGAGCCAAAGTTTTAGCTGTTTGCTGGTCTGGAGCACTCAGGTGTGTTTTCAATGCCAAGGAGGAAAGATGACACAATGCTCTAAGAGAAGCAAGTGCTGCTGCCCATGAAACAGGGAAGGGTTCTAAGGCCACCTTCAACCAATGTAAAGTCCATCATTCTACAGTGAGAAAGATTATTCAAAAGTGGAAAACATTCAAGACAGTTGCCAATCTTCTCAGGAATGGACATCCCAGCAAATTCACCCAAGGTTAGACCGTGCAATGCTCTGAGAAATTGCGAAAAACCCAAGAGTTACATCTCAGGCTCTACAAGCCTCAGTTAGCATGTTAAATCTCAAGTTCATGACAATACAATTAGGGGGGGAAACTGAACAAGTATGGTTTGTTTGGAACCGTTTCCAGGAGAAATATTCGTCTCTCTAAAAAGAACATGGCAGCATGGCTTTGATTTGAAAAGTTGCATCTGAACAAACCTCAAGACTTCAGAGAAAATGTTCTTTGCACAGACGAGACCAAAGTGGAGATGTTTGGCCATAATGCACAGTGCCACGTTTAGCAAAAACCAAACACAGCATGCCAGCACAAGAGCCTCATACCAACTGTCAAACACGGTGGTGGAGGGGTGATGTTTTGCAGCCACAGGACCTGGGAACCTTGCAGTCATTGAGTCGACCATGAACTCCTCTGTATTTCAAAGTATTCTATAATTAAACGTGTGGCCCTCTGCCCAAGAGCTGAAGCTTGGTCATGCAACAGGACAAGGATCCCAAGCACACCAGGAAATCTACAACAGAATGACTAAAAAGAACAGAATCAAGGTGTTGCAACGGCCCAGTCAAAGTCCAGACCTCAACCCAACTGAAATGCTGTGCGGGATCTTAAGAGAGCTGTGCATAAACAAATGCAAGCAAACCTCAATGAACTGAAGCAACGTTGTAAAGAAGAATGGGCCAAAATTCCTCCACAATGACGTGAGAGACGGGAAAAGTCCTACAGAAAACATTAATTTCATGTTATTACTGCTAAAGGTGGTTCTACAAGCTATTGAGTCCTAAGGTGTACTTAGTTTTTCACATATGGCTTTTCCATTTTGGCTTCAAATAAATAATGACATGATATATGTCACGTGTTGTTGCTCATCTGAAGTTGTATTTACCTCATTTTAAGACCTGCTAAGGAAAAGATGATTGTTACTATGTCTTCATATGTAAAATCACAGAATTCAAAGAGGGTGCACTTTCCTTTTCCCGTGACTGTATGTGAGAGAGAGAAATTCATTATAAGAGGCCAGATAAAACACACACTGTATTTGAGCTTCACTGACATCAGAGATTTTGTCTAATACAAGTTTGTTGTAAGTTTACACTGCAAGAGGTGTAGAGTTGGACGGGACCGGTTTGGATCCTGTCCAGCTCTGCATTTCTATGATTTCCACTGCTGGTAAAGAGCAGCCCCATTCCACCCAGCAAGGAAGCACCTTACCAGGGCCTCTTCGTACGGTTTACATTTAGCCATCTGCTGCAAAGCCTTCTTGTAGTTTCTGATCACTGCTTCAGGGACTGGCTCCTCAGACCACTCTTCATACTCTGCATATGTAGCCTCCATATCTTGGCATAAGTAACAAAAACCATTTCAGAATATTTCCTACCTGCTTAGCATGGCTCTCAGCATTTGAAATGAGAGTTTCTTTTCATGAGGATGAAAAATTATATTGCAACCAACTTGAGACTTATTTCTCTGCCACAGGAAACCAATAGCAAAAGTTATTCTTCCTTAAAAAACACATGCCACATTCAAAGTTACCTGTTCCCCCCCTCCCCCTTCAATTCCCTCCTTAAATCCCCAAGATCCCTTTAAAAAGAGAACGTTGTGTTCAAAGGCTCTCTGGGCAATACACCTTATTGATGGCAGGAGTCCTTTCTCTGCCGCTGCCAAAAGGAATGCCTGCAGTCCCCCACAAGTTCAAATGGAGAAGGCACCCAGAGCTTTGCACCCAGATCAGAATCACAGTAGATTTGTCTCAGGGTGCACACTGCACACACCCCAAGCAGATGCAGTTCCACCAGACTGGAGCCACTAAAGCTCACAGGTTCTTACCAAGAAGTGGGATCCCCAGCTGGCGCCTAAAGAGCACATGAATCCTTCCAAGCTGTGCGCTGACTGTCTGCTGCTGCTCAGCAGATGGAACGCTGCCGGCTGCTGGCTGCACAAGGAGAGAGGGAGAAAACAATTGGTGAACATCAGACAAGGCTACGAGATGCAGCAAGGAGTGGAAGGCCTCTAGGAGCCCACCAGCCTCATCAGAAACAAATGTGCACATACACAAAATGAAGTCCCAAGCAACAAGGGCTGCTGATAGGGCCCCCTAAGCTGCACCATCACCCCTGGCTTGGAATTGGGACAGAAAGCAGAGCTTCCGCCCCAGATGAAGGCTCCCCTCAGAATGCTACTGACCCCCACCCCACTGCACTTCTTAATGGCCAATTATTCAAAAAGAGTTTGCAGGGAACCAGGAAATCCCACTTCCCCAGAGAGTCAATAAGTCATCCTTTCGCCTCAACAGAATACAGCCCCTTCTTAGGAGATTTGCCATCCGCACAAGTACAAATTAAGGGTAGCAAAGCAAGGTATTTGTATACTGCTATACCATTAAAAAAATCAGCATGTTATATATATTAGATTAGAAACACATAAAAACTTAAGCTCAAAACTTAAGCTCATAAAGCAAATTATGTATTCTTAACTCCCTGCATAAGCTTGGACATAAAAAGTTGGCACAGAAGGCATCTCCTGAATCTCTACTGGCAGAGTGTTCAACAAGATTGGGCCAATGACGCTCCTGCAGACTATCGTAGTAATCCAACTGTGATACTGTATAAAGCTTCAGGAGATCCCAGAGATACCCTGGACTCAAGTTGTTCAGGGATTTGTAAATTAATACAAGGACCTTGAATCTGGCTCAATGGCAGCCAGAGCAATGTTGCTCCATCAGCAATCTGGCTGCAGCATTCTGCACCAGCTGGAGCTTCCATCCCAGGCCCAAGGGGAGCCCTGCATAGAGCACATGGCGGTAAATCAGCCTCAAGGTTACTAGTGCATAGACTACAGTGGTCCTTTACCTGCACTGTTTCCAGGATGGCATTTTCAAACTCCCGATATGCCTCCCAGATGGCAGCTCCTTTCGTCATGTGAAGACCAACAGCCGTTAGCGCCCTTTCAAAGATTGAACGAACTTTATCAATGCCTCCCTCCTGGCCAATGCCTCCAATCGAGTACTGGGCATATTCCAGCCATATTTCCGGACCTAGAAAAAAGCACCAGAATGCTGCCCACTCAGGTCTGCAAGCGATTTATTCCAAAAGTGGAGCTTTAAGATCTTTTAACTGTGATCAGTTTTAACTGGGTTCTACCCGCTCTTTTTCATTATTGACTTCTGTACTGTATTTTTTTGCTGTTGAATGATGTGTAAGCCACCCTAGTAAATTTTATGTGAAGAGTGTGGAAACAATTCTTTTAAAGATGAACTTATAGATTTCACTGCTCAAGCATACACATGGATAAAAGCAAATGCAACAGTCAACATTTGTACTCATTTGTAAGGGAGTCTTGGGAAGTTAACCAGAGACCAGGAACCCCTAGCCCTCCAGATGTTGTAGGACACCAAATTCCCATGAGCCCCAGGTAGCATGGCCAATGGACAGGGATGATGGGGACTGCAGTTCAACACTATCTGGAGGACTACAGATTCCCCATCCTGGGTCTAAATTATCTCTGTACTGGGAGAGCAAAGGCAGAAGACGACAAACCAGCCTAAATGGACCTCACTTTTGTCTATCCCTCAGCTCTTCCCCTAGAGCTACCTGAATTCATTCTCTCCCCATTCCAATTATTCTCTCCATGTACCATGTTTTCCAACATGGTACAGAACAGAAATAAACAGCAAATATTTGGAACCCGGAACTTTGCAAGCCAAACTGCCAGGAATAGTTAAAGAGTCGGACAATCAGCCTTCAGTTTACACTTGCCTGGCTTAAAATTTAGCATCCTGCAGTTTAGGTGGCTTGTTTAGGCTGTTTTGGCTTAGGAACATGTCAATGTTTTGTGGTATTAGATTTTTTTAAGGTGAAAACTTACAGATGTAGTCTTTCACAGCTCTCTCAAAGAGATCATAGATCTTGTCTCTCTCTGAGTTTTCTGAAGCCATCCGAATCTCATCCTTCAGCCAGTCTAGCCAGATTTCTGCAGTATACAGAATATGTACATTCATATCAACAGAACACAAGCACAACAGGCATACAGCCTTTCAACTTGGAAGTAGCACATAACCGTTATGACTAGTATCCTTTGATAGGCAATCCATAGGAGACAAGGCTAACTCCCTTTTAAAGCCAGCACCACATCATGTAGAGGAGCCAGTGCTGAACCAGAACCAGGGAGACCAGGGTTCAAATCCCTGCTCAGCCATGAAGCTCACTTCATGACTTTTGTGCCAGTCACTGTCTGTCAGCCTAACCTACTTCACAGGGTTTTTGTGATGATAAAATGGAGAGGGAGAGAAGTGTGCATGCCCCCTTGAGCTCTCTGGAGAAATGGTGGGAAATAAATGTAATGATAAATAAAATAAATAGCATAAGGTTATGGCAAATCAAGCTATAAAAACAGCCTACCTTCTGTAAGGGGAAAGAGTTCACTCATCTTCTGACGGGCTCTTTGGAGTTTGACTAATTCTCCTTCCTGGTGCAGCAATTTTATGAGATCCAGATGACAATTGTAATCAAATACATTGATGGATAGCTTAAAGACAACAAAAACAGTTTTATTTGTAAGCTTTTAGTGGAAGAACAGGTAGCAGTCAAGCCTCATTGGCTTTTTTCTTGGGTGTGTTCTTGACTTAACAAGGCACCACAAACAATCATTGTAGGGGGAATCTATGCATCCGTTCTCTCAGGTCATGCTCAAGTCCCTGATATTTCTTCACAGCACACTAAGTTGCAGTTTGCACCAGCTCCAGCTCATAGACCAGGAACCTGAAATCTATGCACACCACTGTCTAGTTATGATGGCTTCCGCTACATCTCTGTACATGTCATCACCCAGGGCTGGCCTCCTTCCCCAAAAAGTCAGGCATGGTTTGCTCAAAACATGGTCTCAAAAAGTACCTCAGGGAGATCTCTCTCTCTCTCTCAGAGTGCAGAGGCACAGGGGATCTGCCTACATTGGAGGACAGTAGTAGAACACCAGGTTTGCATGTAGAAGGTCCCAGGTGCAACCCCTGCTTCCTCCAGGCAGGGCTGGGAAAGACTTCTTGCGCATTTTAAACTGAGTTAATTAGGCCAACAGGAGCCAGTGTGGCACAGTGGTTAAGAGCTGGGGAGACCAGGGCTTCAGCCACTCACTTTCAGCCCAACCTACCTCACCTCTCCCCATGTGAACTGACCCGGACCCCGCAAGCATCACCGGAGGCCCTTCTTCGCGTGCCCCCTCCACGAGAGGCCTGGAGGGTGGCAACACGGGAATGGGCCTTTTCTGGGGTGGCTCCCCGCTTGTGGAACACTCTCCGCAGGGAGGCTCACCTGGCGCCTTTGTTGCGTATCTTTAGGTGCTGAGCAAAAACATCCCTCCTCCCCCAGGCCTTTCTTTAATTAATGAATCTGGGGGGGTGGGGGGGGGGAAATGTCTGCTTGTTATTGTTACATATCATTGTGTTTCTATGAAGCGAACGGCTCTGGCTCTGTGATCCTCGGATGAAGGGTGGCATAAAAGTGAGGAAGTTATAACAATGATAAACGAGGAAGGAAAAGGTGTGATAGAAAGGCAGCAAGATAACCAACTAAACGATCTGCCTCGGCGTCAGGCAGCTCGGTGCTGTCAGCTGCACCCCCGAGAGCGCCACAGCCCGGGGGGGGGAGGGGAGGAGGTCCAGGCTCCCGCAGGAAGAGAGACCAAAAGCGACCCTCCTCGCCCCCCCCGGCCCCGTCTTCGCTTCGGGCGGGGGCGTGGCCTTCCCCGCCTCCGCCCCGCCCCGCGCGGCCCTCACCTGCTCTTCCAGGCGCTGGATCTCGGCCTCGTTCTCCTTCTCCGCGTCCTCATCCTCGCCTTCCCCGGAGGACTCCTCGGACTCGGACTCCCCATCCGCTTCTTCCTCTTCGCCGTCGCCTTCCTTCTCGCCTTCATCTTCCGAGGCCCGCGCCGCCCGCATCTCCTCCTCAGCGGCTCCGCCAACGGCCGCCATCTTGTGCCGCCGCCGCCGCCGCCGCGCGCCCGCGCTTCTCTCCCACTCGAGGAAAGGCCCCCTCCCGCCAGCCTTTTCGCCCGCCGCGCTTCGGGGCTGCCCTGCTCTAACGCCTGACTGAAAAATAGAGGCAGCTGCTGCTCCGAAGGCGTCTGGTACAAACAAAGCGGAGGGTGTCGGTCCCGCAGAGCTCTTCAGAAGGGCTGCTGGACAGGAAGCGTCCCCGGCAGGTGAAGGGCATCGCCATTTGGTTCTTTTCGAAGGGGCATAAATGTCGGGCTTTCCCAAAATCTCGGCGTGCCGCAGTCGCCTCAAGGAAGGACAGAAGGACCCTCTCCATCGCTCAGGGAAAGGCAGGCCGGGGCCGCCATGTTGAGTGTGTCAGCGCGTCGCTGCTCTGGTTCGGTTGGCTAGAATGGAGCTTGCGCAGGAGACCTTCCTGTTTGGTTGGGTCTCGTGTGTTCGGGGGGGTTGTGTGTGTGCTATGACACTGATATCCCGTCTTTTCCGTAGAGTGGCCTCCGAGGGAGCTTCGTCGCTGAGTGGAGGATCAGAAGTTGCTTTCCCTTTGTAACTTTCAAAAGAGACCAACCCATTTGCCAGAGCAGGGGCGCTGAGAGAGGCGGGGAGGCATCTGCTCTTAAAGCTGCATTGAATTTGCTCCAGAGCCCCTGGTTGGGTGATGGGGGCCCAAGAGCCACGCATAAAAGCTGGGTCCTCTCCAGAGTCATGTCAGGCCATAAATAAAAGTATTTGTACGCCCACCTGCTTCAAATAATAAATCATTTATTTACTCCCATTATTTGCATACTTCCCAATAAAATATTCAATAAATAAAATAATTAGTGTAAAAATACATATAAAACTGTAAAATCAAAGCGGATGCCAACACTGATGGCATTCTCTCATGACTGCTAAACATTTATGCTCTCAATAATTAAGTACAGTAATTATGGTCAGCAAATATCGGTTTTGGCCTGACTACTATTTTTTCTGTAAGTTTCAATGTCGTTTAATGTGTTTTTGTGTCCCCTGCCTTGTGATGCTGACATGAAAAGTGGGATAGAAACAGTTCTAATAAATAAAAGGCAACAAAGCAAAAAAAACAACAACACCAAGCTAAAACGCATTGGGTGGCGGCAGCGGCGTACAAATGATGCCGGCTTTCCCCGCGCTAGGCCTGGGAGGGTGAGGGCCTGACAAAAGCTGTGGCGCTGAACAGCCTCGGGCTTGGGAATTCTTTAAGAGGTTTTGTTGGGAGGTGGGTGGGTTGTTACAGTTATTGACTGTAATCTTTTGTATTTCATTTCAGATGTTACAGTACTCTGATTTATGCTTGGTTATGTGTTTTTTGTTATATTTATTATTAATGACTACTGTTGTTACGTTGGAATTGTGCTTTTTCATGTTGTAAGCCGCATGGAGCATGGTTTGAACCCTAGAAAGATGGAATTCAAATAGAATTATGTATGTATGTACATAATGTCTACTGAGAAGTAAATCAAACTGAATTCAGCAGGATTCGCGCCCAAGTGGAATTAGGACTGCAGACAAAGCAACAAATCAAAACTTGCAATAATAATAATAACGATAATAATAAGACAAATAACAATAATGACAATAACATCCAGGCAGCAACAGGTTAATTCCCTCCCCGGGCGGGTTAAGTTTATTCCTCCCGGAGGGCGTGGCTAATGACGCCCGTTTCGTTTTGCCCTCAGCAGGGCGCTGTGGCCTCACCTGGCGCTGCAGGCGTGGCGTCACAATCTCGCGCCGTCCTTGTCTCCTGTGTCGCAGTCCTCCTCCAGCAGACAAGATGGCGGCGCTGAGGGCGAGTGTTGCGCAGCGGGCGGCGGCGGCTCTCCTGAGGCCTGGGCCGGCCCAGGCTCCCCTCGCCGCGGGATACCACGAGAAGGTAGGGGACGGGGGCTGGCTCACTCCAGGGGGGCTTTGAGGGTCGCAGGGGAAAGGCGGGCGAGGGGGGAGGACCCAGCAGAACAGGGGTTTTCGGGGGGGGGGTCCCTCAGACGGTGGCGGACCCTCCTTCCTTCCCTGGAGGGTTTTGAGAAGCAGAGGCTAGGCGGCCACCCGTCAGGGTTCCTCAGCCGTCACTCCTGCATCGCAGGAGGATGGACTCGAGGACCCTTGGAGGGCCCCTTCCGCTCCGCAGCTCCGTGATTCCATAAGGCAGCGGCTGTCATTCTAAATGGGTAGCTGGATTATGGGGGACATCACAAGGGGGTGTAAGGGAACGCTGCGCAGGTATGGGGGTCATAAGGGGTGTTGGGGGAAAACCTGGGGGGGTTGGAGAGGGGATGTATAAGGATTTGGGGGACTAAGGTAGGATTGGGGATCTTTGTAGACCTGGGGCTGATACAACAAGGGTGGCTGGAAACTGAGTGGAACACCAGAAAGAGGGTGAGAAGGGAAGCCTGCACAGATTTGGGGAGGGGACAGTTTAGTGGGCTTCAAACAGAATAGATGCCTGGGAGGAGTTAATTAGTATAAATAATGAGGACACTTTATTTTTAAAAAAATAATAATAAATTGAGTGGTGACCTTTAACAAATAGCTGGTGGTCAGAGGGAGGCATGGGGAAAGGCCTCGCAGTGGGGCAGGGTAGATAGAGAAGTTGGTGACTTTTTTACTCTCATCCCTTTTCCATTTTGTATCATGGCTTCAAGACTGTTAGCCTGCAGGCAGGGACTGCCTTGCTCTTGTGTACAATGCTTAGTGAAATCCATGTGCTCTAGGAATGATTAACGGTAATCATAAGCTGTGGGAGTTGGTGTGATTCATGGAGGGAAGGAGGAAGGATGCAGAAGGAACAGGGCTAACATAGAGAGCTGGCATATGAAGGGTGGTATATCAAAAGGAGGCACAGAAGGAGAGGCAGGAAACGGCGCACAGTGGGGGGGGTTTGCAGACAGCTGGCTTAGAACTGGTATTAAAGGTAAAGGGACCCCTGACCATTAGGTCCAGTCGTGACCGACTCTGGGGTTGCGGTGCTCATCTCGCTTTATTAGCCGAGGGAGCCGGCGTACAGCTTCTGGGTCATGTGGCCAGCATGACTAAGCCGCTTCTGGCGAACCAGAGCAGCACACGGAAACGCCCTTTACCTTGCCACCAGAGCGGAACCTATTTATCTACTTGCACTTTGACGTGCTTTCGAACTGCTAGGTTGGCAGGAGCAGGGACCGAGCAACCCATCACGGGGATTCGAACCGCCGACCTTCTGATCTGCAAGCCCTAGGCTCTGTGGTTTAACCCACAGCACCACCCGCGTCCCTTTTAGAACTGGTATTAGTATTGGCTAGATACTGTGTACCAGTATATTCCCTGCTGGGTTCGAAGGGCCATGCTGTTTGTTTCTCCTGCCCATAATGTGGAGGAGCACTTTGACTACAAGGTTGTGTACACAGGGTATTGCAGACACTCCCCCTCCCCTTGACAGATATTTTATGAGACTGGGATAAGTTTTAGTCATTTCTTGGGGATCTCTTTAAGTTGTGCTGGACTGAGTGGCAGAAATCAAACAATTGGAAGGGTCCCTGTAGGCTGCCTTGTCCAGCCACCTGTGTGATGATGCAGAAAATCCAAAGATAGACACCCCTGATGTCTAGGGCTCAGTCAAGAAATGTCTCCAGTAGGTGGCAGTCAGAGACTTTGCGACTCCATTAAATGATACGTGAATAGCCCTAATCATAGAATTGCAGAGTTGGAAGGGTCCAGGATGATTATCTCGTTCAAGGATTCACCTTTGTCCCCTGAAGATGCACATCAAACCTTTGCTTTTGAATTCCAGGTTGTTGATCACTATGAGAACCCACGAAATGTTGGTTCCCTGGATAAGAATGCAAAGAATGTTGGGACTGGCCTTGTGGGAGCACCAGCCTGTGGGGACGTCATGAAGCTGCAAGTAAGTTAGTGCTGCCTTGAGGCACCAAAGGCTGTGAGACAATAAAGCCTCTTCCAATCTCTCACCCTCTATTCTCTGTGATTGTGAGCAAGAAAAGTGTCTCTTTTGTTTCAATGCAATGCTTAGTCACTCTCATGAAAATGTCCTCAGGTTGAAGTAGATGAAAATGGAAAGATAACAGATGCCAGGTTCAAGACGTTTGGCTGTGGGTCAGCAATCGCTTCGAGTTCCTTGGCTACTGAATGGGTGAAGGGCAAGACGGTAAGTCTGATGCCTGTCAATATATGCCTTGGCCTTGTTTTGGAAAAAAAACCTTTCATGCTGTATTACCATCTCTTAGGCTGCTTGAAGAAAGTCGTTTCCAGTCCAGGGAGGGTAGATTTTGCATGCATCATCCTAAGAGTCTAATAATGTGGAAGTCAGTTGTGGAGGCCTGTAGCTGGATCAGACCAAAAGTCCTTTTAGTCCAGCATCCTGTTCTCAGTGATCAGCCAGATGATTCTGTGAAGCCTGCAGACAGGATATGATTGCAGCAGCACCCTTCCTACCCGTTTCAGCAGCTGAATTTCAGAAGCATACTGCTTCCAGCAGAGGGGTAGTAAGCTGGCAATAGAAAATGAAATTATGTCTGTGGAGCAGTTAGCAGCAGTTGCTATGGAAAAGCTGTAGGTTACGCACCTGTTTTGTGTTCAGAAAGTATTAGGTTCAATCCTCAGCTTCTCCAGGTAGGACTGGGAAGATACCTTCTCTGAAAGAACCACTGCCAGTTATTCTAAACAATACTGAGCTCGATAGACCTGAAGTCTGGTAGTGCAAGGCAGTAGTCCTGTGTGCCTAAGTCCATGGTATGAAATGGAAGGCTAAGTAGTAATTTTTGTATGTTTCAGGTTGATGAAGCCTTGAAGATCAAAAACACAGACATTGCTAAAGAGCTCTGCCTTCCTCCAGTAAAATTGCACTGCTCCAGTAAGTAACCTTTTTTGTCCTTTGTTACCATTGAAACTCTTTGCAGACAAGTTGTTGGAAAGAAGCACCAGAAGGCCCCAAATGCAAATAGTCAATCATGAACAAGAAAGGTGGATGTCAGTGAAGTTCTTTTACAGCGATGCCTTCTATGTAGTTGGTATGTTCTTAGAGAAAGTGAAGAGCTAGAATATAAGGGCATATGCCTTTCTCTGATTGGTGCTAAGGAGAGTTGTAATCCAACAACATCTGTACAGCTACAAGTTCTCCAACCTTGGGAGGCTGGAAATTGGTTCTGGAGCTAGCATTGTGATAGACTGAACCAGGAAGTTCCTGTTATAGTTCCTGCCGTTAAACTCAGTGGAAGGCTGTTGAAAAGGGAGTCAGGGTTGAGACACTGAGAATAATATTGGCTTATCTTTATGGGGCTGTTGTAAAGAATGCTGAGAAGGCAAGTGAACTGATTTGTGCACAAGTGCTATGCCCATGCTAAGTCATAAACTGGCGTAAGAACACCCCTCAAAACTCAGAAATCTGGGCACATAGGAAATCTCTCCTTCACTTTAGAAATGCCTAAAGGTCACCACAAGGTGAATGTGGGGTTTACTGCCAAGGTTGTGAATTGGCCTGCTGAGTTGCAGGAGAGAGCCAGAAGCATGGCTCTTCTCCCAGAGTCCTTGGCACTCAGGATTGAAATTATTTTGCTTATTCAACTTCCGCTTTTAAACCAGTGTAATATTTCACTTGTGTTCTTCCTCCCTTAGTGCTGGCAGAAGATGCCATCAGGGCTGCCTTAGCAGATTACAAGTTGAAGCAGGGGCCGAAGAGCAGTGAGCCAGGAAAAAATGCAAGCGTGGCCTAGAAGGAGGTGCTGTGTGTCAAAAGGCCTGGAGGCCTGTCCCGCGACAACCTTGTCATTCCAATTGTAATTTAGCAGGGCAATTACAGCAAGGAGCCAACAAATCACCTTAGTGCATTTTGGAAGCATGCACAATGTCAGGCTGCATTGGAACCACCTCAGGGCAGTCGCCTTGATCATCTTTGCTACCAGCTTTTCTGTTTTCCTTCCACATGTGGGAGGAAAGAGAAGAACCTTCTTGTGATTTCAGTGTGAGAATTTTGCTATAAGTAATCGTTCCAGCTTTCAGTGTGTAGGAGGCAATTGCCTACATGTTTGCTAGGGCATGGCCTGCTGTTGCAAGGAGCAGCCCCATTTCCGCTTCGGGCAAAGCTGCCTGGTACAAGAGAACAGTCAGGGACCTGTAACTCTCCCCACAGGAAGGGAAATTGAGCACACTCTAGATATCTTTGGGGACTAAAGAGGGTAGAAGCTGCTCTCCTGTTTCCACAGATGAGGCAGCAAGAATCTCCCTTCCCGTCGCCAGCAGCATGTTCTTCTAGCCGGGAGGGAGGAGATTTACCCCAACAGCAGATTAAGGCAGAAACAACCATGTTCCTATCCTTATTCCCCAGTTTGGGTTTTAAAGAAAAGGATTGTGTGATCAGACAGTTTATGCACAAGTTTCAGATTTATTTTATGTACAGTGTATGCTATATAGAAATAAATAGAGATAATATATGCTGTGCTCTGGCTCAATGAATTGTGTGTTCCTTCCTAGCAAATTTCAGGCTGAATTTAGAAGAGGAATTTGTATAAATGCCTTATTTGACACAACAGTGTTCAGCCAGACCACAGAGAAGCAAGAGAGAGGTATCAGCCTGCTTGGGGTGGCAAGGGTGGGTGGGTGTGGAGGATGCAACACAGAGTGACAGTGGGAAGAGAGAAAACAAACTGAGGGGGAGGGAAGACTGTGGTGCCTTCCTTGGCGGGAATGGCTGGCTGGGACCCTGTAGGGTCGCTCCTTTTGGGAGAATACACAGGGACATTTTGCTACCGATTGCTTTTATGGCCCTTCTAAAAGTAGGGCATGTAGGCCACAGTCCTCTTGCTCCCCAGCAACTGACACTTAGGAGATTTGCTCATCATCTTTGGAAAATGCCAGCCCTGTGCTCTTTGAAACAGCCTTGAAAAGCAGTCAGCCCCATTAGAGAACAGCATTGCTTAGAAGGACAAGATAGCTCAGTTTCTCAGTAAGAAAGGCAAAAAGTCCTTCACTAATGTGAGGGGTGTATTCATAGCAAAATCTGCATTTATCCCCCCCCCCCCGAGGAATGGCAGGGGGGTGCTATTGCCCAGAAGAACTCAGTTGGAGTTTTCTTACACAGTCCTTAGCTTCAGGAATAGTGACAGGCCAGAACTACATTTCCAGGTTCCTTGGCTGATTTACAACCAAAGCAACCTGAAAAATAAAAAAGGTTTAATGAACTAGTACTTAAGGAAGACTTCCCTTTTTAGTTTCTGGGTGGTGGATAGGAGAGGAGAGAAAAAGTCATGTTTCAGTTGGACTGATTCTTGAAGTGAGTTTAGTAGTGGAAGGGGTTGCCTTGGGTGGCATATGATAGGGAGTGGCAATAAGAAGTCCCTGAGGGCAGCCTGCCCTGTGCTCCCAAAGCTGTCTCACAAAGACATCATCAGGATCCAGACAAGATTCAGCTGCCAGTCCAGCTTCTGTGCATGAAATGGGGGTGCCATCTTGTCCTTTGCCAAATGTCTGACCCTGCTGCTGCTGCTGCAGGGCTCCCCTTATATTCTTAACCAACCGACTATATCCAGCCTGTCCCAGGGGAGCATTTCAGATTGAATCACTTCCCCTTGTTTTACACCAGGGGTAGTCAACCTTTTCATACCTACCGCCCACTAATGCATCTTTTTTGATGGTAAAATTTCCTTACTGCTCACCAGCACTCGATGGAAGGAGAATTCAGCTTGTGCCATAGAACCCCCTACTGCCCACCTAGAATCCTGAAACACCCACTAGTGGGCGGTAGGGACCAGGTTGACAATCCCTGCTTTACACACTTCAGAGAGCTGCCCAGCACCAGCAGTGAGGTGGGTCCACTCACGTGTGAATCACCGCCATTAACAGAAGACATGAAGAACAGCACTGCTGGACCAGGCCAGTGCGTGCCCATCTAGTCCAGCCTCCTATTCTCACAGGGAAGCCCGCAAGCAGGCCCTCTCCTGCATTTTCCAGCAACTGGTATTCAGAAGCATTCCTCTGATCATGGAAGCAGAGCACAGCCATCCGGGCTAGTAGCCATTCCCCCCTCCCAATGAAATTATCCAGTCCTCTTTTAAAGCCAGCCAAGATTGTGGTTATCACTGCTTCCTGCAAGAGGGAGTTCTGTAGGGAGTTGCATAACTGATGCATGAAGTACCCTCTTAAATCCCGAATCTTCTAATGCTCAGCTTCAGTGGATGCTGTACATAAATACCCTCAACAATTTTGCTTTGCATCCCTCTGTGAGTGAGAAACGCTTGCCACTTTTGCAAGGGACTTGCAAGTATTCCAGTTCATGCTGAGCAGCAGTTGCTCTCTCATTGGAGGTCTGTGGCACGTCAAATAATTTATTAGTAGCTCAGGTTTCTAACTGAAATGTCTCTACAGCTGCTCCAGCATCGTGGTTTATAACAGCAGCTGTGCACCATAAGACAGACTTGCAGGCTGTAAAACTATTCCTGTTGCCAATGTGTCGCTCCTCAAATGCAGGAAAGGGGGGTTTATATATATATTAAAAAAAACACATCTGAAATGTTTAGATTTTAAAAGCATCTGGTTCTTGCTGGAATGTCAAGATGTCCCAAAAGGGGCAAAATCTGAAGGGCAGGGCAGCTCTGCCCCCTCCCAGTGCTGAGCTAAAGAACAAGGCTGCTTTTTGTGTGCAGCACAGCTCATGTCTAGCGATCGGACTCCTCTCCAGGGGTGTAGCAAATGGTGTAGTGCAGGAGCTCCCTGTGATGTCCTCCATAGCCACATCCTTATGGAGAGCCCCCAAAAGCAGGCAGCTGTTTTGATCCATCTACATATATAGCCCTCCCGAAAACAGCAGCACAAGATGCAATATTGTGTTTAATTTGCTGGATGCAAACCTTTGCAACAGCACTGCGTGTCTTGCTTAATTGTGCATTTCCCAAGTTGGGAAACAGTGCTCTTCTCTTGTCTGAAGATTCAAGCCCTTCACCTGCCTTCTGGAGGTGGCCAGAAAAGCACCTCTCAAAAAATGGCTGAGTACGAGAGGCTTGACTTCCTGGCATTCTCTCCTGTTTTATCAGAAGCCTCTCCAAAAGGCCCACTGATAATGCTTTCCCATAGCCCACAGAGCGGCCAAGGCACCAGAAAAACCAGCACTAGGGCCTCTCGGCTTTTGCCTTTTTGCACAAGTATGCTGGCTATTTCCTCCTTTAATCCCAGGAGAGAAATAGATTTCATGACAGCTTCCCCGCCCCCTTCCAGATGTGGCACTGAGACATGCAGGCGCTGGGGAAGAGAGGCTGGAAAGGAGTTGGGGGAAATCCAGCCTTCCATTACTATTTCAGAAACTGGAGGGAGCAAGAAGAATTGCAGATCTCACAAAGGGCACACAGGCAATGACACGTGGCTGGTCTGCACAGTGGCAGAAGCGTCCAAAGCTTAACAGGGATCTCAAATGCAAAGAGTAATCTCCATTGAGTGGATATTGAAACATGGCCTGTATTTTGAACAGTCATCTTCATTCTGTGGGGTGTTCCAGAAATTTGCAATTTAAAAGGGAAGGTGGCAGATCATGAATTCTGTCATTTCGACTGAAAGCACCCACTTGTGTGTTCACCTATGGTGAGTAGAAATCACCTGTAGATAACCAGGGGACATTAATTTAAAAAGGATTCTACTTTTATGCCTCTGAGTGCCACAAATGCATAATAAAAGCATGTGTGTTCAGATGGATTGCTAAAAAGAAAAAAGTGAATGCAAGTACAGTGGTAGCGCGGAACCTGAACAGAATCCATTCTGGAAGACCGTTCGACTTCTGAAACGTTCGAGTTTCAAAGTGCAGCTTCCAATTGACTGACAGCTAGGTTTTTGCATAGCGGAAGCTGCGTTGGACATTAGTTTTCCAAGGATCGTTAGAAAACTGGAGCACTTCCTGGTTTTTGGCGTATGGGAACCAAAACTTTCAAGAACAGCCATTCACGTTCCGAGGTACCACTGTAGTAGTTTTTGTCTATTTTTAAAGGATGAATTAAAATAAATCATTACCTGGTGTCAGGTATCTCAGGCTCATTCTTCATTTGGAGCACAGGGGAGAGGGCCTACACACACTTGGCTTGTTTAAATCCTGAAGGGTGCTACTTCCCTAATATACAACAACCTATTTGATCATGAAGTGGGGGTGCTAGAGGCCTTCGGATTGTATGGGGATCAGATTTAGGCCACCCAAACAAAGATCACAAATGAGAAGGAATCTGGACCCCCACCACCCCATGAAAACCATCTCTGCTCGCTTACAGGAGGCCTCGCTCAAGGTCATCTTTCAATGGCACTGGTCAGGCTGGCAAAAATGAATCCCTCCCTCTCCCCCATACCTTGAAAGGGTTGTGGAAAACATGGTTCATTCATTCACGTTGAGTGAGAATGCCCCCATGTTAAAAACTTTTGGAGCAGCAAATACCCCATTATATCTATAATTACAAGCCAACCTCTTTCTCCAAATCCTGCCTTAGCCCTAATATCTTTGGACACGGAGGGGCTCCATTTTGCACGACAGAAAACCAGCAGGCTTCTTACTGGCCACAACAAGATTAGCTCAGCAATGCAAGAACCAGACTGAAATACCCCTGAAGATATGGGAAAATAATATTTGGGATACAGCAATGTCTGAGCATCTTGGCAGACACAGGAGGGCCATTAAAGGCATAACAAAAAGAGACACCTTCCAAGAAAGGTGGACTCCTTTCTTGAACTGTGTTAATGACCAAAATCAAGACCTTGTTATCCCAACCACTCAATTTTCTCAGTGGAGAAGTAAAGTTAAGTAGTAGGTTTGAATACTGAATGTGTAAGCTTATGTATAAAGTCAATGGGTAGAACAAACAGCATTAAATGTACTGCTGGATAAGTGTTTAATGGTTCTTTTATTTGTTTAAAAATCAATAATAATTGCTTAAAACATTATAAGAATCATACCGGGAAAATAAACAACATTAGAGCAAAAGAACCTGAGAGGTGCATTGCTTCATATGCCCATTGCTCCTTCCTATATGAAACTGATGGAATGTGTCCACAAAATTGAGCCAAATGGTCCTGCTGAGAACTAAGGGGGACTGTAGTTTGGTTTAACGGTCAAATCCTCTTCCCAGGGAGCTCTGGGAATTGTAGCTCTGAGAAGAGAACTGGGGTCTCCTAACAACTCTCAGCACCCTTAACAAACTACAGTTCCCAGAATTCTTTGGGGGAAGCCATGACTGGCTAAAGGGGCATCATATTGCTGTTTGTGTAGAGTGTGGATATGGCCCCTTCCGCTTCCCAACCGCAGCCCCCCAGATGCCTCTCGGAAGGCCACAAGCTGGACAGCAAGGAAGCAGCCCTAGCTTCTTCCCAGCAGCCCATATCCAGTGGCATTCATGGCTCCCCAGTGGCTATTCTAAGATACACTGTGGATGAACATGGAGGAACTATTATAACATCCCATCTCAGTGGTGTCTCCCTGTTTATGGCATGCTCTCCACTATCTGCTTTTGTGGGAGATTAGCAGCCAACTTAACAAAGGCATATTCTTGCTAGTTAGCATGAGAAGGGGCCAAGTCCACAGAGCCGCATTGCAGTATTGCTGAGACCATAGAAATACAACTGGTAGACAGGCCTTTGCATGATGTCATTTCCCCTTGGAGCATACAGTACTTGCAGTTCCTCTCTCTCTTCCTTTGACCACCATTGGATGCAGACATGCCTCCACTTGCTCCGCATCCCTGAAGCTGCTTATACAGTAGATATAAGTATGTTGCCTGCATAGTTTTGACTGCTGCCATCGCTGTGAACCAATGCATGAGTATAAGTAAGTAAATCTTTTTAAACTTACTTCCCAGGTTGTTGCCTGATTCTTTGTTAAGTGGGTTAGAAGGGGGGAGCCAGCTTATTTCATAGCTGGACTTGCTCAAAACAATATTTTACAGCCTGATTCCTATGCTTTAAATTTTGCTGCCAAAGGTGGGAGTTTGAAACTCTGTTCAACCTGCACATGAGGGGCCTGACTCCAGCTATGGAGGCCAAGCCATTTTGGTTCATTGTGGTCATAAGAACCATCCAAGTTGGTGATCATCACTGGCTCCTGTGGGAGTGAGTTCCATGGTTCTAACTATTGCGAATTTTTGATTATTTGTATGTCGCTTTGAGTTTCCCTTTTGGGAGAGGGACAGTGGCTAATTAAAAAAAACCCCATTAATTAATAGTAAGTAACTTTGCATCAGCTTCAATTTTTTTAAAAAAGAAAGCACTTCTTGTGCAGTATTTTCATCACCAGCTGAGGCGCCATTTTGCTGACCCCAGAAAGTGCCTGGGGCTTTGGGGAAGAGGCCTGGCTCTGGGGCAGAGCATCTGCTTCGCTCCCACAAGGTCCTGGGTTCCATCTCTGGCACCATCTTTGGGTGGGACTGGGAGCAACCTGACCTGTAATCCTGGCAAGCTGCTGCCAGGAGAGAATACTGTAACTGTGTTAGGTGAGCCAGTGGTCTGATTTGGTCTACAGCAGCTTCCCCTGTTCCTAAGCAAACTATATGGCCACAGAGCAGAAGATGTGGCAAAGGAAGGACCAGCTGTGCATGGGAACCACCCAAATGGCCAATGACCAGAGATCTTCGTAAATCGCTCCCAACGCTTCTCTCACAGAATGGTTAGGGGTTTTTTCTCCCCATCTACTAATACCAGACTTCAGTTTAGCCAGAACTGGTCAGGTTTTGAAGCTTTCCCAGTTATTTACTGTCTTTTAAAAAAATAAAAATAAAAGATTTTGTGTTACATAGCTTTAGATCTGTGGCCAATTCTTACCTATATAATTTGATTGACCCCTAAACTAGGGGTGGCTAACACCCAATTAAGGAATGTGATTAGGCTCTCACCCTCCCAAGCAAAATTGTCTGGTCCCTGCCAGATCCTGCCAATTTTGGTGATGGCATTGAAAATATTTTGTTGTATCAACTGTATATTTTAGAATATTTTATGTGCACTATGCATTTAGACACCTTGTAATATATTATAACCAAATTCTGCCTGATGGCTCCTGAGGAGCAGGTTTCCGTATATGGTTGGTAACAATTGGATGCCATTTTGAATCCATCCGCAGTTAAGACTTAGCTGGTTGTAGCTTTTGGGAGCTTGTGCCAGGAGCCTGTGAATGCCCTCATTTAGTGGGGGCGTTTGAGGGGAGGCCCTACACACACCCCAAGAGACATGGAGGGCGAGGGGCTGCAGCAGCTGCACCATGTTGGTCTTCCTACCAGAGAGCGTGCAAAAGTACACTTGTAGCAAGTGTGCATTGGTTGGAAGAGAAGGTACAACAACTTGAGGCCTGCCTAGCCACATTTCCAGCTACAAGACAAGATGCGGAGTTTCTTGACAGAGCTGCGTGGGATGTGCTGGAGCAGCAACACAGGTGAGGTGCCTGTAAGGAGGAGGAAGATTGCCCGTTGCAGGAGATGAACCCCTGGAGGAATGTGGCACACCAAAGTAGGACTGTCAGGAACCATGTTGTATCATTGGAGCTGCAAAAACAATTCCATGCTCTCACCTTGGACACCGATTCTGGACCAGAGGAACTAGGACAGCAGTTGGTGACCTCAGAATACACCGAGGTGGCTGTGGAAGGTACAGTGCACAGAATGATTCCCGCCACCCTCCAGAGGAGGAAGAGATGGGAGGAGATGGACTTGGAGGAGTCATTTTCCATTCTTCACATCCACAGCAAGGCATTTGACAAGGTGCCCCATGATATTCTTGTAAAGAAGCTGGTAAAATGCGGTCTTGACTATGCTACCACTCAGTGGATTTGTAACTGGCTGACTGACCGAACCCAAAGGGTGCTCATCAATGGTTCCTCTTCATCCTGGAGAAGAGTGACTAGTGGGGTGCCACAGGGTTCTGTCTTGGGCCCGGTCTTATTCAACATCTTTCAACGACTTGGATGATGGACTCAAGGGCATCCTGATCAAATTTGCAGATGACACCAAACTGGGAGGGGTGGCTAACACCCCAGAGGACAGGATCACACTTCAAAACGACCTTGACAGATTAGAGAACTGGGCCAAAACAAACAAGATGAATTTTAACAGGGAGAAATGTAAAGTATTGCACTTGGGCAAAAAAATGAGAGGCACAAATACAAGATGGGTGACACCTGGCTTCAGAGCAGTACATGTGAAAAGGATCTAGGAGTCTTGGTTGACCACAAACTTGACATGAGCCAACAGTGTGACGCGGCAGCTAAAAAGCCAATGCAATTCTGGGCTGCATCAATAGGAGTATAGCATCTAGATCAAGGGAAGTAATAGTGCCACTGTATTCTGCTCTGGTCAGACCTCACCTGGAGTACTGTGTCCAGTTCTGGGCAGCACAGTTCAAGAAGGACACTGACAAACTGGAACGTGTCCAGAGGAGGGCAACCAAAATGGTCAAAGGCCTGGAAACGATGCCTTATGAGGAACGGCTAAGGGAGCTGGGCATGTTTAGCCTGGAGAAGAGGAGGTTAAGGGGTGATATGATAGCCATGTTCAAATATATAAAAGGATGTCACATAGAGGAGGGAGAAAGGTTGTTTTCTGCTGCTCCAGAGAAGCGGACACGGAGCAATGGATCCAAACTACAAGAAAGAAGATTCCACCTAAACATTAGGAAGAACTTCCTGACAGTAAGAGCTGTTCGACAGTGGAATTTGCTGCCAAGGAGTGTGGTGGAGTCTCCTTCTTTGGAGGTCTTTAAGCAGAGGCTTGACAACCATATGTCAGGAGTGCTCTGATGGTGTTTCCTGCTTGGCAGGGGGTTGGACTCGATGGCCCTTGTGGTCTCTTCCAACTCTATGATTCTATGATTCTATGATTCTAATTGTGGATGAGTACGCAAATAACCCACTTGCTACCTTCCAAGGAAATGATCTCAGAGAAAGGGAATTGCAGTCTGGAGAAGGCAAGTTGAAGGAGAAGGAAGTACTCAAGCCATAAGGCTCCTGCCTTTATAACCTATCCTAATAATATCCAGATAAGCTCCAATAAGCAATAAGGGGAAATTCATTATATTGGTCCAAATACAGGGATTGGGAGAAATATGTCCAGATGAGAGGCCCTAAACTCCTACCCTGCTAGCAATCTATTTTCTGATTCTGGGCCAGAGGAGCAAGAACCGCAGTTGCAAACCTATGAATACACCGAGGTGGCTTTGGAGCATGCAGTGTTGAGAATGATCCCTGCTGCTCCTCAGAGGCGGAAGAGACAAGTGTGGGTGGTGGGTGACTCCCTACTGAGGACAGAGGCTGTAGTGTGAGGAGGAAACAGGGTGTGCCAGGAGATGTCTTTTGGGTGCAAAGATTCATGAGGTGACAAGAGAAGTCGCTGAGTCTTATAAAGCCCACTGACCACAGCCCTGAAGTCTCTGCATAAGGGATGCTCTGGACCTGGCAACGCTCATTCTAATCACTTCCCCAAGGCTAGCCCAAAGTATTTTGCTGTCTGAAGCAGAATAGGCTGTGGCACCCACCCTCCACTGCCCAGGTCAAAGCACTCAGTGTTCATGGCTGGCCAAGTTAACTTGGCACCCAATGCAGAAAAACCCACAAGGGCCCCTCCCATGGAAAGAAGGAATCAATGCAGAACATAACCACCACTTTGATTCCCATCCACAACACCCAAGTGCCTCACTCTACTCAATGGTAGGGCTGGCCCTGCAGCCTTCAAGAGAAAAGCTCTTTGAGGTGGAGGCTTGTTTGTGTCCAATGGAATCTGATATCCGCCTCCCCTTGAATGGACGCTCTTACACAGAGACATATCACACCTATAGCAGATTAAAAAGAAAACGTTTCTAAACTTCTGTTTCAAAAACAGTTTACCACAGAGCAGCACACAGAAAAAAACAAATAACTGAAAAATGGAACATAGGTCTGCATAGGAATGTATATTTGTGTGCATGGGTAACTGAAGGTTTAAAGAAGGTGTGGAAGGAGGTGCAGGGAATATACATTGCAGTCTGCAACTTTACTTAATTAATTTGTTTAATATTCAGGTTATTTCTTAAGTAATTGGTTAGGTTTCAGTTTATAAAAATGCAGAGATAACCCCTCTGTTTATTTCTCTGAACCTCTTTGGGCAGCTGCTGTGACTTCTGGACGAGATGGCAATGATTTCAGATATTCTGCGGTGGTTGCCCAGGGACCGAATACTGTTTTGCGAAGCCTGCCAACATTTTCCATGGAAGAGTCCAAGAGAGTAGCTTTGGTGGAAGCCATTCTTAGGAATCCCTGTACTGGTCGTCATTCCCCTTCCACACTTAATGCCAAAGTAGTTTTGCAAAAGGGCCCCAAACTCCGTGCAGTAAGTAGCCTTGGCCTTTTTTTACCCTGTGTGGTTTTAAGCAAAATGTTTTTCAGAACATGGCATAACCACTGAAGGGGAGAGTTGCTTTTTCCATCAGAGAGAACGGGCACTTCCAGATAAATCATTATTTCTGCCCAGGTAACTCTAGGCCCGAGGTTCCTGGTTGAGGCCCTGTAGCCCTTGACCCGCAGAGTCTTAATCAGCCAAGGACCTCTGGCCCCTCATGTTGCCTTTGCTCCCACTGGTCACGCAAAGGGATCCCGGAAGCTGTTCACCTAAAAACCACCCAATCCCTGGTGCTTGTTGAACAAGAAAGGATGAAGGGGCGGCCTGCCCGGGTTGTTGGGTCCTCCTGGGTTTGAATGCAAGGGGCTCCAGGGTTCTAATTCTCCACAGCACCCCAGGAGAATGGTGTGCGTGGTATTGTGTGATAGAAGACGATCACAAGAGCACAAGCCTCTTTGGTGGCTTCCAGCACCTGGTATTTGGAAGCATATTGGGAAATTTAAATGGAGGCTGGACGCAGCCAGCCAGAAAGCGGGCAGGGCAAACATCACTAATGCATTGCAGGGGGTTGGACTAGATGGCCCTTGGGGGTCCCTTCCAACTTTACAATTCCATGATCCCCACCTAGTTCCCCAAGCCCCTCCATGGCACACAGCCACAGCCCACCAGCCTGCATTGACAAATCCCTGTTCTTAGAGAGAGCATAACCATCCATGTTTTTTTGTTGGCTTTTGTTGACTTCAGAGAGGGCTTCCCTATTATCTTGTGTTCTGAGGAATGGCCACAATCATAAATATTATCAGAACCTTTGTGAAGAAGCTTGGCGAAAATGGTCGTCCCCCAATAAAACCCTCGCTCAAATTCTTCAAGGCTTGTCACATATAAAGATAAAGAGTTTCTTGGTCCAGCTGTAACGTTTGCTAAAAGTATTCCTCTCTTTCCTGAGCAGGCCAGAGAAGAAAATGTCTCAGAATCCCAAATGGAAACAATAAAGCCACTCAAAAGTCCTTCACAAAAGTACAAAAGTGAGTTTTAAAACAAATTAGTTTACCTCCCCTGAACCCTGTCAGAGCTGGTAGAAAGAGTAAAAATGTCCAGCCAACATTACTGGCATTTTAGGCAGATTTTTTGAGTTTCCCAAATATTTGCTGTTTCCACAGATATTATAAATTCAAAATTATCTTAAGATCATTTGCTGATGATACAAATGCTTCAGGGTTCAAGTGGCGTGAAAGGCCAGTTCTGGTGTGCTTCTCTCACACATTATTGATGTCCTCTCCACCCCAAAATTCTTGTAATAATATAAATGCCTGGATGTTTGTGAAACTTTAAGCATGCCAGTCAATCAGCTGGGCACATCCCAGATCCGAGCCCGTTCTCTTGAGCAAGGATCTTCTGTAGGATTGTTTGAGCACTGAAATTGACCACAAAGGCATCTGTGGTGTCAAAGTTGGTGTCTCCCTGGCTGGTGTCAGAAGTGGCATCCATTATCAAGTCCAACTGAGGTTTCTGTGTCACGTGGATGGGAGTTAAATTTAAAACCTAACATCACGAAAAAATATCCAGGAGAGATCTGGGGACCAGAAGCTGCCCTGAAATTTCAGGACTGAATCTTGGACCGTGAACCTCTAACAAAGATTGTCAGGCCACAGGTGGACCTACTTGTAAACAGCGGCAGAGATTTTTTCTAAGAGGTGAGCTCTGCTTCCACCCATGCACCTTCGCTCCTCAAAGGGCACATATACTCAGCTTCAGATTGAATCCAGATTGTAATTTTGCCAGCCACATTTTTAAGCATCATGCATTGTTCTTTTATCAACAATTTGTTCAGCACCTGAAAAAAGGCTCCAAGTAAGAGTGAGGTGGCTTTGTGATTGACACGGAAGGCTGGCCAATCAGTTCTAAGTCCTGTGCTAAGTCCTACTTCCAAAAAAGGCAGGTGCGGTGGCTTTGTAATTGACCCAAAGGCTGGCCAATGGGCATGTTGCACAGCCTTGCTTCAAAAGGAGCGATTGGCTTCATGATTACCCAAAAGGCCAGCCAATCAGCACTGTGTAAATTCAGCTTTGGCAGAAAACCAGAATGGGTTACTGATCCCAGGGAGAGTATAGAATATGGAGCAGCCAGGCACTCACCTGGAAAGTGGGGATTGGGTAGGCAGCTACTATTATTGGGGACTGCTAAAAAAGACCTCATCCAGAACTGGGCCTGAACCACAGGTTCTACCATATCTATTCACAAAAACGTTTCAAAATAGGTTTAAACCCAACAGTGGTTTCAGTCCTATATTTGGATCTCAGTCAGCGCTCAGTGGTGGATCTCCTCCAGTCATCCTCACCAACTAAATAACACCTTGTACTTGTGTCAGAGGAGAGTGGCTAAGTCATTCAACGAAGAGACTGTTAAGGCAAACCTCAGTATGCTACTTCTAATGGGGCATCTCTAAAATGGAGGTGGGAAACGTCATCTACTGAAGGGCCTGGTGCTGCCCACAGAGTAAAAGTAAAGTCCATCACAGGTTCAGTATGATCAGCTTTTCAACACGATAGCCAAAGGGTGGAAAGCCAAGCAATGGAGTCCCTGTGTCCTAGTCTCCTGAGGTGCAAGTACTATCAGGGGGTGAAGCCCCCGGCTCATCTGCCTCACTTTCTGAGATTTGTCCTGTGGAATTATCAGTCCCTGGTGATTCCTTGGGCTCTTCTGGAGATGCTGGGTGAGTTTCTTCTTCCACCTGTTGATCCTTCACATCTTCACCATTGATTTCCGCATCTACCGAGTTTGGCAGGGCTGGAGTCTCAGCCTCCTCTGCTGGGCCATCCTGTTCTTCTGGAGTGGCTTTCTCTTCCTTCTCAGCCTCTTCCATCATCTTTGTCCCTTCCTCCTTGACATTGGTTGCCCTGTCCTCCATTTTGGCACTCTCCCCGTTCATCGTGATAGCCTTGGCTGGGGATTTGAGGTTCTGTGCAGCAGCTAAAATATCCGCCTGCAGCTGCTTGGTGGAGTCAACGGGCTCTTCCTGGTCGGCATCAGACAGCTTCTCTGGCACTTCGCTGAAGGCCTTGGCCCCTCCTGACTTGTCGTTCTGGTCCACGTACTTCTTCTTTGGAAAAGATGATGGATAGTAGGCCGAAGCCTTGTGTTTCTGCCGGACGATGACGGCGGCACACACAATGAAAAGGAAGAGGAAGACCAAGGAGCCGACCACAATGATCAAGAGCATGTACTTCTGGAAGAAGTCCACAATCCCATCCAATATGTTGAGGGATGTTGAAGTCCCATTCACAATGAGGTCATTCAAGGTGGGGTTTGCACCTAGTGTCACGCTTGCAGGGGGTGGGATGGAGGATGCCCCCTCGCTCTCTCCGCTGCCACCGTTGTCTTCAAGCCCTGCTTTGTGTATGGATCTTGAGGCGCACAAGGGCACCATCAGCATAACAAGCAGGCAGATGTCCATCAGGATGGCCATGTCAGTGGTTGGATGTTGGTTCTTTGGATGTGGTTCTTTGTAGTTCTTTGGAAAAAAACAACAAACAAACAAACAAACACAAAGGAATGGTTATTCTTAGATGTGTAGCATGCGCAAATGAGCTAAGTCCCATTCTTAGACCTGGAGGAACTTCTTCCATGGGGATGGGGGGCTTGCTAAAGTTAATGGTGAGCCTCTTTGCATATGCTCAGTAGGCCTCTCATCTGTCCTAATGACTTCACATATTCAACAACTAGTTCTGGGGTTAAGCTCTGGTGAATCCCTACCTCAAACTGAGATGTGGGCATAAGCAAAAATAGCCAATGAAATCCCACGAAATCAACACATTCAGTGAAGTTTCAGGCCCAGCTAGAGGTAGGGTTTCTTCCATACATACACAGTTCATGGACAAGGTATGTTATTTCTTCCCCACTCCTCTCACTCTTGTTGGCTAATGGAATTGTAGAACTGCAGAGTTGGAAGGGACCCCAAGGGACATCTAGCCCAACCCTCTGCAATGCGAAAATTGCAGCAAAAGAATCCCTGACAGCTATCCTACTCTACTTATAAGCCTCCAATGAAGGGAGCCCATCACCTTCCGAGGCAGTTCATTCCGCTCTTACCCTCAGGAAATTCTTCCTAATATTTAGTTGGAAGCTCCTTTCTTCTCATTTGATCCACTGCCTTCCCCAAAGCCAAACCCTCCCCCCAAAATGAGATGCAAATTAGTTTTCCCTCCCCTCATTTTCGCTAATGAAGTGACCTTTCCCAAAGTTACAGAAAATCAAGGCAAACTCTTTTTTCTGAATTAAAATGGAAAAGGTTTCCTTCTGGTGTGAAAGGCTAAGTTTTCTCCAAGAGAGTTGCCCTCAGACAACTTGCCCACCGCCTATGACTTGGGACGAGTCACTGTTCCATTGAGAGGTCATAGCTCGATGGCAGAAGACCTGCTGCACATGCGGAAGGTCTCAGGTTCATCTCCCGGCAGCATCTCAGGGAGCAGGTGGTGGAGAGGAGCTGCCAGTCAGAGTAGACAAGACTGGGCTAGGTGGATTAAGACCAGGGATACGACAGTGACTCATAGCTCTGCAGAAGCCAACTCTGTATGTGTCAGCCCAGAAGAGCGGCTCAGGCAGGCAGCCTCCTCTGAAGGAGGCTATTTCTGGTCTGTCCGTACAGTCAGGAGTGACGGAACAATCCTAACGTCACCCAGTCAAGAGTCCGAGGCAGAAGGAGATCAGAAGAGCCCCCTTGTCAGGAGGGGAGCATACAGTGAGATGGGTGGGCTTTGGGCCGACAGAGATGTTTGGATGGTCTAAATTCATTTATTTCTCAACATGCAGAGTTGGGAGCTTACTGGTTTAGGAGTTCTAATAAATCTCTGAGCTCCTGAGCCTGATCAGATCCTGGCCTGAGCACACCACTGTGGTTGGTGGGTAAATTCCTGAGATTTGAGGTTTGCAATGGAAACTGTTACACAGACCAAAGAGCGCAGACTCAGGCATGCAGCCCCGGCTGATCCAACTCAAGGTTTACTTCACCAGCTGTTGGATCTGTCAGTAGATCTAGACAGATGTTTAAATGCTGCTGTTTCTGTTCTGACTCTCCAGTGACACACACCCAGTTTTTAATGTGGAAAACAAAGAGGGCTTCCTCCCCCCCCCCTTCTCTGCCTTCTCTGGAGCTCTGCCGTCTGCCCTCACTGCTGCACCCCAAATCCCAAGTGCCAGCCTGGCAGTCAGGAGGTGTCACTCTGCACATGTTTGGAAGCTAACATGCTCCTCCAGAATTTTCTTCTCCTCTGCTCCTTTTTCTAAGCAACATATTCAGAGTCCAGATGTTCCTGCTGAAAGGGGCTGTGCCTGATGCAAGCAGTTTCCCCTTGACTCAAATGCAACGTGCCCAGAACCTTTGCCAAGTCTGGAGACATTAACTTCCTGCAAAACTGCTAACTGAAACCCAGTGTGCAGCCTCAGCATCTGGAACAGCCAGAGGTCCCTGCATGAATCATCTGGTAATGTGTAGCCTCAAAAGAGCCCTGCAGCTGATCCAGCCCAAAGCTCATCTAGTCCAATGGAGACCAGCCCAGATGTGTCCGAGAAGCTCACCAGCCGGGCATGAAGGTGGTAGACACCCGCTGTTGTGTGTCCTCAGAATCTGGCCTTCCAAGCTGCCTTGCCTCTGAACAAGGAGTTTCCATCTGGCTCACAGCTCCATCTGACTCACCAGTCTCTCCAAGGATGTTTCATCCAATGCAAATTACAAAGACTTTTGAAATCCGTATATGGGGATGTTTCCTTTGCAAAAGATATCTAGACTTCTCACTTCCACTGGAAAGGAACATTCCACCCAGATGATACTTCAAGAAAAGAACTTCTCCTTTATCATCTCTCCCTGACCCCTTCATCGGCTCTTCTCTCCTTAGGAGCAATTTAGCCCCTGATCCACAAAATCCAGGCAGGGCACTGACACAAGGGCCCTCTGTAATTGTTTCTCTACAGCCCTTGGCATTCAGAGGTAGACTGCCTTTGGGCATGGAAGCTCTGTGGATCTATCGAGGCTAAGCTGTCAATATCCTCCCCACCATGAAACCCAATTTGAGCTCCATCCTTGCAACACTTCAGCAGGAATCCAGAACTTTTGTGCTTGCCAGAAATACAGGGAAAAGGGGGTCCTCTAGCCCAGTCCCCTGCAATACAGGGGTCTCAGCTAAAGCATCCATGACAGATGACCATCCAACCTCTGCTTGGATACCTCCAAGGAAGGAGAGTTCTTGCACCCTCCCTTGAGAACCAGGGTCAGCAGGATTCCATCAAATGGATCAGCCATATCTGTGCAAGGCCTGCAGCCTCTCTCCAGATCCCAGTGACAGGCCAAATTCCATACCCTCCAACATTTCTGTGATGGAAATAGGAACGTCCCATTCCACCATGGTTTCTTTCCTATTTATACCCCACACATCTGACTGGGTTGCCCCAGGCATTCTGGAAAGCTTCCAACATACATAAAAACATGATAAAACATTAAAGAAAAAACCCTTCCGTATACAGGATTGCCTTCAGACGGCTCAGGGGTTGGATAACTCCATACCCTCCAACATTTCTCCAATGAAAATAGGAACGCCCTAAGGAAAAGCGTGACATTCTGGGCTCAAATCAGAAATGGGAATGGCTTCTGTAAATCTGGGGCTTTCCCTGGAAAACAGGGACATTTGGAGGGTCTGAAATTCTTCAAACTCTAAATGCACACAGTCTCCCCCATCCCTCTGCCTCCTTTCTTCCTCCTCCTCCCTAGATGCATAAAATATCCCCTAAATCCCCTCTAGTTTTAAAAGCTGTGTAATCTGAGAACTGCCCCATCTCTTCTGAGCTGGAGCAAATCAACTGGCAATTAAATCAGCAGACAAGACCTTCTTCTGGACTCTGAGCACAAACCTTCTCAGATAGCCAGCTGCATAATGCAAGCTTTTAATTCAATTTTGTTTTCATCAGGTTGTTATTCTTCAAAGGCATCCCACAATCTTAAAGCAGCTGATCTACCAAATAATAGTGTTGATTTGATTGCATCAAAGTCTGTGCTACTCCTTTAACAATTCAAACATATAAATTTAATAATAATAATTTAAAAGGCAATAACATTAAAAAAGCAAACCACCCCACATTAACATCAATAAAATATATACTGCCTATGATTCCAAAATATTTATATATTGCCTTTAATTCAGAAATATTAAGATGGTGCAGAGTAAGTAATGCACAAGTTAATTAAAATGACACATTAAATAGCAATGAATAGCTAATTAACTGCTTTATTTGCTTCTGCTTTGTAGTTTCAGATTCTTCTGCTTTATATTTGTCTGTGGTGTGGTGGTTTTTTTCATCTTTATGTTCATATTTGAAGCCACTGTGGATGGTGCCTTGTACGCCTCCTGCCGGCAGCTCCTTTGGCCAAGCTGGTGCCAAATGTATTGCTCTGCTTTCCTTTGGACCCCATCAGCAAGTCCAAGAGGGGGGTCTTGTTGTCTGGGCAGCCCAGACCCTCCAGACACACTGCCCAGGCCTGCACCCTGGGGAAGTCACTTTGGTGCCGCTAACACAGCAAAAACAAGGACTACAGGTTGCTTCCATCGGTGGGAGAGATCACTGTCTCTCACTGGTCAGCTGGGCCTGCCTTAAGCTGGGCCGCCCCAGTCAATAAGTGCTGACCCGCCCCAGTCCGCCTGCTTCAACGGGTGCTGGAGCTCAGAGAGAGAAAGCGCAGTGGTGCATCTGCAGCAGCACAACCGCATGCCTTCCTCTGCCCCAGCTGCAACAAAACACGTCTCTCCCATATGGATCTCTACAAGCCACAGCGGGTGCTGCAGCCTCCCAGCGGTTTGACTTCACCCCCAAAGGTGCCCTCTCCCCTTGCCTTCTGAGACAGATGGATGACAACAACAATGTGGTCTTTGTACAGATATAAAATCCTCTAAAGAAGCAAAACAAACCACCACAGGAGAAATCTGAGGTCACACGCTGCTCCACTGGCACCACCAACTCAAGAGACTCCTGGGTTGCAATGGTGGTTGGGCCTGTCCTTCACCTGACTACAAATGGGACCAGTGCTAGATGACCCATAGGGTCCCTTCCAACTGTGATTCTGTGAAATCAACATTATGTGAACTCTATAATCAGCCCCCGCAGGACATGGCTGGCTTTCCATGGCAAGCCCAAGGCTGTCGGTGGCCGGGGGTGGCAGTAGAAGGCCACTTCCTGTGCTCCTATGCCTCTCTAGATCTGCATTATGCCACACACCCCATGGCAGGCCACCTGGGACTAGTGCCCTCAGCACCCTCCCGATAGTCGGTTGGTAACCCCTGAACAAAATACCTAGAAGGTCAGGTGGATTTGGAGTGAGGCTTACATGCAAAGCCTGCCTGATTACGCCCATGTTCTGATTTTGCCACAGGACTCCGCAGGGCGGGGAAGGATTGGCAGAGCCAGGCTGCACACATCTGAGCCTGAATCTAACTTGCTGGCAACAGGGCAGGGAACCATGGCAGGAGGAGGAGCAGCTGTGATTTCCCTCCATTCTTGTTGCATGGATGTTTTTGGCGTGGAGACCAAAGAGGTAGCTAAGGAAGGTGGGCTTCAGCTCAGCCCCCCCTCCCCCATTACCCATTTTCAGCGCTGAGAGCAGACCCCAGGACATATGAAGAGCCAGTGTGGTGTAGCGGTTAGAGGGCTGGATTACTAGGACCTGGGAGACTAGGGTTCAAATCGCCCACTCAGCCATGAAGCTCCCTGGGTGACCTTGGGTGCCAGCCACTGCCCCTCAACCCCACCTACCTCACAGGGTTGTTGTTAAATGAGGAGAGGGAGAACTATATATGCTACCTTGAGCTTCTTGGAGGAAAATGTGGGTTATAAATACAAGAAATAATAATAATGATTAACACCTCTGAGCATGTGCAGAATGCTCTGCATGTTTCTTCCCCCTGCAACCCCGCCACTGCATGACCACAAACCCCCACAAATCCCAAGGAAAGCACAAACCCCAGGTTGTCTTGAGGAATCTCTGCTTCATAGCCGGGGTCTTGGGGCACAGACCTCTGGGAAGTTCTCCTGCATAGGCACACACACAAAGTTCATTTCAACAGTGCAGGAGAATTTCCCAGGGAGCTGCCCCTAAATTTTGAGTTTTCCTAGGGAGTAGCAGCCTCATCTTCTTCAGTGCGCAAGGCAGAAGCAAAACGGGTTCATCTAGGACAGAATTGATTACCGGGTCCTTCTGCCTCTTCACAGGAAGATCAGAAGAGCCTGGCTGCTGGATCAGGCCAAGTGGGGCCCATCTAGCCCAGCCTCCTGTTCTCACTGTGCCCTACCAGATGCCTCCATGGGAAACCTGCAAGCAGGATCCAAGCACAAGAGCCCTGTCTCCCTTCTGGCATTCAGAAGCATTGCTGCTTCCAATTGTGGAGGCAGAGCAGAGTTGTCTGGCCAGCAGCCAGCAGCCAGCATTGGCCTCTCCTCCCCCGTGAACTTATTCGGTCCTCTTTTAAAGACATCCCGGCTGGCGGACGCCCTGCCTCCTGTGGCAGAAAGTTCCATGGCTTAACTCTGAGCTGCATAGATTCCTTTCATCTGTCCTGAAGCTTCCAGCATCCAGCTTCCTGGGCTGCCCCCAAATTCTAGTGTTCTGAGAGAGGGAGGAATTTTCCCGCTGTCTGCTTTGTCCAGGCCACATACACTTTTATGAACTTCTATTGCATCTTCTTCGCCTTTTCTCCAAACTAAAAGCTCCCAAGACGGCACCCTTTTCTTACAGGGGAGTTGCTGCGTCCCCCTTGAGCCACCCCGTTCCCAAGCAGGCGAGGCTTTTGTGGGGCCCCATCCTGCCCGCCCCAAAAGGCTTAGCAGCAGTTGTATCTGCCAGAAGTCAGCGGGAGTTGAGAAAAGGTGGGGTGGCGACGGGCCCCCAAGGTTTAGGGCGAGGGGGGGGGAGTTGCGGGCATTTACTCACGGGAGAGGAAACTTTGCCGTCTTCTGCTGGCCCCCTGGCTGCCTGCTCTGCTGCTGAGCGCAGCCCCTTCCTCCTCCGAGCTTGGCCGCTTCTGTGCCTGGCCAGCTTTTTTGCATTAAGTCTGGTTTCATGTGGGGACAGGGAGGGAGGGAGGGAGGGAGGGAAGGAAGGGGAGGGCAGCCCCCCACATGCGGCTCTCCTTTCCCTCCCCCTTTCTCCTGCAGGCAGCCGCCCTCCAAGCTGGGAGGGAAGGAGAGGGAAAGAGGGTGGATAAAGTTTTGCTCCGTCTGCGCATCCCTCCAAGGGGAAAGTTCCCAGCAAAGCCAGGGCCAGAGGGGATGTTTGTTTGTCAAGGCAAGCAGCTGAAGACTTAGGAAGTGGGGGGTGATGGTTGGTGGGATTAAAATCATCTCCCCAGAGAACATTCTTCCCAGAGGTGACATGATAAAATGACGCGTGCATGGAGAGAGAAAGACGGCAGAGAAAAGTCTGTCTTCCTCTCTCAGAACCCGGGGACATCCCATAAAGCTTGAATGCTGTCAGATTCAGGACAGAGAAGAGGAAGGGCTTTTTCGTGTAGCACATAGTTACACTGTGGAACTCACTCCCACAAGAGACAGTGATGGCCATCAACTGGGATGGCTCTTTTAGAGGACGGGGCGGAGGGGGGACCACAGAGGATAAGGCTGTGCTCTCCTTCTACAGCCGAGGCAGCAAGGCTTCTGAATCTCCCTTGCTGGAGAGTGTTGCTCTCGGGCTCAGCTCCTGCGGGAGAGTGCCCTAGAGGAAGATGCTGCTGGGCTGGATCTGCTGGCTCTTCTCGTGTTCTTAACAGCTTCCTTTTCCAATCCTCCTTTCATTGGCCACACTTCTATAACAGGGATCAGATGCAATGTTAGGAACTGAGAAAGATGAGTTACAATATATCCAGGGATTCAGTTCTATCACTTGTGGAATGAAATATACTCAGAGTCGCAAAGTGATTTCATGCTCTTTATTCAGCTCATAGCGGTGAGGAGGAATGAATCAAAGTCCCCTCAAAGTATCTGCTTTATATACATTATTTACACAATGGGCTGCACATGATTGGCTAATTCCGGAATTCTTCTGTAAGCCAATCAGGATGTGGATTCACTTCTATCTGGAGCATGATTGGGTGGTTCCTGCCAACCAATCATACTGCTGCATTGTTCTAGGACCAATCAGACTGCTGCAGTTTGGATCCTATTCAACTCAGTACATAACACGGAATGAACCAAAACAAAGGATTTTAGCACATTTTGTATGCTACTTGACTTACCGATGCTGGGGATGTCCCTGTTATCAACAACTGTTTTGTGGGTTGCCTCTGTTAATTAGGTACAGTGGTGCCTCGCAAGACGAAATTAATCCGTTCCGCGAGTCTCTTCATCTTGCGGTTTTTTCGTCCTGCGAAGCACGGTTATTAGCGGCTTAGCGGCTATTAACGGCTTAGCGGCTTAGCGGCTATTAACGGCTTAGCAGCTTAGCGGCTTTAAGAAAAAGGAAACAAACTCGCAAGAACTCGCAAGACGTTTCGTCTTGCGAAGTAAGCCCATAGGGAAATTCGTCTTGCGGAACAACTCAAAAAACAGAAAACTCTTTCGTCTTGCCCGTTTTTCGTCTTGCGAGGCATTCGTCTTGCGAGGTACCACTGTACTTATTATCACTGTGCCTGCACTTTCCCACATTAAATTTCCTTCTGACCTTCATATTTATAACCCACCAACCATATACTTGCAACTCAGGACAAGATTTCACGTGTCTGGTGAAGTGAGAGGGACGCCACAGAACTTTATGCTATAATAAATTTGTTAGACTTTAAGGTGCCATAAGACTCTTTGTTTATCCTGCAATGAACAGCTCCACTCCGTGATGATTGCAATAAACTATTAAGGGTTCCTGAAAGAAGCATCACTTCATTCCTCCCCCCCCCCCAAAAAATCCAGGAACCTGAAGTTTTTCTCTGAGTTCCTTAGAGAGAGGAAGAGATTGTGTGGAAGGAGCCAAGCAAGGGTTAAGGGCTTCTTCTTTTTCTTCTTCTTTTTTAAAAGGTCCAAAATTCCTTATCAGCCTCATAAATATATTGCTGCGTCCTGTCACTTAAGATAACCCAAATATTGCATTTCCCGTGAGAAACAGAAAGAAAATGAGGATGGGAAGAGGGAGGCAGAGGCGGGCAGCGATGTTTAGTCATTTTGTTCTTCAGAAGGAAAATGGAGTGTGGCCAACAGAAAGCCCTTCCAGGGAAGCGCAGGAGTGTGTGGACCAAGATGACTGGGGGGCCAGTTTGGGCTTAACTGGGGGGAAAGGAGGGCAGAAGCCAGGGAGGTGGGAGAGGAAACCTAAACCTAAATAGCCCCCTGCATATTGGGGGGAGGGGGGAGATGGCAGCAGCTGGCTTTGGAGAATCTCAAACTTTGCAGAACTACAAAAAACACTGTACTCTGGAGGGCCACATTTGGAGGGCATAAATGTGGGTCATTTGGAAATTCACAGATCAATTTCTAGAGAATCGCGGAGCTGCAGAGCATAAGGGGCCCTCCAAGGGTCCTCGAGTCCATCCTCCTGTGATGCAGGAGTGACAGCTGAGGAATCCCTGACAGGTGGCCGCCTGGCCTCTGCTTCTCAAAACCCTCCAGGGAAGGAAGGAGGGTCCGCCACCTTCTGAGGGACCCCCCGAAAACCCCTGTTCTGCTGGGTCCTCCCCCCCTCGCCCGCTTTTCCCCTGCGACCCTCAAAGCCCCCCTTGAGTGAGCCAGCCCCCCGTCCCCTACTTCGCCATCTTGTCTGCTGGGGAAGGACAGCAAGTGGGAGGATGTTGCTATCAAGTGTGCCCTCTGTTTCTCCTCCTGAATGTGTCCAGCAGCAGAGGGAGACTGTGCCAGGAGGTCCTCTGGTCCAAACCCCTGTTCCATGCAGGAGCTGCAAGGCACTCCCTAGGCCTCATGGGGCCACCACACATCAGTCCCTGCGTCTCCGTCTTCTCATATGTCTGCTTCCATGAAGCTGAAAGCCTGGCAGGCTTTCTCTGCTCCCCTCCTTGCATTATGGTGGCCTCAGCTCAAGACGGATCATGTGCAGTTGGAGAAGGTTCAGAAAAGGACAGCCAAAATGATAAAGGTGGTGGAGCAACTCCCCTGTCTCCCTGGGACTTTTTCATTTAGTCCACGCTTACCTTTTTGCTCAGCGCTTTCCAGGCACACGTCTGGCTTTAAAGCTCTGTGTCTGAGCGTTCTTTCCACCCCAGAGCTTTCCCTGAGAAAACTCACTCTTTAAAGCTGAAGTGCAACAAACAGCAATTCGAGTCTTTTGCAAATTGCTGTCTGTTCCGATTCAGCATTAAAGAGCAGGTTTTCCCAGGGAAAAAGGGGGGAAAGCCACTCAGAACTTTAAAGTTTTATGTTTCATTATGATCATTACTATGCCCCCCACCTATTCTTTTTCTCTTTCCTTTCTTTTCTTGTTCTTCTCTCTCTCCTCTTTCTTGTCTTTTTGATTTTATTTGTTCTAGATACTATTTTATTGTAATGTGAAAACTTTAATAGAAATCTTTCGGGAAAAGAAAAAGAAAGCACGGTGCAAAAGGAAGTTTGAATGGGCCTTAAGAAGTGGCACAACTTTGTAGTTGAGCATCTGCACTGGCTGCTGGGCCAGGTTCAAGGTCCTTGCACTAATTCACAAAGTCTCAAACAACTTACCGTAGGTCCAGGATACATCAGGGAGTGCCTGAACCCTGACACCCCAGCGTGATCACTGGGATCATCTGCAGGAGCGTCACCCGTCGTTCCCCAAGTTGGCGAGGCTCATCTGACAACAATAAGAAACTGAGCCTTTGGTGTCAGTGGCACTGTCCTGGGGAACACTCTGCCACTAGAGATTCACAGGCAACATTGGTGCCAACATTTACACGACTCCTGAAAACTTTTCTGTTCTGCCAGGCTTACGTAGGCCATATCTTTTCACAACAGTAAACTGATTTCTGCTTTTAATTTTTTTTATATCGTTTTTATTGCATGGTTTTACGTACTACTGCAATGTTTTTATATAGTGGTATATAAATATTTTTATCCTTAATTAATTTTTATAATAAATTACCTTCTTTAAAGCCTTAAAGATTTTTAAGCCCAGGTTGGGTGGCCGCCTTGTCAGGGCGTCTTTAGCTGTGATTCCTGCATTGCAGGGGGTTGGATTAGATGACCCCAAGGGGTCCTTTGCAAGGCTACAATTCCATGATTCTGCCAGGTGCTAGAATAAGGGCTGGTCTGTAAACAGAAGCTGGCAAGCCCCTGCTCTATCGCACTTTCAGAGCTGTGCCTTATTTCCACTCCTCTAGCCCGAAAACTGAGCCGGCAGAGCTCCTGCCTTCCTGGGCCACGTCCTGCCGCTGCCCCCTAGCCTTGCCCAGGTCTTCTTGCACAGCCTCCTTGGCCTGACTGCGCTCTGTCATTTAGCTCTTGTGGGGTGTGCTGCAGCTTTGTGGGAACACTTCAAACCAACCTGCAATTTGACACACACACACAAAAAAAGCCCACGCGAAACCTCTCGGCCTGGTGCTGCTTCTAATTTGGTTGGCCAAGGAGGTTTTTCGCTGGGTCAGCAAGTCTGCATCCAGACTCCTCGGCCAATTCCTGACTTGCTGCAGAGATTTATGGAGACTGCCTTTGCCTGCACGCAGGGGAAGGGACCTCTGAGGCCAAGCACTCTGATGCTCCCATAACATATAAGCCAGAAGCTTTACAGTGCTTAAAAGAAAAAGTGGATTTAGGAATCTATGTCCTTTCTCTTCAGTCTGCTCCTCCCAGTCCACCTGACTCCATAGCATGTGCTTCAGCACACCCAACACACCGTTAAAGCCAAGGGGGCTGCAAATGGTAGCCCTGCAGAGACGGCAGCACCCAGCCTGGGGGGGGGGGAGCCACGTGTGCTGGATGTGCTTTCAGCGCATAGTGCAGCTCTGCCCTTTGCCCTTATAAACAACCCACAAGGAGAGGCCAATGGTTATGCCAGACTTTGCCAAGCTGGTGTGTTGGCAGGGGCCGATGAGAGCTGGAGGTCCCCAGGCTGGTGAAGGATGATGGGTTGAACACGGCACACACCCTCACCTAGACATTGGCAGACTTCTGGATCACCCAACAGGGAGGCTAAGGGCATTCTTAGAGCACCAGCAAAGCAGGGGCACACAAACAAACACACATTTTTTTAACTATAATTTTACATTTCAAAAAAGGCACTGAAGTCACCATCCTCAGAAAAATCAGAACTTTGTTAGACTTCCTTGCACTGTGCCCACCACACTTTTTCCTA